TTCACCTTCACCTTCGACCCCAAGCGACCCATTGCGGCTCGTCCACCTTCACTCTCTTCTTTTTCCTTCTTTCTTTCTTCTCCAGCCCCTCAACGCCTTCCCCTTCTGCTTCTCGGTTCGCCTGCCGTTTCTCGAGCGCGCCCTTGTCTCTCTTCTGTCCGACTTTGTCCAGCACGCTTGTTCCAGTCCGCAGCGCCTTTTGCCGTGCCCCCTTTCCCAGCCTTCTTCGTCTTCCAGCACCCGACGTCTTGTTCTTCTCTTCTCTCTTTTCCACCACCTTGAGGCGTTGCGCTTTGTTGCACATACGTCAGCATCTCTGGCTCCATCGTCTCTGTCCTGTGCATTTACCTCTCCTTTTTCTGATTCTTCTTCTTCTTCTCGTTTGTTCTGGTGACCGGCTCTGCTAGAAAGCTCCCATCTCTTCTCTATCCCGTCATCCCCGTCGGAGCCCGTGATACCTCAGAACCCATTCGACGACCCCCCAGAAGCCTCGCTGCGATACGAACGGCCGAAGTCTGCACAACCCCATGTTCTCTTGCAGCTAGTCGTTGTTCAGCGTGGCTTGGGTGATACTTGATCCTGCTCGACCAGTCCGGCCGTCTGTCCTGTAATAGTCGATTGTGGCCTCGTGGTAATAGTGAGCTCTTCATTTCGACAAAGCGAGCAATTTCTTTAGCACCCTCGGCCGCTGGCGTCCTTTTATACAATCGTCGATCCGGCCATTCTTGTCTTGCGAGTTATTGGAAGAAAAGTCAAACTCGAAAGCAAAAGAAACAACCGCAGTTATCTGCTGTTGATCCGTTGCCAGCTCCTGAAAACGACATAAAAAAAGAAGAAAAGAAGAAAAAAACAAGAAGAGACAAAAGGTTCGACCATTTCTGACACATTGCTTTGCCTTCTTGTTGCCGTGATTCTATTCTCTTCGAATGGACGACCGCCATATCCAACGTTGTGGGAACAGCAGCTAATACCTGGTGATCTGACAGCATATCGACTGCCCATTTCTTTTGAAAGCACTCCCGACTTCGATCTTGGACCGCCGACAAAGCTCGAATTCGAAGCCGCTTGACCCCATTTCCAAATAATCACGAGGAGGATTCGCTGGTCCAATCAGTCGTTTCTGATTCCCAGTCTGGGAGGAGTATGGCTGCTTTGATTCAGACGTATCAGCAGCAGACTGGTACGGTGACGATGCTTCAGGGTCGCTCAACACCCTCAGGCGGCATGATGCCTGCCGTCCCATCCAACGGGCATCATCAATACACCACTTCGGCACCGAGAGGAGGAGGCGGCTATCGGGGAAGCACTGTCCCTGTTCAGTCATATGCCTTTGCACCAACGCCGAACCTGAATCAGAGCTTGCAATGGCAGCAGTACGGGGCTTATCGGACGAATTCATCCTCCTCCGGCATTCCCACGCAGACTTTCGACCCCAGCCTTGTCCAACGTTCCCACCGCCCCAACCCGTCCGTGACGAACATGGCCTTGGTCCCCGCCTATCACTCGAACCATGGCAGCAGCCACGGCAGCAGTCACAGCAGTGGACATAGCAGCGGTCACAGCAGCCACGGCAGTAGCCATGGCAGCAGCGGCGCACGCGATGACTCTGCCAAATCTCCCGGCCGAAACGCCACTTCTTCTTCTTCCTCCTCCTCGCGCCCGCAGCTTGTCTCTGCCGGCTCCCTACCGACGCTACCTTCCAGTGGAACACCCAAATACACGCCTGATCGATACAGGAGGCCCAGCAACTCAGGTTCTCAACACACGCGATCCCAGAGCACGAACCCACCGCTCAGTCCCGGCAGCCAGTCCCAGATGTATCACGCGCCTAGTGGCTCCAGATCCGTTCCGAATCTTACGGCGTCTCCCACTCGGAGCCCAGGAGCGTCCATGGACGACTCGCACCTGAACCGCAGGCCGTCTCCGGACGAGGCGAAGAAGATGCGTCGCCGAAGCGTGCATACCATCCAGTCCACGGACTCATTCCGACCTCTTCTGAAGCCCGACAACTCCCCTCGCTTGGAGCAAGTTGCTATTGCCAAGAGCGAAAAATTGCCCCAGGCTGCCCAGAGGATGCCGCTGCATGCCCGCAAAGGAAGCTCTGACAGCGCATCGTCTGGTCGAAGTGTCCAGTCTCCGTCTGCCTCGGTAAGTTGACAATTCATTGTCATTCGTCACCCAATCACACAGTGAGCTAGGGGCCCCTGATAGGTTGTGCATGCTAACCAGGGATTGATGTGCAGTCTTCCAACCGCAATGCGACGGTCTCCACCAGCAACCCCTCTTCACCGGCCGCTGACGAAACATCGACCAAGAGCGACCAGCTCAAAGCATCGAACATACCGCCGAGAGGCTCATCTGCCGATGGAGTCAAGCGGACGCTCAGTCCCTCTCCGTTGTCCAAACCCGCCACGATGGCTAATGAACCAGCTGGAGACGCCACTCCCGCTGCCGCCGCCACTACCGCAGCCACATCATCACAGGGCAAGACCGTGGCATCACCGGCGGCGAAGCAGCTCGCTGCCATCAACGAGAAGGATGTCAAGGGCAAGACCAAGACATCTAGGCTACGTCGAGCCTTCTCCTTCGGGAGCGCGGCCGAATTTCGAAAGGCTGCCGGGCCAGATGGCGAGGGCATGGAGAGGGTAGAGGCGTCCAAACTCCGCAAAGACCCAACGGCCGATGAGGCTTATGATGCCGAGCAAGCGCGGATCGCTGAAGCGCAGGAAGCTGCCGGCATCGGTAACAACATCTACGGCGGTCGCTTCTTTGGTGGATCGACGGATAATCTCTCCATCTCATCCACCGCCTCGTCTGCTTCTATTATGATCAGGAAGATGGGCCGTGGCATGAAGAAGAGCACCCGTTCCCTGGTTGGCCTCTTTCGGCCAAAGTCCGCCAATGGCATGCCGGCGGCCGACACACCCGTCAGCGAGGCCGGCCAGGCTGCTGTGTCCATGATCACCGTGGAAGCAGAGACTCGACGTGTCAACGTGACTGCCGACCCTCAGGGCGGCAAGGGCGGTACGGGGTTCCCTCGCCTTGAGCGCAACTCCCTCGACGCCACGCAGATTCCCGAGGGCGGAGCGGAACGTGCGGGCAGCTCAGGGGCAGACAACGGGCCCCGCAAGAGCATCGTGGGCGGTGAGAAAGAGCGTGCAGAGGTGCTTGCGGCCGTTCGCAAGGGTATCTTGAAGCGTATGTGCCATGTCCATGACCTGTATCTGTCCCTCTTGCGCGGATTATTAACTGACAAACAGGTCCAGGCTCTTCAAGCCCATCCATTCGCCCATCGGAGTCTCCCGATTTGGTCTTGCCAAACATACCCACTGTCGCCGACTCGCCCAACTCAAGCGCGCCTAGTACGCCGAATGACGACGGCAAGAGATCCAACTCGATTGCTATTGGCAATGAAGACTACTTCATGTCGGCTCTGCGGCTCGGAAAGAGCCGACCGGGAACTCCTCAAGCCGGCCCCAAGAGGAATGCCACATTCTCGCCGCGCATCATCTTCTACGACACTTGGCCCAGCCAGGAGTACGATCGCCGCGGTGAAATTGCCACCTGCAACCGCCTCACCCCGATGCTTGCTCAGCAGATCAAGGAAGAGCTGAACAGCTTCAAAATGGTTCGTCAAAAAGCAACCGTTAACTCCGTGCGTACTCGATAGCTAACCAACTCTGTGATGACAGGAAATGGAAGTCCACGAAAATTCCAAGATTTACACGCACTTCTTCTGATGATGTTATCCATTGGACGAGAATCTTGTCAGCTGATTATTGTTCTTCTCTTCACCTCTGCTACCGTGGTTTATAAGGACCTCACCATGTATTTCTGCACATTTACCATTTGCGGCGTTTAGGGACAGCATAGTAAGGTGTCACGGGCGTTTTGTCACACTACCTCACTACACATGTCATGGTATTTAGCCCCAAAGACTCATACATTTCCTTAATATTCAGTTGGACTCGTGGGCGAGGAATGGGCGACCAGAAGAAGCGGAACGAGCCTGTGCCGGGTGAGACTGTCTGCTATCTTTCGAACATGGGAGACCTGTCGTTGCAGCCTGCAGCTCAACCACGGAAAGCTCTCTATGGAAGAGCAGTAGCATGCCGGAAGACTCGACGACGCTATGCCACGTTGGCGCTGGACGAATTCTTCAGCGTTGGCCGCTGAGGCGAACACGTTGAGAGATGTGGCAAGCCCGGCCGATTGGAGGGTGACATATAGGTCGGCAACTTGTGTTTTCATTCTTGTGCTTCATTTCAAGCATGTCTCTATAGTCGGGTTCAGTCTATGAGCGTGACGTGTCTGGGTGTCTCTTTGTTTCAGCAAATAAAATCTCTGAGTACATTTATTCGAATCCGGTCTCGCCTTGCCGTGCCTCGTCTAGAAGCCTCGTGACCATCCACCACTGCACCAAGAGTCGATTGAAGGTACCGGAATATGCAACGTATGAGTATGCCTCTATCTACTACTGTGCCTTACATACCTACTAAGGCACCTCTAGGAGCGTTCTGCTTTTGTAGGTACCTAGATGCTAGTAATAGCGTCCGTCTGCAGTCGGGTCGGGTGTTTGATGACACTGATGGGGAATCGTGGTACTAGCGCTGTCACCGTTCTGATCAGCCGCCAATGCGAAAAGAGGAAAAGCTGAAAAAAGAATGAAGAGAAAATGGCAGCCCCGCCAAGTTTGAGTAAACTCCAAGCCTATCTCGCTATCGATTTCCCCAAACATTTTTTTTTTTTTTTTCCTTTTGCCATTTCGATACCAATCTTCGAACACAACGACCTTGCAGTTTTCTATTTGGGCTTGGTGTGTCTTGTCTGCATACTCTGATTTTCCTCTTCTTTCTCTAAACTGCGCAAGACAAGACAATGCTTGTCTGAACCAAGTCTCCCTTTTAATGTGGCAGAGTTTAATCCCCAAGACGGTGACACATCGATTGTTCCAGCCTCGATTCTCCGCGGTCCCCGGTATCTTTCGCGGCGTTGCGACAATGACGGCGACGGCGACTGCGACGGCAACTTCAACTGCAGCCTCGCCTTCCACAAAGACGAAGCTCCATGGACGGGCGTTCTACGAGAGCATCGGGAGTCCCAAGTACATCGTGGCTCCCATGGTGGACCAATCCGAGTTTGTTTGTCTTGCACCCCATCCAGCATCCAAACTCGCCATCTCAATGTTGGTTAAACTAACTAACATGTAATCGAAATGAATAATCCAGGCCTGGCGAATTCTCACGCGATCCTTCCTGCTGCCCGAGGAGCAGTCCAAGCTGCTAGCCTACACGCCCATGCTGCACGCGCGACTCTTTTCGCAGGACGAAAAGTACAGGAGGGCCCATTTCCAAGCCGTCCGGCCGGGCTCCGACGGTGAGCCGTGGCTGGACGGGAATCCCAGCATCGACCGGCCTCTGTTTGTGCAGTTTTGCGCGAATGATCCCGAGGCGCTGCTCGCTGCGGCGAAGCATGTGGTTCCGTATTGCGATGCTGTCGATTTGAACCTCGGGTGTCCGCAGGGCATTGCGCGCAAGGGCCACTACGGCGCGTTTCTGCAGGAGGACCAGGATCTCATCTTCAAGCTGGTCAACATCTTGCATAGGGAGCTTCCCATTCCGGTCACGGCCAAGATTCGGGTGCTGGAGACGAAGGAGAAGACTCTGGAATACGCGCAGAATGTGCTCAAGGCTGGAGCTTCGATATTGACGGTCCATGGACGAAGACGCGAGCAAAAGGGACATCTCACTGGCGTGGCGGACTGGGACATGATTCGCTTCCTTAGAGATAACCTGCCCCCCGAAACGGTGCTCTTCGCCAACGGAAATATCCTTCAGCCAGGCGATTTACAGAGGTGCTTGGACGCCACGGGGGCGGACGGCATCATGTCGGCCGAGGGAAACCTCAGCGACCCAGGCATCTTCGGTAACCCGCCGCCGATAGAAGAACACAGCAGGGAATACTGGAGGGGCAAGGACGGGAAAGGCGGCTGGAGAGTCGACGCCATCACGAGACGCTACCTAGACATCCTACACAAATACGTCTTTGACGAAGAGCCCCCGCAGAGGAGGCCGTTGTTCATCCCTGGCGACGACGCCGCATGGTTGACAGAAAGCGAGACCGCCAATGACGCAGACGAGCCCGCAAAGAAGAAGCGAAAAACAGACACCTCTACTAGCGAAGGCGACACTACCGCCACGACAACCACCACCACCACCACCAAGAAGAAGCTCACCCCGGAGCAGCAGCAGTCCCCTAACCTCTCCGCAATGCAGCCCCACCTGTTCCACGTCCTCCGACACTTCGTCACCCGTCACACTGATATCAGAGACATGCTCGCCCGCGCGCGCAGGGACGGCATGGCCGGCTACGAGCGCGTCCTCGAGGCCGTGGAGAGGCGCGTCGCCGAAGGCCTTCTCGAGTACGAGCGCACCGGCGGCCAGAGCTTCGACGAGGAGATGGAGAGGACGATTGCCGAGCGTACCATCGAGGGCGTGCCCGAGGAGGAGAGCTCCGTGGGGACGCTCAGGCGGTGCAAGAGGCCCTGGTGGGTCGCCCAGCCCATTATTCGGCCGCTGCCGAGCGAGGCCTTGGCCAAGGGCGCCATTTCGCTCAAGAAGGAAAAGGGCAAGACCAAGGAGAAGGGTGATGCCAAGGAGAAAGATGACGGCAAGGCGAAGAGTGAGAATGGAACCGCTGTGGCGGTGGACAAGAAAGAGACGGAAGCACAGCAGCAGACGAAGCAGGAGATTGCATCCAGAGACGAGCTCGTCTCCGGATGAGGGACACCGTAAGGAGGACGCAAGGGGGGTTTGAAAGACCAGCGTAGAGACCCATCAGGAGTTGGGTAGCAAACTTACGTTGCATATGAGTACTACCAAGCAGGTAGAATAAACCGAGCTAATGCAATAACAACCCCAGCTCATGACATAGAGCACACAGAGCTGATGATGTTTCTCCCCTTCCTTCCTCTCAATCCCTTACAAGACTTCGCTTCGATGCTCATGTTGCCGTACCATTGGCGGCGATGCATTGCACGAGGGTGTACACAGGCCCTGAAGTCGCCGCCGCCCCGGCAGCTCTGATAGTAGCCAGGAAAGGACTTTCCAGTCCCCGCGCTTTGGAGAATGGCAAACAGGCTGCCTGGTCAGATAGGGTGCAGAAGCGATTGGCTGTATGCAGCCAGAGTGCCTTGCGAATCTAGTCAGCCATTGATCAAATTTTGCATTGCCACCGGTTATCAAGGGGGGTCAACCCGACATACCAGCTCCCACGCCACCAGCGCCGAACCCAAGTGCGCCTAATAAGGCTCCAGGAATAGCAACCACGGTTATCCCGCCGAGCAGAATCCCAGCCTGGACCGGGTTCTCAGTCACGAATCGTTCAAGCTGTTGTTATGGTTGTTTGAAATGTGAGTACATGCCCAGTGCACAAGGCGGGTCTTTTGAGGGGATTTGAGTATACTTAATATGCAGGTCATAACTTACACACTGTAAAGGCGTCATTACGAGCCTTGATACGAGATGCTGCAGAGTGTGCCTCGCTTGTGTTGTTCTGTCAGACTGTTCTCGCTTTCTTCCGCTGCCGACGATAGCTTCGCAGGGGGATCAAGACCGCAGCCGGGAAAAATAAGGTGTGTATGAAGTAAGTGACGCGTGAAGGGCGATTGTTCCAATAGGACTCTGCCAACTGTCACCGCAGGGAGCGGCAGCCAGTGAAATGAGGATTTCGGTTTGCATGCAGGTGGTGAATATGCAGCCGGCAATTTATTGACTCGATGGCCCGCCTCTAGAGTCGAATTCACTCTTTTGATTCGCGCACCCATCTGTGTATGCAGCCGTCGTGAGTGACTGGTGCAGGTCAGTATCGTGGTTGGGAGCCAGAACACTGCAGCCGGCTTTTCTTGCGTCTGCTTGCATGTGTCCATCAGGCTTCGTGTTCGATTCGTCGTCCGCTTCGTTATCTATGTTTCAGCTGAGAAAGCTGTTAGCAAGGTGCAGTATTTCGCTCGAGACTAAGAATAACCCAAGACAAACATCCAAGAGAACCAGCAGACCAGTTGGCTTCTTACATATCATCATACCAAGGGTAGCCTACAATCCCAGCACACCGAAGACCTCTTACGTATAGGCACGTGCAATTGAATGCACCCCGTAATACGCCTCGGTGGATGGGGCATTGTTCAGGAGCATCGGGCAATGCAGATCGGCCGCTGGATGTTGCCCGGTCCTCGTTGGACAAGGAGCACGCTGCCGACGTTGGCCTGAGACGACAACGGCCCGATATTTGAGAAAACAAAGAGCCCAGAAATGGCTGGTCGCCTTTCCTTCACAGCGGTATGTTGGATGATATAGTGCCTTGGGCACTCATAACGAGTAGAGGAGAACGTAGCATCGCAGAGTAGGGACGTATCTCTCTCGGATAGGGGGCTTGCAGAACGAATGGAAGATGCTTGGAACACGACCAAGAGTCTCTGAAACCGGGTCCCACGGTTTGCAACACACACAAATGCAAGTTGCACATTTCACCAGGCTTTCCCAAGCAAAGGCAGAGCACCCGTAGATGGTGAAGAGCACACCTACACAGTAATGTAGGAAACCATCGAGTGATGGAGACTGCATGAACCATGGTCAGTGACCTAGTGATGAAACAAATGCCACAGTTTTCGAACCAATGTAGCGATTCAAACGATGGCCACTCACTCTTAAGATCTCTCCAAATTGTATGGTATGAGGTTGGGATGGACCGAGGCAGATAATGCTGGCCCCGAAATTGCCAAGCAAATCGTCTCTCTGGAATGGCCACCCACTTGATGGACCATCCCAGGGTGCAGCACAAGAAACCGGCTTGGCTGCAGTTCGAAGGAAGGCTGCATCCCACCCGTTCTCTTCATTGTGTGCGAAGAAAATCAACAGCAAAGAGGCGGATATGGTAGGGTAGAGGAAGGCAGAGCGAGTGACGACATCGTGAATGGATACCGGATTATCGGTATTCGATTCCGTTCCTTCCTGCTCTCACCTCTCTCCTACCTTTCCACTGCCAAATTCTGACTATCCCTCAGATTCCCTTCATCATCATTCATTTCCATTTATTCTTCTCGTTCGATGAGTTCGCCGAGGGCGGTTTTCTCGCACTCGTGTATAAGCAGAGTCGGCAGTGGCTGAATACCAATGAGTGCCGATCAACCTTCAAAGGCAAATTCAGTCTGGAGACGCAGACGATCGACAACAGGGGAGTTCCAGCAACAGACGGAATTTTCCATGACAGCGAGTCATTCGGCTCGCTTCGCCGTCATCTGGAGCCGTCAGAATCCGGGGTAGTTTGGGTAGCTGCCCCAGTTGAGTTGCGGTCAGTCCTTTTTCCCCCAAATTTTCGCCTTACCCATTTGCATACAGACTGGACAGCAATCTTACTTCAAGGATAGGAGCTTTCCTCCCGTCCCGTCCCGTTGCTTCAAGCGCCTGACGGTGTTCTCGAACTCGGCTTCCCCACCATGATCGCCACCGCAATTCTTTCGCTTGTTTCGACCCTCGCAGCGTTGGGCATCGTGGGACTGAAGTCTGGAGTCTCGGGCCGCAGCCGCCACTGACGTTCTACTGGAGGAGAAGCGTCGTGGCCGGCTCTCTAGTGAAATCCTTGTCGTCGATATCCTAGGAGACCAACTTGCCGTAGGTCTGTTCATGAGACGTCGAGCTGTTGCTGATAGTTGACATTCAACTACTTTGCTGGCGCAGTGTTCTCTTGGCCGTCGTAGCCTCCTGCTCGCAAGGAAGACTGCCGGCGGCACAGGGTATCACCTGAGAGCCATTGGCCATAACCAATGGCTTTTTCTTTCAGAATGATCCAGTTTGTCGCACCTTGATCAGTTCCGATAGCCCTCCTGGGACTGAATCCAAACATTCTTTGGTGCGAAAACTCTTGAGAAAGCTAAGAGCAATTCATTAGAAGGGAAGCAAAGAGACAAGCTCAAACAAAGCATGGCCGCCAAGATGGTCTTGACGAAGCCGACATGTTGACCAGAACAGCGCCGACGGCATACTATCTAGTGATTTGCGACAACAACTCGGAAGGCTCGATGCCGGCTGCTCTTAAAAAGGGGAAACAAGACTCATGGATGTTTTGGGCTTGCATGAGCCAATGGGATCCAGTTCCGGCAAGAGTGATCAATATTGGATCCTCCGGCGAGCTTAATCCCATCAAGATGAGAGGAAGGGCGGGGACTCTTTGCTCCTCCATGGCATGCTTTGGCTCATGGTTGCCTTGGACCGGCCTGTTAGTGAGCGCCAAGGCGGCCTGCATCGCAGATTCTCATGCATTTAATAAGCCGTCGGGGGAGCGATGCTCCAGCGTCATGCACTTGTTACGAGTTGCATGCGCGCGCATGCCCCGTGTCAGGCTGTCGATCGTCCAAGTTGCCAAAACGCAGCAAACATCGCAGAACAAGGGGGCTTTCCGAGACCTGTAACATGCAAGGTGCATATGCGACCCCCTCGCAGCGAGGTGGAAGCGAGTTCTCAATCCTTGGTTTCTCATCCAATATTCGGGAGCTCCATATGCAACCAAAGTTCGCTGCATGGGCACGGAGCGGCTTGCTTAAGCGGTGGCTGCGCTTCACCTCACAAGGAAGTCATCTTGTCGTGTCGTGTCCTCCGGGCTATAGCTTCCGACGTTTCGATTGGACGTCTGGTGCTCTATCAGTTCCTGCGTTGCGACCTGTCGTGCTGCTATTCGACCAGCGCAATGCTGTGTGAGCGCCACCTGGTGGCCAAATCAGATCCATGGGCGACGCGCCCTGATATGAGAAGAACATTGCACAGTCGTTCCACCCTGCATATAAACTGACGATCTATACTTGCTTTATCCCTCTTCACTGAACACGCACGCCCTCTTTGCGAGTGTGAGTATTATGTTCAGCATTCTTCGCTGGCCAAGTACTGGAGATGATGACGGACAACCAAGAGCAACTGAGGAGATTGGAGGAGCAATGGAGTGTGGTCATGGCAGAGGATGAGCGTAAACATGCCTTGATTTCAGTAAGCCCCCCCAAGAATCTGCTGATGTCCAGGGCGATTGTCGGGGATGCGTAGACTGATATCTCTTTCCAGGACCTATTCGGACATATCAGCGATTTGACGGCACAGCTCGCCGAGGCGCACATGGACCTTCGAGACAGAAAGGACATGCTTGAGCTTAAACGCACCAGGCTCGACCATGCTGAGAAGCAGCTTGAGGATTTACGACGCAAAACAGTCAGAGCCGAGCCTACGTTACCTGAAGGCGGCAGAGAGCTGACGATGGTGACAGGATGAACACGGTTTTTGTATGGTTATAATCGATGGCGACAATATGCCGGTGAGTACATTGGAGACAGGTTCACCTATTCTCTTCTTGATCGCGTGATCGGGGTCTAGAGCTGTCCTAACCCGTTACGAACACAACAGTTTCATGATGAATTCGTGAGAGAGGGCCTGCTTGGAGGCAAGAGGGTAGCTAGCCTCCTGAGGAAAGCGATAGCCGAGGATATCAAGACGAGATTTCCAACCCTCCCGGCCAATGCACAGGTCGTGATTCGTGTGTATGCGAACTTGAAAGGGCTCTCTAAGAAATATAGAGAGCTCCTGCCAGACGCGGCATCGTTTGACGACTTTGTTCGAGGGTATAACACAGTCCATCCCACGTGCGACTTTATCGACGCTGGGTGTGGAAAGGAGTGTGCCGATGAGAAGATCAAAGGTGAGCTGCTACCGGCGTGAAATAGAGCCTCGATCTCTTCCTTTCTCACCTTGACGCCCGCTCTTGATCTTTACAATGTTGGATACTGACATGGCAAAGCGGCCCTCAAGTTTGGGCTTGAGGACAGCCACTGCAAGCAGGTGTTTTTCGGCGGACCAGGAGACAATGGATACGCCCGCGTGTTCGATTCCTTCCTCGAAGATCAAAAAATTCGGGGGCAGATCACGCTCCTGGCAGGCCCGCCCTTTGCGTATGAGCTGGCGGCTATCAAAGACAAGTTTCAGAACGTGACGTTCGACAACATCTTTAGGGGCCAAAAGCTTCCCAATGATGCCAATCGCAGGACGTCATTCCACATCACACCACCGGGAACTCCAATGCCGTCAACCTCGCCGTTGAACTTTGCGGCTGCCGCAAAGGTGCCCAGCCCGGCTCAGAGCACCCCAGCTCAGTTGTACTGTCCAGAGCCGAAGCCCCCTGCGACTGGAGTCGTATTACGGAACAGGCTTGGACAGCGAGTGGACTCACGCCTTTCATACTCGCAAGCCGACTTCTCTGTCCTGAAGGACCGCAAGCTCTGCAACAACTTTCACCTCTTGGGCAAGTGCTACTTTCTCGAAAAGTACGGAAAATGCCATCATGTTCATGGGGAAAAGTTGACTGCGCAGCAGCTGGAAGCCTTGAGAGGCATTGCTCGCCAGTCTCCATGCCTGAATGGACTGAGCTGCAGCCAGACAGACTGTATGGCCGGGCACCGGTGTCCAAGGGAGCCTTGCCATCTGGATAACTGCTGGTTCCCCAAGGAGATGCACAATGTTGACACTCAAGTCGTTGACTGAGGACGGAGACACGATGGCGCTGATGATTTCTTTCATGTTGTGGCGGGTATCTGATTGCAACTCGGATGGCAGTTTGGAAGGCAATTTGTATCGAACCTATACAGCTGTTCAATTTGAACCAACGGACGGGAGAATGGATGCCATGGATGATTTGGCTGGCTAGCTGCCCGGCGTTACCATGAACGGAATGCAAGAGGTTTGAAAGGCCGGCAGCATTGCTTCAGCGGACGGCATTAATGGGAAATCAATAGCACTATCTAGTTAATGTTTGGTCGTGTCTTTGTCGAACTTGATTCGCCTCTAATGATCTTGGCCAGTGGTCTAATTTGATGATCTGAGAAGCACCGCCTCCAATCGTACTGGACCTCTTATTACAAGCTGAGCTCCATGGAACGTTGATTCTCAGCACTAACCATAAGGTAGGTACCGTGGGGGCTTATCAGGGCCACCCAAAAGCCCCCCAACTGGATCTTCATCCACTATAGCGACCTTTAACGATCCATGGTATCCGGTTCAATCCTTTTCAAGTTCTAAGGGTTGGCTTTCGGCTCGGCTGAAGCCAGAGCGCCTCCCACTCTAGATGTCCCAACTTCCCAGTACTTATCACTCCAAACCACCCGTGATTCGGCGTGACGAGATGCATCTAACACGTCACAGAAGGAACCTAACTGACGCATGATAACCCAAGACAGGCTTCTTTATATCAACTGTTCAATTCCAATTGCCGGCTAAGATGATGTTATCCTGAGCCACGGGTCCGAGGCAGGAGGGCAAAGTTCGGGTATTTCTCACTTGGGAGCCATCGCGAGGTACCCGCCAACCCGCCTCGCTACCACCGGCAGAACAAGTATCCCCAGATAAGGTAAACCCTATCAAGGAAACAAAACGGCTAAACGCAGAAAAGCCCCAATCCTTTCCCCTGCCTCTCTCCCCCAACCAAACGGAAGCTCTCGTTTCCAAGCTTGCGACGCTCTTCTGCTCCGCCTCAACAAGCCGCTTTTCGGAGAGACCATGAATGGAAAGGAAGCTATTGCTCTCGGCCGGGTTCCCCGCAAAGTGGGGGACGGGCCTCTCTCTCCTGGTGATTGATCGTGGGGGGACGAGAGAGAGAGAGAGATGGATCTGGAGACTCGGCTGAGGAGAGGCTGGAGCTTGTCTTGCTGGAGCTGGACGAGCTGCGGCTTGTATAATAAGAGGCCAAAGTTCCGTACAAGGTGCTTTAATTAGACACTTGTACCGGTTCTGTTGCTTCGTCACGGACGGCAAGGAGAAGAGAAAGGAGAAGCAGAGGATTGACAGAAGCTCAGTTGTGCTTGGTGTCGACTCTGACTTGGAACGACTTGTGCCAGACAACAAGAGCCGCACATCATCCACTTGCTCTCGTTACTCTCAACATGGCTCGCCACAGCATTCAGTTGGATAAGGGCTGGACCTTTCGGCAGCATCAAGGCTCCTCACCAGAATGGCTGCCGGTGGAAAAGGTGCCAACGCAGGTTCACATGGATCTGCTGGCCAACAAACAGTATGGCCCCTTCTGTTATGATGATGGTGATGGGAAATCTGCATCATAAGTAAGCAGTGCAAGACTGACAACCTTCCAGAATCCCAGACCCCTTTGTGGACCTGAATGAGCGCGCTGTCCAGTGGATCGGCTACAAGGACTGGGAGTATCAAGTGACATTTACTCCCGAAGCCGCTCAAGTCGAAGATGCTACGAGAGACCTGGTCTTCAACGGTCTTGATACTTTTGCCACCGTCTACCTCAACGAGGCCAAGATCCTCGAAGCGGAAAACATGTTCGTGTCCTACCGCGTCAATGTCACAGACCGCATCAAAGCCAGCTCCGAGAACACGCTCCGCATCGTCTTCCACTCCGCCATCGTTAGAGGCGAGGAGCTCATCAAGGAACATCCCGAACACAACTTCCTCGTCAGACAGACGGAGAGGAGCCGCGTACCTGTGCGAAAAGCCCAGTACAACTGGGGCTGGGACTGGGGCCCTATTCTCATGACGGCAGGGCCCTGGAAGCCCGTCGCGCTCGAGACGTATGTTGCGAGGATTGACGATGTCTGGGCCCAGAGCGATGTCAGCCAGGATTTGAAGACTGTTTCTGGTATCATCTTTGCTCGTGTAGCTGGGAGGCCGAGCCAGGACGACCAAGTTTCTCTGACCCTGTCGTTGGATGGCAAGGCTGTGTTCCAGCAGACCGTCGATGTTGCCTCGGCCAAAGATGGACTGATCAAAGTCCCGTTCAAGCTCGAAGACCCCAAGCTTTGGTATCCAAGAGGATATGGTAGCCAGCCTCGTTACCAACTCAACGCCGATCTCGCCCGCAAGGCATCTGACGCTAGCCAGATCGACAGCCTGTCCAAGCTGGTTGGTTTCCGCCGCGCCGAGCTCGTCCAGGAGCCGGATGCATTCGGCAAGTCGTTCTACTTCCGCATCAACAATGTCGACGTCTTTGCCGGTGGATCATGCTGGATCCCTGCCGACAGCTACCTCGCCGGCGTGCCCCCGGAGCGTTATCACGCATGGGCCAAACTCATTGCGGACGGCAACCAAGTCATGCTGCGCGTCTGGGGAGGCGGCGTCTACGAAGAGGATGCCCTCATTGAAGCCTGCGACGAGCTGGGCATCTTGGTGTTCCACGACTTTCAGTTTGCTTGCGCATCTTATCCCGCCTACCCATCCTATCTTGAAAATCTGGAAGTGGAAGCTCGACAACAAATTCGACGTCTGCGCACGCATCCCTCTGTGATCATTTGGGCCGGTAACAATGAGGACTATCAGGTCCAGGAGAGATATAAACTAGATTATGAATTTGAGAACAAGGATCCAGAGTCATGGCTCAAGTCGTCGTTTCCGGCGCGGTATATATACGAGCATTTCCTGCCGAAGCTGGTCGAGGAAGAAGATCCAGGCAAAATCTATCACCCGAGCAGTCCTTGGGGGGACGGAAAGCCCACGGCAGATCCAACGGTTGGCGATATCCATCAGTGGAACAGTAAGAAGCCCCCCCCCCCCCCCCCCCCCAATTTCCACACAAATCACTCACACGCAACATCCCACTGACCATCCTCTCCACACAGTCTGGCATGGGACCATGAACAAGTACCAAGAGGCCGTCAACATGGGCGGCCGCTTCGTCAGCGAGTTCGGCATGGAAGCATACCCCCATCTCAGCACCACGCGCCGCATGGCCAGCGACCCAGCCCAGCTGTACCCGGGCTCGATGGTGCTCGACGCGCACAACAAGGCCATCGGCCACGAGCGCCGCATGATGAGCTACGTCGTCGACAACTTCCGCCCGCGGCACGACCTCGGCGGGTACACCCACCTGACGCAGGTCGTGCAGTCGGAGACGATGCGCGCCGCGTACAAGGCCTGGCGGCGGCAGTGGGGGAAGCCCGGGGCCAGGCGGTGCGGCGGCGCGCTGGTGTGGCAGCTCAACGACTGCTGGCCGACCATGTCGTGGGCCGTGGTGGACTACCGTCTCGTCAAGAAGCCGGCGTACTACGCCATCGCGCGGGCCCTGCGCCGCGTCGACGTGGGCGTCTGCCGGACGTGGCACGACTGGACGCAGACGGGGGCCTGGGTCGATGAGAACTCGGGCCTCGTCACCGGCCAGGTCGACCACACGCTTGCCGCTCGCGAGGGAACCTTTGACGTCTGGGTCGTCAGCAGCGACACCCAGCCCGTCGCGCTGGACCTCGTCGTGCGCTTCATCTCCGTCCGCACAGGCAGGGACGTCGTCGATCCGATACTACACTCCCGCGTCGTCGCCGCCGCAAACTCCGCGACGGACATCCTCCAGGGCAAGACGCTCCCGCCATCCATCCCCAACCCGGAAGACATCACCAAGCCCTTTCCCCTCGCCGAATACGATCCGTACGTGGTCCATGCCACCATCACGGACGCCGCGACTGGCACCGTCATCGCTGCGGACACGGCTTGGCCCGAGCCCATCAAGTACCTCGACCTGTCTGACCGCGGTATCGCGTTTGAGGTTTCGTCCGCTGGGGATGAAGTCGTCGTTTCGGCGGAGAAGCCCGTCAAGGGGTTCGTCTTCGAGGAGGTGGAGGGTCTGGAGCTGAGTGACAACGGGTTCGATGTTGTGCCGGGGGAGAAGCAGCTTGTCAAGGTTGGGGGTGCTTTGAAAGCGGGTGAGTTGCTGTGGACCTGCATTGGGGCAGACAGTGCGTCGTTGAAGATTGAAGCGTCTTCTTCTTTGGCTCCTCGATAGATTGCCAAGAAGAAAGAAGGGGTTAGCAGTCCACGATCTCACATATACCGTGCAGCAGTCAAACCAGTAGATTCGCTCACAAGCACATAGAATGACAGAAGCCAAGGTGATTGTCCGTAATTAGTGTATTGAATCGCTAATGATATCAAAGAAGGGCAAAAAAAGGGGGTGCTACTATGTGACGCATAACCCAAGTAAATATTCCCTATTCCCACCCATCAACCAATCTATTACACGTTTTCCCATCCCACCCAATTCCACTCCGCTTAACCGTTTCAATCTAAGCAAGAGGAACAATTCATCGTTCAAAAGGTAAAGGTTTAGTTATCCCTTCTCCCGCGCTTCAAAGGAGGCGGCGACCGAGAAACACTCTCGCTATCATACCGCCTCCTCTTCACCGGCAAAGGAGGACTAGGCGACCTCCCACCCCTCAGACGACCCGGCGAGCCATCCCTCACCCTGCGCGGAGGCGGGCTGCGGCTGCGTGACGGCGTATAAGAGCCCCTTCGGCCACGCGCAGCCGGCGGAGGCGATCGAGATCTCGACGGCGACCGAGACGGGGACCGGGACGAATAGTCGCGAGACGGCGATCGGCTGTCCCGTCGGGGCTTCTTGCGGGGCCCTCCGCTGCCGACAGACGAGCTGTTCCTTCGACCTGCGGGACCGCCTGGTGGGCTCTGGCGCGGTCGACCCCTTCGCGGAGGCGGGCTGGCCGAGTCTGCGTCTCTGCCGCGTCGTGGTGAAGAAGATGGAGAGCGGCTGTAGGAACTATACGAGTTGCTTCGTGCGCGACCGCGGTTCCGTGGTGGCGGAGACCGTGAGGAGCCCGACGAGTAGCTTCGGCTTCTGCTGGCAACCCGACGGCCACCACGCCGGGGAGGACTGGCCGAGTACGACGCTCGCCTTCGCCCACGAGTAGAGACGGAATCGGAGCGGGATCGTGATCTTGACCGCGACGGTGACCGTGAGTCGTCAGAGTAGGATCGGCTCCTTGCGCCACGTCGAGGCGGAGTTCGGGAAAGCGATCGGCCTCGACCGCCGCTCCGACGACCCACAGATCGGGACCGTGAGCGCGAGCGGGAAGAGTATGATGAGTGAGTGTAAGACGAATAGCTCGAGACGGAGTCCGTATCCGAGCGGTCCTGAGCAGCAGGGGCGGGCAGCGCAGGCTTGGGCATGTTCATGAGGTGCTCTCGCATCTCCTCGGTCAGTACACCCATGCCGATGCTGGTGAAGTAGTTGATGGAGAATCGGATGTTGCGAGGGTTCTCTCTGGGGAAGAGGCCTTCGAGGCTGGGCCGCAGCGTCTCGTCAGTCATGCGTGCCCGGAGCTTAGCCAGGCCGATTTCCTCGGAAATGTGCTGGAACAGAATCTTGATGAAGATGCGGCTGCTCGACGTGGTCTCCTCCTCGTTGAGGTGAATGACGGAAAGGCAGTGCCAGCCCAGAGCGTCGGAAGCAAACATGTGGCCAAACAGCATGGCAATGTTCCGCAGCTTGTTGTTTTCGTATCGGTGGATCGTCTCGTAGTACTTGACAAAGGCCTGCTCAAAGAGGTCGCACCACAGCCGATTGATCTTGGCGAAACGCTCGCCGATCAAGCCAAAGAACTTGGTGTACGTCTTCTCCTGCGAGCAACACTCGACAATCATCGAGGGCAGCTCGGGTTCCTGGCCGACGGGCAGGTTGATCTTCATCAGCTTGTGAACTGCTTCCTCTGGGTCGGCGCTCGACATGATGGTGAGGTAGATGGTCCTCCGTAGGTTGACCAAGTCGGCGTTAGACTGGTCCTTGATCTCCATGGCCTTTGTCTCTTCGTTTTCTTCATCTTCGGAGCTCTCGTCCTCGTCCTCGTCCTCGTCGCCCTCCTCGTCATCGCTGGCTTCGCCCAGAATCTCCGCCTTGAGCCTCTTGTATGCCTCCTCATGCTCCTCCCACTCCGGGTCGTACTTGAAGATGTTGAGTCCGTCCTGCACATCAATCTCGCCATCAAGCTCCACCTTGTGCGTGATCTGGTCCTCCTCCTCCACCAAGTCCAGCTCCTCCTTGATGGCCGGGTGATCCTTGAACTTGTCCTTCCTGATCTGGAAGAGCACCTCAATCATGTACTGCGTTCGCTTGTCAATGTCGGACTCGTGGAGGATGTTGCGGAACTGGTCGAAGACGGCCATGGAAATGGCAGGCTGCATCTCCTCGAGGTACTGGCCAACCTCCTTGCAGAAGCCCACGGCAATCTCGACGCTGTCGTCGGTCGGCTTGTGCAGCAGCAGCAGCAGGATCTGGCCGGCCAGCATCTCGTGCTGCACCTGCTGGTTGATGAGGTGGGCGAGGAAGGTGGTCGACGACAGACAGACGGCCTTGTCGTTGCGCTTGAAGCCCTTGCGGAACTGCATGATGAGGCGCTTGACCAGCAGCTCGCCGACCTGCGGCAGCTTGGTGTTGACAATGGCGGCCATGGCGGCGTAGATGGGCGTGAAGGGCAAACTGGCGGCCTGGGCCTTCATGATGGAGCGGCAGAAGAGGCCGCGGCCGCGCACCAGGTTCTCGCCAAACAGCTCGGGCACAATGTGCTTGATGTTGGCCGTGTTGACCTTGTTGATCAGGCCGTTGATGCTCTTCTTGAGCGCCTCCCACGCCATCCGCTGGTACTCCTTGCTGCTCTTGTCCGTGATCTGCGCCTGCAGCGCCCTCAGCCTCGCCGGCGGGATGTACGTGCCGCCCGACCGCATGTTGAGCAGCTTCTCGTACTCGGCCTTTGCCGCCGCCTGCTTCTCCTCCTCCGTCCGCACGGGCACCGGCGCGCGAGGCGGCGATCGCGAGCGCGAGCGTGAACGCGCTGGCCTCGAGGGGCGGTACGAGTCGCCGCCTTCTCGCTGCTTGCCGCGCTCGCGGTGCGGCATGTCGACGACGGCCGCCATCGTGTGTGTCGCGATCTGGATGGACGGGAAGGGTATATGTCGTTCGAGTCGTAGAGATGGGCGGTCAAGGGCCGGCAATGACAAGGATTCAAAGGGTTGAACTGGGAGAGGAGACACAGGCAATGCTCTGCTCGAAAAGAATAAAAAACGCCTGCCTCGTCGTCGTCACCCAGAATCGAGTGATGGCGGCGGATGGGTTTTGCTAAGGCTGAAGCAACGAAACGAGGAAAAAGATGGCAAAAGCGTGCACGGGCCAAGTTACAGCACGCCACAGCAGCCCGGCTTCAAGCAGCAGTACCTCTGCTCCCGGAAAGCTCTACCTCACCCCGCCCTATCCGTCACTGCGCAAATTGATGTACTCTGCAACGCCACACGCCGTACCTCCAGCCCAATCCAAGCCCCCCCTAACCTCGCTCTCACTTGAAAGGCACCTCTGGCGCGTTTCCCTCTAAACTTCATGCCAGCGTGGGCTCAATCCGCGCCTCACCCAATCCAAGCTTCCACCTCTTCACTATTACTTGAATCAACTCCAGAATCGCCGCCCACGCTCCTTTAAACAACGAACCAAAGACGCCCATTCGATCGCCGATTCTTCTCTACAGAGAACGCAAAAGCTTCCAAATACACTTGAACCATTTCGTTTAACTAACACAAAGCTCTCAAACATGGTGCGCCATCCATCCATCCATCCATCTCCCCTTGTCGCGACATCTGCCAAAGAAACAAAAAAGAAAGGGACAACAGCAACTGGGTACTAATCTACATACTTACTCTCTCTCTCGTCCAGCTCGATAAACTCGTCGGCCTCGCCATGCTCGTGGCCGCCTCCGTCATCTTCCTCTACTACACAGTCTGGACCCTCCTCATGGTACGATAACCCATCGCTTCTTCCATTCCTCCAAACCACGATACCTCCAATTCATACTGACACTAACACATAAACACGGCAGCCCTTTGTCGACGATGACCACCCCCTCCAGAACCTCTTCCTCCCCCGCGTCTGGGCCATCCGCATCCCCGTCATCCTCCTGCTCCTCGGCTCCGCCGTCGTCGGCTCCTTTGTCGGCATGGTCATGATCCGGAGCAACCAGAAGAAGGCCGCCAAGGCAAAGGCCGCCGCCAAGAAGAAGGCGTAAAAAAGGACACACTCGCAAGACGACGCGATTAAGATGTCCGAATGAGAGAAGAAGAATAAAGAGACAGGAACAAAATACAGAGGGAGGACGATTGGGGGGGAGAGAGACCAGCCAGAAAAAGAAATGTAATTACAGTATAAGCGCTCATGTACGATAATTAATGGCTCGCCGTCAAATCATCTGTATGCACGAGGGAATCTACGTGGTACACTTGGCCTAAGCAATCAACCCAACAGTGCATTGGCACGATCGTGGATGATATCAATTGCCTCAGTTTATGGGAAAAGACATTCAAACGCGGTGCAAGGCAAGAGACGCATTGATGGGGTATCTCGAGTGGTGTCTATTCGATATTGAGGCGCAACAGGAGCTGCTAAACAGAAGAGATGCTACCTAAAGCAACAAACAGAATGTGCAGCCGTACAGGCACACGCATCTTATCTAGATAGATCCGAGCAGCGCAGAGAGGGACTCGAAGAGTATAAGCATCCGTCAAACCAATCCTTCAACAGTGTTGCTCAACTTTGCCTGAGAAAACGAAGGGGGAAAGCCAAGCAAAACAACCAACCTAATGTCAGAAGTTGTCAAATTAGTGAAACCTAGTTTATACCCAAGAGAGAGGAAAGGAAAGGGAAAAAACAGCTCGAGTCCCAGACATCCCGTCGTAACAAAGCTCGGTTCCCCATCTTGCTCAACCGCCTGACAGCCGCTTAGACTCTCTGGTCGGCAAAATCGAGAACTTCGCAGTCGTCCTCGAAGAACCCGTCACCATCGGGATCTCCTTGATGGGCTCCGCGTCGTCGCCTGGTTGTGACAACAATCTGCTCGGAATCTCCATACTCCATGACGCGCTCCATGGCAGACGGAGGCAGGGGTCGGTGGTCCTCCGGGTCATCGTATTCGTCCTCAAAAGCCGAGGGCAGCCCCAGGTCCAGCTTGACGACGGAAATGTCCTGCCCAAATGCCCAAGCAGACGCATCTGGCGCGCTACTTGGCGCATTCGCAGCAATGTTCTGAGCCTTCTTTGCCTTCTTGGAAACCGACGTCGCATTGGCGTCCAGCGAAGAGTGCGCAAGAGCCTCCGACATCCCATCGAGCTGGCTGCCGTAGCCAGGGGTGTATTCGCAAAGAACGACACGCCGGTCAGTGTGGAAAGGCTGATATGGCGCACTACACTCAATCTCCGCCTGAGGAATGGTCTCGCCCATGGTATGGAGAGTGTTGGTCACTACGCGTGGACGACCCTTGAGTGTGAGCGTCGTTCCTACGTCCATTTCGGCGTCTGAGAGATCCAGATACTCCTCTTGGGCGCCCAGCTCCAGGACCTGGCGGACGGCCGGGGCAACAGTGTCATCCGGAAGCAATGGTACACGATAATCCGTGTATCGATTGGCGCGCGCATTGCGCCTGCCGCCAGTGTGGCCTGCACGTCGAGACTTGCTGGGATACGTCCGCACAAGGCCTCCGCCGAGGTTGAAGAGAGCGGCGCTCCGTCTGCCCCTGATCCAGACAACGCACGACGCCGAGGGCAGTGCACCGCCGGGAGGCAACGAGACTCGGTTCTCGCCAGTGTTGCGCAACTGGCTGATGGCAGAGCCCGTCTTTCCAAGGGAGCTAGTGATGCTCGCAGCAATCGCGCGCCCTCCCTGGGCTGCCGAGTCCTTGAGGATGCTGCCCGCAGTGTTGGAGCTGTTGCTGCTGCCCTGGCGCGAGCGGGTCACAAACGGCATTGCCACCTGGTATGCCGCACCAAAGGCGCCAGAGGCAAGGGAAACGGCAGAGCTCGAAGGCTCGGGCGGTTCGACGGCAGGCTTCGGGGCCGTCACCTTGCGCCTGCGCGGTGGTGGCCACATGAAAGCGCTAAAGGGCATCTCCAAAAGATGGACGGTGCCTCTCTCCGTCACCATGGCTAGCCGCTCGCCTTGCGGTTCCGTCCAGACTACTTCGATGATGCGCGCGACCGTCATGCGTGAGAACTGGGCAATCTGGCGAACAAGAGGGCCGACGCTCTCATGCGAGGGCAGTGACGCCTGCAGGGGCGAGGAATGGGTGTGTTGAACACGGAGCAGATCCCACACTGTCTGCACGTCTCCCTTGCTGCTCGCCGTGAAGAGAGCCAGGGAGGAGGGCGAAAAGGACAGGAAACTGCAGCCTAGAGGCGTAGCAAAGGTGCAGATGGGGTGGACGGAGGGGGACGCCACCAGCGAGTCAACGTCCACGATGGACACGAGTCCCGGATCCTTGGCCGGCGCCGCCTGTCCAGACGTGCCATGAGTCGGTGGAAACGCGGCGCCGTCATTGCGAGCAGCCCACTGCTGAGGCGGCGACCGGGGCTGCTGCTGCTGCTGCTGCACCTGCTGAGGCTGTTGAGACTGTGGGCTGGACGATCGGTTCCAGTACGAGTTCCAAGCCTGCAGGCCCTGCTGGCCGACCCATCTCGCGCCTTGGATGAGCTCCTGCGTAGCCTCGCGCATCACCTTGTTGACGACGCTGTCGGAGATGGGAAGATCCACGGCAGCGGTGGGCGAAGGCAGGTGAGGCGGCGTGTGAGAGGTAACACCGGCTCCTCTTCCCAAGATGGGCACTGGCAAATGGGCTCGAATGGCAATGCTCGACGACGGGGCCGCAGGGCAGTACGCAATCCTGCGGCCGTGGAGGGCGATGATGGCTGTGGGAGGGTTCGGTCGACGGCTGGTGCCGAGGGGATTCATCTTATCGCTCTCCTCGGCTACATCGCCACCTCGCTGGCCCTGCTGGACGCAAGTCCATAGCTTGGCCGTGCAGGCAAAGACGTGGCCATTCTGCGGCTGCAAGAGCTGCGTGTAGATCCAGCATTCGCCGGTGGCGCCGGAGCAGACCGCGACGGTACCTGCATCTGCCTTGATGGCAAATGCTCCAGTGGGAGGTGGAGGCTGGAAGATTGGGCTCGTCAGGGACACCTCTGCGCTGATGGGAATGGTCGGAGCCTGCAATAGCACATCGACCAGCTTGTTTGTCTTGAGCGAATAGATTTCGATGGCTGTCTGGTAGGCTTCGATTACCTGGCCGCTCTGCCCACCGCGGCCCGAGAAGGCATCGTGGTGAGCATAAGCAGACCGGGGGCTCGTCGCACCGTCGGCCTTGGCCGCGGCATCTTCATCGTCATCCGGGCTTGCCGCCGAGGCTGGGCGCTGGGGGAGTACAGGGCCGTGGACCACCAAAGCAACCAAGGGGAACACAGAGTCCTTGTCGCCGCCAACCGTCCACGGAAGGATCTTGGCGTAATGGACACCACCCCGCAGGCCCTTGAGGCTGGCGATGTGCTCCAAACCCCTCTTGCTGACTCCATAAACCTCCAAGCCGCCCTGGTAGCCGGCCAAGACGACGTTACCAGAGCCAGCGGTGCTGTAGGGGGTCGGTAGCTTGTCGAAGCCGAAATACAGCCCGTGGTCGCCAGGCTTCATACCAGACTGCGGCTTGAGGGTGAGGTCGAGGTCCGAGACGCCGTAGAAGTGAGCCTGGGGCTGGTGAGGGAGCGGAGGGGGATGCGAGCCGATGCGCGAGTGCGTGTGCGAGTACGGGGCCGGGGAGTGGAGGGAGCTGCGGCGATGGTGGGCGGCGGTCGAAGAAGGCCTGGGCATGCTGTCTGGCGAGACGAAATGGGGATCCATCTGATAGCTGAGAGGACGCCTGGGGTGACTGGTGGGCGGAGAGGGCGATGCCGGCGACGGCGTCATGAAGGCTCTCTGGGCTGTCCAGCCATGGTGAAGGCGGCCCGAGTCTTCGTAGGAAGAGGGCTGCGTGGGCGGCGATTCACCGGCCAGGGCGATGAGGTTGCTCGGCGAGGCTGCCATTCCGTTCCTCGCCCAGTCGTGTATCACACTAGGAGCTGTGCTCGCGGAGACGGACGTGGTGGACAAGACATCCAGGGAAGGCGACGGCTCGGGATTCTCATTGTCAGGAGCGGCCGCAGGTCTTATCTCGGGGGTGTTGATCGGAGGAGAGGAGGCGTTGGAGGTAGGGATGCTCTTTGCAGAGTCGTTTCCACTTTCGTCGCCGTCGTTGACAGGTCTCCTATTTATTGACAGACATCCGGGTCAGCAAACCAGGGCAGTCCTGACATGGTAGCGTGCACTAGGTAGACACCAGGCAGCCAGCTGAGAGGGCGGACGAGAGAGGAGAGAGAGAGAGAGAGAGGAGGAGGAGGAGGAGAACGCGCAGGTGAGCGGCGTGAGTCACGAGGCCGAGGCGGGCCATGCGCTGCGATGCCGTGCCATGGGTTGGACGTCAGAGTGGGAGCTGAGGACTCACGCGAACTTGCCGGCCGTCTGTTTGGTCACCGCCGCGGCAATGCCGCCGCTGTGCTTTGCATGTTTCCGTTCCTTCTTGGCTGTCGCGAATGCATCAGTCAGTCAAAGGGCGCACTTTGAAGCGTTTGCGTGTGTGTGTGTCTGCGTGTGTCTGCGTCCGTCCGCTCGGTCGGTCGCCGTGCGTGATGCGCCTGGTGCTGGTCAAGGTAAGGGATGGAGAAGCACGGCTTATCGCGGTGTCGTCACAGCCGTGGCACAAGATAAGACGGGCGCGAAAGGGACCTGGTTCTGTCACTCACCCGGCATTCAACCTGTGTAAGGGGGGGGTTGGAGCAGTAGTCCCGCTCCAGCTGCTTGTTGCTTCCGCAGAACGAGGTGGGTTCTGAGAAGCTCTTTGCTAGACAAAACGAGATGAAGGGAAAAAGAAAAGAAGAGAAAGACGCGAAGAGGGGGTATCGAGAACGGAGAGTCGAGGTATCGGACGAGGCTGATTAGATATCCCGGACCCCCTCGATGACGGCGCAAGAGCAGGCGGACAAAGAGGTTCTCGCAAAGCTTCAGCCAGGCCAGGTAGTCGGCGTAGACGAGATTGGAGGTACCGCCCGATAAGGGGTTTGCCCGCGGGAGCAGCAGAGGGGTATCGACGGTGACGAGGGGCTCGCGTCCAAGGTACTGGCTACTGCCTGGGCACGTCTGGGCAGGTAGACAGACAGGCAGGCAGGTGGGCGAGATCGTCGTACGGAGGGATTATTGGCAGAAAGGTCAATACGAAGAAAGCAGGTAGGTAGTAAAAGAGGTGCAGTGAGTGATACGCTGGTTCGTGCAACAAGAGGGAAACAGGCGCTCTCTAAGGGTTGGTATCTGGAGGAGGCAAGGAGAATGGCGCAGCCACCGCGGGTCGCTGGATTTCGTTTGTTTGTTCGTGAGAAGATGCGAAAGTCTATCGTGGAAATATAAGATAACAAAAGATGTATGACACGTTAATAGAGAAAAGGGCAAAAGGCAAAGAGAAGGTAAGGAATAAGTGGTTCGTCGAAAGATCCAAAGACAGGTAGGTATCAATCAAAGCAGGGCTGGTTCATCAAGGAGAGAGACAAGAGCCGCGAGAGCTGGTATCGTTACGACGTTCAGGGTTGTATGCAAAGGTACAGTAAGGTAGGCAAACGATAGGTAATGATAGTGATAGTGATAGTAGCAGGTTCCAGTTGAAGTTTTGAGTTGTAAGAAAGTTGAAACGCAGTGGATGATGGAGAGGAGAGGTCAAGTCAAGTCAAGGCCGCTGCTCCAGGACGTCTCTCTCGGGGGGCGGCAGCTTTGATGAGTCGCCGCCCGCCAATTACAGCATCAACTGCACATGAATGCCTGGAGCTGCATGTATCGCCCGGTACCGCGACGCCCCATGGCTGCTGTCAGTGACACTGATAACGCGGGGGGGGGAGACGTCGGGTTCCACGTCCGCTGGCCAGCCGCTGCAGTGAGAGCCGTTTGGGGGGGCGTGATTGCGCCAGGGGGCCCCCAAGGGGGGGTCTGGGCTAGAGGGGGGAGGGGTGTGCGGCGTACCGGTACGGCAAGGTACGGAGCCACGCTGGCTGATTGGGAACAGTGGGAGCACCTGGATACATGTAACGAGAGTAAAGCAGTGCAGCCCTGAGAGCAAAGGGACCTGGAATCTTGATTGCTGGTCCTGTGCTGTGGTCAGCGGCCACAGGGGCAGCATCAGCAGCGCTAATTCCCTACAGCTGGGCGAGGCTGGACGCGAGTTCTGGCTACATGTACAAGTATGTGCTCTGGTCTGCTGCCCGCCTTTATGTTTGTGAAGACTCAAGCCAAGTTCCAGCCCAACGCTTTCACGATGCAACTACTACTACCTAGGTAGGTAGGTAGGTTACTACCTTACTGATACAGAGTGCCTCGTGCATCGCCTGTGCTGCTGGTTCCGGTGCCTTACATCTGGTTTATGCAAGGTACATTCGTTATCTCCAGATGGCAAGATACCTACATAAAGGTAATAAAGCAAGCAGACGGGACAGAACAGGAACTGAACACACGATCCCCTCCCCCCCCGTCACAAACACACGTCGACGCACATGAATGCACATGTACAGCCCTCGTACCTGTACGGCCGTGAGCCCGCCGCCAATCGCATCGACGGGCTGCCACGCGCGCGACAGCTTCCATCGCTGAGTGGCCCTGCGGCTTCGGGTGCTGGCGGCGCGCGTCTGCAAAGTCCAACAAGCACCACCTCATGGCCGCCAGCCACTTTTCCCCCGAGCGAGACACCTTCACATTCGATGGAACAAGGCCAAGTAGGTAGGTAGGTAGGTAGGTAGAGGATACCCCGAGCACAGGCACGCCGTTATCTCAGCTCGCTGCCCGCTTGGCGGTGATGGCGATGGCGCCCTGAGTACAGGCAACTTTGGAGCGGCGGCGCTTCCCCCCCATAGGTACGGTAGCGACGAATTCCGTCCGTCCCGGGCAGTGCCGAGGACAAGGGGATCAGATGGGGAAGACACAGCTTCTGGGGGGGATACCTAGATGAGATACGAGTACATGTACATGCATCGGTAGTAAGAAGCGCTGCTTGAGGACCAGTTGCGTATGAATGATCTCGGTCATTTTCTGATGCCGATTGTCTCTGAATGCTCACAAGTACTACTACCTCTGGTACTGAGTACATCCACGTCCATCTCTGAACCCCGATAGGTACCTACTAATACGGTGCCCTACCAGAACAAAACACATCACTCCCAAACAAAACGCCCCGTCATCCATCCATTACAATAAGAGAACACCTGGAACACAGCAGACAACAGCGCCAGAAAACGGCAATTCCAAAGCCACCACTAGCACCCCCCCTCAGCCACCTCACCAGACCCAGCGCAAAAAAGGGCCAGTTGACCAGTTGACCGGCTCCGGCGCGTCATCACCCATCAGCCGCTGGCCTGCCAAATGACGTGCCCCCCCGGCAAATGACTAAGATTGATGCCTATCGCGACGGCCTCCTTTTCCTGCTCCTTATCTCCCTTCTTGTTGTCTCTGGCACATGTGACGAGATGTCCGTCCCGATACGGAGCTGCCTACTCGTACTTACTTGATCAGAGGAGCAGGTGCTGATACGGACAAACAGAAATCCACAGACAGGAAACATCAAAATACAGTATACTACATACTAGCCATGTACTGATAAGCTCCTCTCCCCGTTCACAGCATGCAAATCGCTGGCCCTATTGCGCCACACTTGAATTGCTGCTCTCAATCTCTCCCTTCACACCTCCCTTCCATCCCTTCCCTTGATCCAAGTATGTACAGACTACTACGAGAACTATTATTACTCGCACATAGACAACATCAAATCACCGGAACAACCCACGAACCCCCAGGAATGGGCATCCGTAGAAGCGCACGGAAGAAACCTGATCAAGTCCTGGCTACTACTACCATTACCTGACGTATTTCCCATAACCCGGTCCATCATTACCAATGATTTCATTTACATAACGGCGCTCAGGCCCTCCCCCTAGTACCTAAGAGCAAGTTGCTCTTCCCCCCCAAACGGAGGCGTGACAAGGGTGTCAGGTGATGGGAGCCTCCTACGCCATGGACACGAGTTGGGGGGAAGAGACACAGACACAGACACAGAGAGAGAGACAGAGAGAACACGCATTTCTCAGGGTTCTCTCCCCCGTGGCAAAATCAAGGCCCCCGTTTCCTCCACGCATCTTTGTGTGATGCGACTTGTTTACTTCATAGCGCCCTTCTACATATTAGTTCCACCTCCTAGAACGAAGCCACACGGCGACTGTCCCCCTCCAGTAATGCAAGGGACGGCGACGGCTGCCGCGGGATCGCCACTGGGATGTCCGGGGAAGCTCTTCTTTTTGTGACCACTAATACATACCGACATGTAGGTAGCATAAAGCAGAGTTGGGTTTCCAAGGACAAGCAACGTCAACACCCTCCCCTCCAACATCGTCGAGCGTCGTCATCGTCGCCATTCGCTCTCTCACTCACTCTCAAAGAGAGCAACTCAGCGTCCCTCCCCCAAAAACAATCCCCCATTTAAATACATAGGTAGCTTCCAATCTCCGGTATCGCCCCCCCTCCCCTAATCGTCCACCTGCAAGGTACCTCGCCCTACCTTAACATGTGCCTACACATTGTGATAAGCCCAGACGGGCAATGAACCAAAGCAGCGGCTCCTTATCTTCTATACAGGGCGGGGGGCGAAGGGGGGGCTTGCAGTGTGGCTGGCCGTGATTTCTATTTGGGGTAAAACTACTATTTACTGCTCTCTTCTGCAAACAAGACGGTTGTTTTGGTAGTGTCAGCACGTTAAATAGCACACTGAGCACGCATTGATCCGGAGGGCCTGTGATTCGTCTGGTTGTCCGTAGTTTGTAATCTGTAACAGGTCGGTCTGTTGGTTGTGAAACGCCAGTCAACGGTAAAGTAACATGTAATATGAAAGATCGTGACATGGGGCTCTTCTAGCACCTCATTGCGGGGAAGCGACACAACAAGCAGACCACGACGATTTGACAAGTATGAAGTTATCAGCTATCACCAGATGACCTCTCCCTTCTAGTATAGGTAGGCAAATGCACTATCAATACAACTCAAGACCTCTCCAGTCAGATGTTCTCTCAACGCTCAATCCAATATAGCAAATGCGACTCAGTGCACCACCACCACCACCTCCTCCCCCTCCTCACTTCAGCATATAAACCCGATACTCTGCAAATTTCCACACCTCCTCCTCCCCATCAACCCGCACCTTTCTCAATATCCCATGTCCCGCCCACGCAACCGTGCTCGAGCCCCCATCCTTAGTCGTATACGCCACGTCCCCGTACAGCATCAACTCGCATCTCCCATCACCCTCCGCAGCACGTCCGTCATCGCCGTCATCGTCAAAGCGGCCGGGAAACACTTTGACGACGGTGTGCTTGCGCTTCGCCACAACAGACCACATTCCCTCACGCATCGTCCGGAGCTCTAGTTGAATGAATGCATCTCATCAGCACAGAGCACAAAAAAAACAAAGTGACTATGGGATAGTCAGATAACTCAACCTTCTGTGCCAGTAGCCTTGCCTGACCCGATAGCAACCCGCGCATCCGCCGTAAACTGCTCGACCCAGCGCTCATTCTCCTCCGGCCTGTCCGATATCCTGTAGAAGTCGCTGAGAAAGGCCCGGATCCCGGCCTCGTCGGGCAGCCTGCTGTCCGCCGCCGCATACAGAGGCGTGTATCCTGCCTCGTTGACGACGGAGCCCGCCATTTTTTCTTTTTCTCTCTCTCGTGCCTCTGTAGGTAATAATCTTTCCTTGTAGATTTCGCTGTTTTACTTGTTTTTTTGAGGGACAAAACGTGAATTCAGGTACTATAGATAGATGGAAGAGCTAGTGAGACCAATTCAGCGAATGGATCGAGTTGGCAGTATTTGCAGTCGGAGAGAGGGCGCAGGAGTTGTTGATGTTTATACTGAGTACTTACTCGGTTTCTCACTCACATAACAAACGTACCCATATCCATCTCCAGGGTCTCCTCGTCATGAAAAGACCAGTTACTAAATACTTTGTTTGGTAACCCATGTCTAGCATCAATTTGCACTCGCACAGTTCAAATCCCCCGCCATCCGGTCCTTCTTCCGACGCCTTGGCTCAAGTCCATTGGCGGCAAAGTTCCCGAAAGGCGTCGGATGCGTTCCCGACAATCACAAGTTGCGCAGCTCTTCGATATCATGCTGCTTTTTATAACTCATAGCGCCAATCCGAGTCGCAACTTCATCTGCTGTGAGAAACAAACATCAGACACGCCCTTCATGAGGAGACGAATTTCTTTGTCGGGCTGGAAGAAGCAGAGGCATCCGGTATCTCAGCCATCTCAAGTCCGCCATCAATTGATGGCTCTTAGGTAAGGTAGGTAAGGTAGGTAGGTATAATAATACATACATATAATGCAAAGGCAGGCAAACCCACCTACCGCGCAATTCGTCCCAGCACCCGTATTCCAAGGCCTCCTGACTCCAGGCTTCCAAAGGACTTTGATAAGAATAAAAACACACACAGCATGCATGAGAAATAAGGAAAAGGCCTACTTCTTGACTCCACGAGCACTAATCTCTCCCTTTTCTCCGATATTGAGCAGCTTACGACAGTCGGGGCAGTACCACTTTGTCGTACGCGCAGGAATATCAGAGAGGCCGACGCATTCGAGATGGAACCATTCCTGCTTGCAATTCTGCTGCTCTGTCAGCGCTGCGCTTCTTTCGAACCTCTCAGATGACAACTCCGCGGGCGTCATGGCCCAAAGAGGGTGCATAGATGGAAGATGGCTGTTCAGACTTACATCGACGTTATCACACTGAATCATGGTCCCAAAGCTCACCCTATTACAGAGGCAGTACCGTGGCTCGTCAGGATCAATGGGATTGCCCTCGTCGTCCACCTCCACCATCTCCTCCGTCACCTGGCCCTTGTCCCTCTTAGTCGCGCGAGGCTTTCTCTTGGGTGCCGCTTTCCGCTTGCCAACGGCGCTGTTACCGCCGCTGTTAGTCGTAGTAACGACCCCGGGAGCTGGACGCTTAGTCCGTTTGCCTGGCTGCTTGATAAGTTCTGGGACTGGAGTATTGCGTGCCGTGCTGGCCCGGCGAGATCTATCGACCGCCAGCGATGGCTGCGGCTCCTGGCTTGCGGCCTTGCCTCGCGAGCCGGGCCGGCGAGAAGGCAGCGAGTCTGGAGCCGGCGTGGACCTGGGCGTGCCACCGCGTGATGTTGACTGCTTGACAGACGTCTCCGGAGCCCCTGTCTGGCCCTGTGGCAGCTGGGGCGACGTGGACGCGGACTGCCGCCATTGCTGCTGCTGCTGTTGCTGTTGTTGCTGCTGCTGTGATCGCTTTGCCGCCTCTCCCCGCGTTTCGCGCTTACTGGCCTCTCGCCCGGGTAGTTCTCTAATCGCCGGAGGAGGGATCGGCGTGGTAGACATCCTCGGCTCCGTTTTGGGAAGGGGGACAGGGGTTTCGTGGGGAGTCTTGACAGGCGCGCCAGCAGGCACAGAAACGGCGCCATTGCCAGCACTGCCCGTGACGGCGAGGGTAGAGCCTGGCACTGGAGATGTTGCTGACCTCGTCGTGACGGACGACTGTGGAGGGATGGGGATCGGGACGGGAGTCTCCGACTGGGGCATCCCAGACGACGCGGCAACTGGGGGTGCAGAGTGATCGGAGGACACCGAGCTGCCCTGCACGATTAGACCGGGCACCGGCGGTGGGACTGGTGTCTCAGACGTCTTGGTACGCTTTGTTGTCGGCCGCAACGATGATGTGGCTTCACCGCCTTCTGGCGCTGCAGCTGCTATCGTTGTAGCTGCTGCTGCTGTTGCCGCCGCTGCTGCCTCGCCGTTTGCCTCTTCCTCGCCGTCCCTCTTCCGCTTAGACCTCGAATTGGTCCGCGGCTTGGGCTGTGGTCCAGGGCTCTTTGCGTTGTCGGGCGTCATGCTGGAAGTCGTGCTGCTGCCCAGAAACAGCTTTGCCGCCTGCTGCATCTTCCTCGCAGATTCCTCGGCTTCTTCCGCGGCAAGCTTGGCCAGCTGCTCTCTCTTGAGCTTCTTCGCCTCGTTGAGCTTCATCCCCCGGTTGCTGGTCGGCACCTCGGTAGCCGCCAGGGAGTCGACGCTGATGGCACCAGCAGGCAGTTGCTTGGCTCCCGACTCGTTGTCGACGATGGGTGTCGGCACTATGGCCTCAAAGACTCGGCCTTCCTCCTCCGCCTTCTTCTTGGCCTCTCTGTAGGCATCCGGTCCTCGGCACAAAGCCTTGAGCTCTCGGGCAATCATGGTCTCGCTGGGGGTCCACGTAGCATTCTTCTTCATCCTCTTTCTCAGTTTGGCCAGCTCGTACTGCGTCAACTGCAGCCACGGCGCATCAGGGCTTCCGATGACGGCGTTCTCGGGAGGAGGGTTGAGCAGCGCCGCCGCGTTCGCAGCAGCGGCGGCGCTCAAGGCAGGCGTAGCATACTGTCCACGCGAAGAGCGGCCACTGGACTTTTGACTCTTGTTGCTCACCAGCTTGATGCGCGGCGCGGAAGCTGGTATTCTGCGGTTGGCGGTGGTTGCGGGCGCCTCGGACTCTTCGTCGGAGCTGATATCGCTGTCGTCGCTAAATGTATCGTACTCTATCTCGTATGGCGCGAGAACCTCGCCGGGAACCGTGATGCGCGGGACTCGAGACCGCCGCACTTTCTGCCCATCTTCGCCCGTAGCCCTGACCGTCAGCTTCGCCCTTGTCATTTGAGGAGACCTCGGCTCGGCAGGGGCCTGCTCCTCTGTCGGGTAGTTGTCCATCATGGCCTGCAGCTTGGACAGCAGCGCCGTCGCCTTGTTGTAGTGGCGGTTGACATTGTCGGCCATCCTGACGGCCTCTGCGTGGGCGAAGATCCTCGCGTCCAGCGCCTGCTTCAGGTTCTCCGAGATCTCGGCGCGCAGCTGCACCGGCGAGGGGCGCTCGCGGGCTGGCAGGGCCGGCAGTTGGCCCCATAGCGTCGTCAGGTCGTCGACCTTGTGCGAGGCATCTGCGTATCTCTGATCAAGCTTGCCAACGAGCGTGAGGGAGCGTATCATGTCGGCGGGCAGGTACTCGGTGAAGTCGAGGAAGTCGGTGACTGTCGTCTGGGCATCGGGGTCTGCGCGCGCCGTGAGGACGTCGCTCATGGGCCCCATGGACGGGCCTTCGGCGAGCTCAAACGTCGCCGTCTTGGTCTTTGGCGAGACGACCTCTTCGTGATCCATGGCATCTGACGCGATCGCGGGCTCGGTCGAAGCGGCCATGGTGATGATTTGACGATGCGATTCGGTTCGCAGCACCTGGATCCGGGGTGTCTGCAGCCTCTCTGCTTGGCGCGCGCTGCGAGGTTCGAGACTCCAGTTGGCCGCTGGATGCCGTAAGCGAGCTCGAAGTCAAGGGCAGTCTGATATTGGATATTCACGCCCGACGTCGTCCATTTGGCGGCGGCCCTCGATATGCGGCTGGACGTGACACGAACCGTTGACTCGCTGGCGTTGCAACTCTGGGCGAACCGCGTTGAGGCGACTTTATTCGGTCGCTTTGCTTCTGTTTGGGGTTGCTGCAGCGCCGTCGGGACAAGCTGGCCCGTGCGCTGTGGTGCGATGGCTGTGCTGAGTCAGCATTGACGCTGTAGCTTGAAGCTTCGTGCCTCTTGAAACACATCCTACCTACTACCTTAAGGCAAGACTCGACAACCCTTCGTGGTGTGTTGCTTCAGCTGGGTCATTACGATACATCACACGAGGCTTCGAATAATTGCACTGGAAGATGATCCTGCAGCTACGGTTCTTACAGACGCATATCGGGATTGTCGTATCAACGAATCTGAGATCATCGGCAGACGGCTGTGCTTGCTGCTTACTATTCCATCAATCCACCTACATGCTATATACACCGAGCTACCAAGGTACATGTATGTAACAGCATGAATCGTCCCGGCGATGCTGACAATCCTTCCCATCTAGCAGCCAACCTTGCATACCTATCGGAAGCGGTACGCGGCACGGAGCAATCATCTCCATATGCTGACGCGGAAAAGCGAACGAGATCCTGGCCTGTGCGAGTTTATCCTTGTTCCGCTGAGCTTGTCTCTTTGTCTAGAATCTATTATTGTACCACATGCGGTGCCACCTGCAACCCCCGACTTCAACCTCAGCTCCTCCTCGGTGGGCGCAGAGCCTCTGCAGCTCCTCTCGTGAGGTCGAGTCTGGTATCTTCCGCTCTCCTCAAAAATCCCAGTCCGCTTCCGAGTCCCGCGTCAGGTAGGGCCCTAGAAGTTCGGTTGATTCTGATGCGAAACAACTGGAATGCGGCCCGATGAGCGTCAATGCGCCGTACACAATCAGGCGCCTGCATGTCCTATTCGAATCCTCAAGTTAGCCGTTATGTTTCCAGTAGCAGCGGCAAGCTTGCCAGATATGTGAGGTTCAGTCTTACAGAGAGCCGATGACAATGACGTTTCCGTAGATCTCGAGGTCATTGCCCTCCAGGACACCTTCGACTCTCAGCTTTCCGGAAGCTATGATCTTGTCCCTACACCAAACTTGCGTTAGCACCATCTGATGCATGCCCATCGACACGTATTGGGCTCCTTCAATTCTTCCCCTCTCCGTAATGGCAACTCACCTGGAGGATAGGTAGCCATTGACCATGATGTTGCCGTGCGCCTTGACCTGTCCCCTTTTACCCACGAGTCAGTGATATGCTTCTATTTGCTCCCTAGCCCCCCCATCCCCCACATGTCCTCTGCTTCTGCGACCCCTTTCAGATGGGAGTGATGGAACTTACTGCCAAACCATGTGCCCCTTTGTGGTGATCATGCCATAGGCCTCAATTGCTCCCCTCACGGAGACGTTGCCCTGGAAGTTGACGCTCCCCATGCACTGGACCGAGCCGGTCACCTCAAGCGGCCCTTGGACATCGGTTTCCTTGTCGCTATAGATGTTCTTGGTCACCTTGACGCCTTTCTTCGTCCTGTTTCCCGACGCCGATGCAGTAGCATAGTGCTCGGACATGGCCGGAAGAGGAATGATGGAAGGGTAAAACAGCGGCGGTAGATGTTATATAATATCAAGGTCAGGGCAAGAAGAAGGCACCGTCTTCCCACAGCAAAGGGCAACGCAAAAAGGCAATGCCACTTTGTAAGTCGTTGGAATTGTAGGGTATCGGCTTGTTAGTGCTCACAACCCTTGTCTGCGCGATAGCCGAGAGAAGTAATCTTTCATGGGCGAGCTTGTCTGAACAACGAAAAAAGGCAACTTGATGCTTTCTCTTCTTCGTTTCCTTATGTTCAAGAGCCCGGGCGAGGGGCATCTTATACTCACAAGTCGAGGATGGCGTGTAACGACCTGCTACTCGTTGTTCGAGGGCTCCCACGGCCAGATGACGTGGGCCTTGAGTCGTCCTCGTCTCGTCTTTCCCCCCCCGCGAAAGCCGGAAGAGACAGAGAGAGAGAGCGCAAAGGAAGCAAACACCCCGGAGGTCAGCTCTCGGAGGAAAAAAAAAACAAGAGGGCAAGTCAGAAGGTGCAAGACCGTTGGTGATGAGTCTCCGCCGTCGCCTGATGCACCCCTGCCAGCACACCGGTCATTGTCTACCTCAGCTCAGTACCGATTTGGGACGAAGAGCTGAGCCTGGCCGAGTGACGATTCCTGCCCTGTCCTGCCCTTTTGCCAGGTTCCCGTCGACCTGTTTCCTTTCTTTCTGGTTTGTGTATGTGTGTGTGTGTCTCCGCCTTGCCGCCTGTTCCCCCCTCCTTGTCATGAGAACCAGACAGGCACACACAGACTCACACGCACACGCACACGCACACGCAAAAAGAGACAAAAGAGATGTAGACAAGATGAGAAGCTCGATATGGCGCCGAAGCTGCTGCGCGGGCTGTGTGACTGCTGCCCACACACCCCCCTAGCTTTTCCCAGCTTCCGTGTGAGTGTGTGTGTGTGTGTGTCGTGTCTCGGCTCTTGATTTTTATTCTCGTTTTCTTCTTGTCTCCTTGCTGAGCCGAGCAGCAACGTGGTAATATTGGTTTTCTCTGGCCAGCAAAATATTGGAAAATCCTCAGGAGAAGCCGGGACTCCGCACGAGGTGTGTGGAGAAGAGAAGACGAAGGAATCAGAAGAAGGGGGAGAGAAAAGAGGGTGCCTTCTTTTGCTTGGTGTAGCAAGTGCCCAGTTGTTTGCTAGCGCAGAGCTAAAAAGGGAAATGTTAAGAAGGAAAGAAGATGAGACTAAGATGGGGGGAATAAAAAGGTGCTGGCCAAGAACGAAAAGAGATCCATGGCTTGACGAAAATCTGGTCTAGAGCTTCTCTGTCTCTTCTGACCTGGCTCGTTTTATGGAGCCTCCTTTTTCTCTCCTAACAAGTATCAACATGCGGAGAATTGCCATTGGGCTCTGTAATGAGGTAGTTCGTCATGTCCATTTTTAGCTTCTTGTTTGTTTTGTTTTCCTTAAACTTCACTAACACCAGAAGCCAAATCCCTCGAACATCTGCCGCCATCAAAAGGCAAACATGATGAGATGCAGCAAGCAAAGACAGTTGGCAAGAGTCATGAGCTCTTCCTGACCTCAGATCTACATACATTCATGAACAAGACAAGCCATCCGACAAGCCCCCAAATCAATATCATCCCTGTCCGAATCCTACACCACAACACCGCACCACACCACACTACAGCTAAGGTAAGAGAAGAAAGAAGAAGAAGAACAATGACCCGAAGCTCAGGTTCCCACTTCAGCCCATCTCAAACCTAGGTAGGTAACCATGGTAATAGTCATACCCTTTCCGTCCATCTCCCTCCCCCCCAGCCAAACTCCGAACTCGTTTCCTTCTTTCAGCCCTCTTCGCACGTGTCGCTCATGCTCAACCCCCCCTTGCAAGCCTCCCCTCCCAGTAAACCCCCCAGTTTCAGCTGCCCCCCCATGCAAAGAGCGTGTAGTAGATGAAGCCCAATATAGAAACTCTCCTCTGCATTATTAACGACACCTGAATTTTGGGGGCTATTTCTTTCCTTTTTTTTTTCTGAAGGTTAAATACGTCCTTGGTTCAGGGTAAGTACATCTCTTCCCCTACCTAGAGTATGAGTGTCATTCTTTGGGAGCAAACATACATGTAAGTATGTACTACACTTTTTTCCTCCGAGTCTCTTCCATTCAAGACGTGAATGAACAAGGTCACCCCGTCCTCAGGGCTCCTTTCTGCGCTCTGCGTCACCACTCAATCCCAGCCCAGCGGTTATAACGGCCAGAGAAACATCCCCGTACCTCAGCTACACACAAGCTTTCCATCCTGTGTCACAATCCTTTCCGGAGTAATCATACCCGAGGCTGAATCGGTCTTTTCAGGCACTCCCCAAATCTAAAGGGCATCTCGATCCGGCCTGCCCAAAACTCCTTCAGCCCCCCCCCAAAGCCTCACCACTCCCATTGACGTATACCTAACCTACCTCTCTACAAACCTGTACCTGACCTAGGTAGTACCTGGCATGTCTACTAGTCAATTAGTAGGTAGGTACCTTAGTAGGTACCTAGGTAGAACAGAGTGCCCACCCCCTTCGAAAGATTCTACCCCAAGCGTCCTAGCCATTCTCCAGATCCTACGATAAATTACAGCTCATTATACATAAAGAGTAATCCTATTTGAACCGTAGCATATTCCTATTTGAACCGTAGTGGTCTGTGCCACGGCTAGAGAGACACCCCCAAGTGGCAAGGTCCACGCCCGCACAGCAAAATACAGTGTAGCACACTGGCGGTCATTACCGTCAAGGGACAGCAGCGGCATTAGCTTCTAACCGTCGCCGGGTTGCTCATGATCTCTGCATAGGTACGGATAGCTGGCTGCAACTTGGACCTACAGACGACTATAAGGAGGCCCTGCTGCTGCTGCTGCTGCTGCTGCTGCAGTTATAGCTTTAGCCCTAGGGCGATGGCGGTTATGATAATAAAGGCAGAGGGTCTACGGTATTAGAGATCGCGATACTGTTGTTTATGGTGTTGTTGTGCGGGCTACAGGATGTACCATCAGCTCATACTGTATATAGGTGTGCAGCTCTGGGACTGGTGGTGTAAGCGTAATGATTTTAGTATAGGCACGGACCACTACGGTTCAAATAGGGATATGCTACGGTTCAAATAGGATTACTCTACATAAAAGCGAATAGCAATGGGTTGATTCACACCGAATCTGATCAACACGCATACCCGTACATGATCATTATTGACCCCCAACTCCCCAACAACAATCAGTCGGTCGGCTTCGCAGGTGCCTTGACGAATCCATGCCCCAGTCACCGGTCAATCTTCCCATGACGAGCTGAACATGGCCCAGCTCGCAACACATCCGAACAAGGCCATGATGGACGTTCTTGGGATCACATTCCATGCCTTGTCACCTTGTCTTTCCTCCGGATTCCGTTTCCATGTACATCAACCTCCATCACGCCCCTTCATTCCCCGAACTCTCAGCTACACACATATACACACACACAAGAGATACCAAGAAGATGCCTGTGAGTATTTGTTGTTCTTCGATTTTCTTTTCTCATCCTCAGCTCAGCCCATAGACCCAAACCATACACAGAAAAAGCAAAGAAAGTGCGAGAAGCAAACAAAAAAATGTAAGCCAAGCCAATAGCGAGTTTCACCTTGTCCATTCCTCCCATAGATACCTAGCGAGAGAAGAAAGAAGAAAGAGGAAAACAAACGCCAAAAGACACCACCAGAGCCAAACTCAACGAGCCAATATGATGAGATACTAGAATACATGGTCAAATGAACACGGTGAAAAGTCAAAAGACCTACATTGATAATGCCCCCCCCCCCCCCCCCCCCCCCTTGCTTGTGTGTCCTCAGGCCACATCCGAAGACGCCGCCACTACCCACACCCTCGGAACCTCCTGTCAGAAATCGTGGGATATTGTAGCCGCTGCTCTCTCAGTCGCGTCCCACGAGCCCCAAGCCCAGGCCCGTGCAGAGAGCCGCAAACACCCACACGCCCGCATATGCGGCAGCACCCTCTGGCTCAACTCCCGGGATGGTCATGGCGCAGGCCAGGTACGTGTTGACGCCCGTGACGAGCAGAGTCACCGCCGTGCGCCCAATGGCCACCTTGGCCTTGGTGGTATAGCCCCAAAAGTTCCACCACACAGTCTCTCCCAGGCTGGCCTCGGCGGGGTCAAAGTTGGTGACGCGCTCGTCCTCCTTGGTCTTGCCCGTGGTGGCAAACGGCGGGAAGATGAAGGTGCTCGCGGCGATGCCAAACAGCAGCGTCACAGGCAGCACGGCGAGATACGACGCCGAGTACGCCGGCTCGAGATTGCGGAGGCCCTCGAAGTGGACGACAAAGATGCTGGGCAGCAGGAATCGCTGCGNCGCGCCCTGGNCGTCGGAGTATATGCTCGTCGAGAGCCCCGCCGTGAGCAGCTGCAGAGGCCACCCGATGAGCTCGCGGTTGGGCAGCGCCGAGGACGGCTTGTGAACGGCCGAGAGGGGCCGCAGGAGCGAAAAGGGCACCGACGCAGAGACGACGTCAACGGCAAGGGCCGCAATCGTCGTTTTCGCGCTGAGGTTGTAAAAGGCGAACAGGAGGTACATCTAAGAAAGTTGGCCAAGTCAGCTTCAACCGCCACATGTCTCAAACGTCTCCACAAACGGTCAAGGTAACAGCAGCAGAGAGTTGGGTGTTACGACAACTTACCGCCGGCCCGTGGGACAGGAAATCCATCATGGCAACATCCAGCCCGTCCAACCCGCCGAACCAGCTCAGCGCAAGCTCAAATCTACGCCATCTCGTAAGCAAGTTGAAAAGTCACAAAGCAAAGCCCAAGCAAAAAAAAAAAAGCCCACTCACATCCTCCAGCCGGCAAGGATCGCAATCTCCTCCCTCGTCCCCGGGCTCCGGCTCACGCCCGCCAGCTCCCCCTGGGTCAGCTCGGCGACCACGCTGTATCCGAGGCTCGCCGTGGCGAAGCTGATGGCCGCGACCAGCGGGAACTGCACCAGCGTCGGGATCCTGGCCGTCGAAGCTGCTTCCCGGTCCGGTCTTGCGCCGCCACTGGGAGAGCTGGCAACAAGAGCAGCATCGTCGCCACTGCGGCGCTTGGGCGTCACCTTTTCAACCGCCTTGTTGACGTTGTCTCTCAACTTCTCCGGCGTAGCCACCCCGTTCACCTCATCCGCGCCCGCGTCAACATGTGCCCGCGCGCTTCCGGCCCTCGTCGCTCGCCTTAACGTCGGCATCCTTGCGGTTCTCTGCGTGTGAGTGCGTGTTGTTTGAGCTGTGTCGCAATGGTAGCGACAGGTTTGCGTCGTGTCTTGTCCCTCCCCCGCAATGGCAATGCGCGTCTCCTACGCGGTCGATGCGGAATTGAATCGGTAGCGATCTGGTCAAGTACTACTCCGAGTCGTCGCAGCTACTATAATGAGCAGCAGCCCTGAAGTCACACCGAATATCCCTCAAAGGCTCGCGTCAAGAATGCGCAGAATTTGCTCCCCAATGGATGGATGGTGTTTTGTGTGTGTTTGTCGAGAGTTGCTCTGGGTCTTGATCCAGAGCTTGTGCGGGTGGAGAAACGTGACGTTTAGGTCGCTGGGGAAACTGACGACGACCCAAAAGGCTCAAGTCGCTGGTCCCCGCAATTTGCTCATCCATGGAGCTCATAAGGTAAGCTGCTGCTTAAGTACACACAAGCTGGAGCTCAATTTCCGTCTCGTGCTGCTAGTCAGGGTCTCGTACAAATTTTTTCAATTCTTCTCTTCCACAACTCTCCCACAAACCTCGCACCATTGAATACTGAGAAGAAGACCTTGTCTCTCTATTCTCGCCGTGGCTGCTCCAGAGTTTCATGTTGACTGCGCTTCATTCACCGTTCTCGCCGTGTTTTGCTGGTTACATATGTTATTCGTTGACAGGCTTCATCAAGATGCATCTTCAATCGTCACCGTGCGCGCGTGCTCTCGCGCAATGGCATCGACATGGCTTTGCAGTGATGGTGTGAAGTTTTCTTCTCGATTCTCCTTCCAACTTCCTGTTTTTATATGATTTATTCAGAAACTTGTTTCCGGGCGTACGCTCGACGCCTCGCCGGACCCTCACTTTAACCTCGTGGAGGAGCAATCTCGCCCAGGCCCTCGACGAGCCCAGACAGGCCCTCCACTCTTCGGTGCTGAAGATGCGACAGCGGAGCAGAACCATCCCCCCAATGCACTTCCGTCGAGTATATTCATTGTACAAAAGAGACACCGCGCCGATTCCCTCCCAGTTGTGGTGATATCCATAATTCGTCCCAGAGCAATCCGACTCCCGGTGTCATATTAAAGAAGAAAAAAAAGAGGCCAAAGCGAAACAGAAAAACAAAAAAAATCAACGTCGTCACGGTTCGAGTTCCCCAAGCGAGTTGCTCCGGCACATACCCAATAATTACTCTTCCATACGGCCAAAGACTCCGTCGTCATCTTCATCGCTGCGAGCGCGAGACGGCATCTCAAAGTCGTCTTCGCTCTCCTCCATCTTGACATCCTCGCTCCCGCGCCGCATCTCACCACGGGTGAAGCTCTCGGGTTGTCTGCTGGGGAAGCTGTTGATGAAGCCGGCGCTGACGAAGGAGGCGGCTTGGTCTAGGAACTGCGTCGGGACCGGGGGAACGGGCGGTGCCTCTTCGACGTGCGTTATTACGGCGCCGCGCGCCGCGGTGTTGCTGCCAAAACTGCAGCTCAGCAGCTCAACAGCTGCGGCCAGCTCGTGGTCGTCCTCACCGTTGGCATTGATGCCGGATGATGACGGCCGTACGTCCATGCTGGGGCTACGACCATGGTCAAATCCTCGCGCATTAGGGATGCTGCCAAAAGCCAGAGGGTTGGATGGCTGCGGTGATGCCAGGCTTCGAGAGAAGACGCTGCCCATGCTGTAGCGCTTCTCGCGATATGCAGACGTATCAAATGTAACGCCTTGCTCATAGATTGGGGGTGGGGTGGTGTCGGCGGAACTGTGGCCATCGGCCTGGTCCGAGTAGCCAGAGGCGGCGGGCGACGAAGCCGTTTCTGGCTCGCTGGCAAAGTCCCGGGCAGAGTCCGGAGGGGTGACTGATCTCTCCTTGGGGTTGCCGTTCATGGCCACCAGGACAGACGCCGCTTCGAGCAGCTGTACCTGCTGGTGCTTGGAGATGAGCAGCTTGGAGGTAAAGGACCACTCAGGCGTGTGCTCCCATCTAGCCAACAAACAACGAGTCAACGAAATGAAACTCAAATCACGCATGCTTCGCCAACGGAAAGGGATGGAAGGGAGGAAAAGAAAAGGAGAAGAGGGGGGCAAAGGGGAATCAAGGAAGAGAGGAGTGTCGGAGGACCAGAGGCAGGATGTGGTGTGGCTGCACCCAAACCTAGGCAAGCGCAGATAGCAAAGGCACAAGAGGGGAGGGAGACCAACAGGTGCTTCGTCAAACAGCTGCTGTGCTTGTAGCCCTTGCCGCACGTCTCGCAGCGAACTTCTACGCGGCTGCTCTTCTTGCCATCCTTGGTCAGAGGCTGTCCGTCGCTGGCTCGTCGTATCCGGCTTTGGTCCTGGTGGGCCGCCGCCTCGTCGGCCGAGAGCTCGTTGGAGTCGTCGTCGATGGCGCTGCTGTCCGTCACCTCCCGCTTGGCCTCGAGCAGCGACTTGTTGTTGGGTAGGCTGGCCGGCGGTGAGGGCAGGCTGTCGACGAGGCCCGTCCGCTGGGCCGAGGCCTGCTTGGATGTGATGGCGTTGCTCGTGTTCCGCCGTCCCCCGCTTGCAATCGGAATGGCGCCGCTCTGCTCGCTCTCCCGCAGCGCCGCCGCCAGGGCCGCGACGTTGGCGCCGGGAGTGGTGACGGACTTTCGGCGGGTGATTCGGTGTGTGGGATTGAGGGCACCGGTGAGCAGCGAGTGCGGGTGCGAGTGCGAGTTGGTTCGGGCGTGGGACTGCCGGCCGGCGAGGGCCGAGGCTGCGGAGCTCGACAACGGCGACCGCTGGTGCGTCAATGGCCTCGTAGAAGGGTGCATCTCCTGCGGGTGGACAAAGACGTCAGCAAAAGACGAGGCCTCGCGAGCGCAGGGGGCGAGCCCGAGACGGAGCAGCAGCGGCTCCGGGACGACGCGATCATTGCCATACTTTGGAGGAGGCCATTGCCAAAGGGGGGGAGAGTGAGGGGGTGATTGAAGTCGTTCGGGGAGTCTATCGACAAAGACGCTGGACCGTCGCAGGCTCGGGGGCTGCAGCGGCAACGCTTTCGATGTAAGAGGATGTCCAGCAGCAAAAGGTTCGGACTCGTTCACGATGGCTTCGCTACCGTTATGATGTTACTCAGCGCGGACGGATGTTGTGAGGGAGAGACCAAAAAAAAAAAGTTCCAAGTCAGAAAAAAAAAAAGTCCAGGATCGCTGAGCAAGTAGTGAGAACGAGAAATAATTATTTTAGGAGGAGCAACACGCAAGGGGAGTGTGTGTGAGGTGTGAGGGTGAGTGTGTGTAGATGCGGCACGGCGGGGGCGCGTGTATTAGCTACAAGGCCGGAGGAGGGAGGCGTGTATTCTCGTCCCTTGTCTGGGAGTACACGGCGACTCCTACTGTGTCCCGCTGGCGCTGGAAGTGCTGCTTTCACGGAGAACAGAGGTACCTTACCTACTCTCCGCCGGTCGGTGTTTGCACCTTCTGGCAACTGTCGTGTACTTGGACTTGCTGGTACTGAGTACACGTGTAAGCAGCAACAAAGGAAGGCAGCGCACATGTTTGTCTCGCTCAAAACAGCACATAAGAACCTACTAACCTATCTGTCCCGTCTTCCAACTGGACTCCGTTCTGTACGTTCACTTTCGTTGTTTGTCGAGATTGGAGTCGAAATTGCGCCAAAAGCCAGCGCGAAAACAGGGCACGGAACACCCTCCGTACTCTGCATGTACCTCGCCGTACTCCGTGTCAGGGACGGAACCTTCCAGCAAGCTGGGCACCCGTCCTCGACAGTACTGTACGAGAATCAGGAGAAAACGGCCGCATGAGCACCAGGCTGTAATGCCAACGGTAGGACCCAGAAAAAAAAGAGCACCAAGAAGCAAGGCACGGCAAAGCAGCGGTTAGGTAGTCTTCTGCCTTAGTACTGTATTAGCACGGCCCAAACGTTCAGCCTGTGGGGCGCAGCAATCCATCGGATGGGCTGCTGAGCAGCACTTGAGCCCACAAGTACATAACGAGACGGGAGCCTGAGGTGATGCGAGACAAAGAGAGAGCCAGGGCTCCAGGCAGGTGTCTGTCCAGCGCAGAGGCCCTCCCTGACAGGCCGTTCTGGTTCCCCCTTCCAGCGGCTTCCACTGGCTGTTTGTGCTCGTACCTGCGCCTGTGCTGGGCTGCCCTCGTCTGTTGTCTCTCTTGACTCCCAAGTCCTTCACGCTCTGCTCAACCTCATCTTGTCCGGCAAGTCGCGCGTCGCCAGAGGTACCTACTGATAGGTAAGGTAGAGCGCAGTACGGCGTAGGTGGGGGTGTACCTTGGTTTGCTTGGCCAGGTCTGACCCGGGGGCCAGCTTGGGACCCGCTGACCCGGGTTGATCACCAGGTCGAATGGAGAGGCCGTAAAGGGGGATGTTGGAGGCATGCGAAGGAGCAATTGGAGGCTTCTGGCGCTGGCCAGGGGGTGTGTGGCGAGAAAGGAAGACGACAACAAGAGACGACGCAGAAACAAGTTGCACTCCTGTACTCGTCACGCTACTGGAGAAGGGGGTCAATGTCGATGTACAGTGTATGAATCGCCTAATACAAGGCGCATCGCAACTAATATTGACACGAGTGTCTGTCTTCGTACACTGGCGCCTGTTGTGTCTCTCTTTGGTGTAATGAATCGACGTGTCCTGTTCAGGAACCATTTCGCTGTGGAAGCTGGGCAATCGAATTCCATCCGTCTAATGGAGGCGCAGGTACCGGATACGCTTCCCTTGTGCCCATCCAGGTTCCTTCAACGGGGGCGCTGACACCAACAGGCACGTTCTCATCCAATGTGTGCTCGTACAAGTACCTACTCCGTACCGGCCAACTCATCAGCATGGGGCTACCTAAGGTACCTAAGGTACTATTGTTTGGTTTCTGTTCGAATACCATACCCTGGCGAAATATTTGGGTGCCTACTTGCCCGGCACTGATAACGCGAAAGTACTGCCTGCAACACGCCTCCGAGTTCCCTGTCGTTGTCAAGCCCTATTACTACTACCAAGGGCCTTCGGGAGTGTGTGCTTGATTGTGATTGTGCGAGTACTTGCACGGCCCGTAATACTCCGCGAAAAGGGATGAGGCCTGACTCCTATCGGGGGCCATGCCATGGCTCAGCGAGCGATACTTGGGAGGGGGACCGATTGGCAGCGCCAGTTGTCGATGTCCATCCATCTTGGCAGCAACAACTCCAACTTGTTAATACAGCGCAGAAAAGCGACCTCAAACACCGTGTCAAAATGAAGATGCGCGTCGCAAGAAAATCGAGGGTCCTGCTCAATGCGACTACCTTTCTGATACTGCGGTTTGACGCCAGGCGAGCCACATTCACAGTCAAACCTCCTTACTCATCCCCATCGTTCGTTTGTACCTAGTCTCACGTACTCCAAACGAACCCCCGTCCGGCTCACATGACCAGCGCCAGACGTTTCTCGCACGGAGGCACCTGATCCCATTTCATTCGTGGAGGGGGAGTGGCTGACTGACGGAGGGAACGACGAACGCTCCAAGTCGCCGTTAGTATCGCAGAGTATCTCCTCAAGTGCCATCAAGCCATACCTCGTACGGGTATGAGAAGAGCATCGTCCCGTGTTAGCGCCGTCTAACCCAGTGCCCAGACGAGGATATCAGCACCCGTATTATGCTAAGGTACTATTTGTATGCGTACTATCGGCGGCATCGGTGCGGCGAATTACAGTGACAAGAGACAGCATCTTGATTCCGGAGGAGCTTTGTCGATTGGCGAAGATGCATGCAGATACATTGCGCCGCAGCAGTTTTCTTCATGATTTCCGGAATTGCAACACTTGGAGGCCTTCCAGCTTGATAACCGCTGGGACGCCGCGATGACTCGAAAAAAAGGGGGCCGCCAGCGGGAAACGCAGTTCCCCTTCAGCGCGGAAATTGAACAACATCGATAGCCCATCGTCCCGAATCTTCAGCTCTCGCTTCCACACTCGTACCAGCTACTAGGCTCACGGGTGGTTTCGCCGCCGCCGCTGCATCGATAAGAGCCCCAGCCCTATGTAGTTACTCGTGCTGTACGGGTTGCTAAGTACCTCCAACGACGTCGGAGCCTGCCCCTCAACCTTCGTCCCCCGATGGCCGAAGCAAAAGCTGCCCGCAAAAAAACTGAATCGCTCATCGTCGATAGAATGCTGCATCGGACTCGATTATTGCCAGGCCGAAGTGGATGCGACAAACTGGATCAGACTGCCCCCCCGAAGCCCCGTTTCCACCCCCGCAAGATGCTCCGCCAGGCTTCACCTTTCCGTGTATTCGCACCTTTCCTAACGAGCCATCGTCGATCTGCTAAATAAAGTCATCTCATCTTACGAGTACCTATTACTGTCTTCTCCCATCCAGAGAGAGGGGGAAAAGAAACCCCAAACTACCATACCTTTTCCCGGGAGCCGACGATATGTACTTACATACAATGGCTCTGTACGACCCAGGCCTTCTGCTTCGTCGTCTTCTTGGGCCGAATACGGCTTGGATGAGGGGCTGCTCCGGAGCGGGGGAAGGGGGATGAGAGCTCTCTGTCCGTTGGGAACCGACGGGTGCGTCCAGTTGTGCGCTGTCCGTGCCAGGGGAAATCGGCAGTGACGATGTGATTCGAGGCAATGTCTGTACTACCCAGGGTCGATGAGGGCAACGGGACGCTTCCATTGGCCAATTGGCAAGTCATGCAGCTTCGTACGAGGCACGGCATGGCCTCTGCTTTGCCAGCAAGCAACGAATTGGCCAACGGCGGAGCAGGAACCTGCATGTCTGATTCACCACTTTTGCCTCTTTCTAGGCAATGACCGCAGGACAAACCGCAACATCAGCCGGCTAAGTACGGCAAGTCTGGGGAATCGTTAAGCATAAGGAAAGGGCCAAGTTGCGGAGGCAACAAGGCTCATGATTGCAGTCACCGCTCGTCTGTGGAACGAAAGCAAACATGTACAAACAAGTAAGAGTCACAGCTTGACTGGGTTCGGTCGCCTTCAGGTATAAAGGCAGCCGGTCTGATGGAGATGATGGAGACGCTGTGGATATCATGGAGACTTTGAAGCTGTGACGAGTAGCACCTCGTACGGAGTCGGCTGGGAGCTAACAGCAACAGATGATGGGGCCAAAGAGGTCAACAAGACCAACTGGATACGGAAGAAGAGGGGACCAGTCATGAATGCAAAGACACACAAAGACGCAAGACAAAGGATGAAGCCCCTTGGCGCAAAGCTTTCCGGGCGTGGAATAGCATCAACTTCTGGAAGACAACAAAGAATGCCCAACGAACACAGAAAAAGGCATGGAAGTCAAAGGCCACCAGGAACCCGCGAAACTTGAATGCCTCTCGTTCTCGCCCTGCGATACCGTGCGGATTGTCAAGCCCTTACGGTATTTCCCACAGGCTCTCTAGCGCACTCGCCAGCGCTCTAGCTCCCCCGACCAGCGCCAACACCACCCGCTAAATGGGCGCTGTCGACGCACCCCCCCGGCCGTGCGCTTACGCAGGTCACGACTTCCGGCAGCGAGCTAAGGGCATCTCTGCCCATGGCACCATCGCAGGCGCATCGAGAGCAAAGCGGCAAGCGTTGGATACATGTAGGCGGTTGCGGCACGCTGGCCGAGTTTGTGAGCCCGCCAGGCAAAGAGGGCCGGCAATTCTTGGGGCTGCTGTTTGACAGCCTCTTTTGTCACCGTTTCGACCGAGTCCCTCAACAGCACCTCACTGATATGGCCGATTCGCGGAGACGGAAGCGAGAACCAAACGGTCTTCCAAAAGAGGCAACAGATATTACCTCAGATAAGGGCAACCTCAAAGAGGCACCAACACACCAGATCAAATCATACATATATACCTAGGTATGCCCTTGCAGCTTTTTGCATCTGCAGTCAAGGAGAGGACGAACAGGCTGCCTCTTCAAGCTTTCGTCCATGTTGCCAATTTCGCTGCCCAACTGACATGCACCCCTGGCGTTTGACCTCGAACCCATCCATTGAGAACTGCCAACGCATTGCCCGTATACCTAGGTAGAAAAGCACTCACATCAAGAACCCCCTGATGCTGCTGCAGACGAGAATGCATGATATCCGCTCGAAAGGAAGCAATTTGATGGAACATATGAAAATGAATGAAATGAAGATTTTTTTTTTTTTTTTTTTTTTTTTTTTTTCGTTGTATACAACGTGCAGCCGCAGTGGCGAATGATGCCCAACAGGTTGCCATCGAGCCATCGGATGAGTGACACCATCCACATGGCACGACCACCACGAGGCTTTTTGACGGGGCGAGGTAAAAGCCGACTGATCGTCGGAAGTGGTTTCTTTTGGCTTCACTCTTAGGGCCAACTGTGCCTGAATATCAATGGCGATGGATTGTCGAGGCTAACTGACTGACTGACGAGGTACATAAGGTATGGCGAGGTGGTTTATCATGGACGATCAGCTTGGGAACGAGCCGAGCCGGGCGTGTGTTGGGGGTGAAGTCATGGCTGGAGATTACATCTATGTACTGTAGTATGTATGGTGCATGAATCGTGCTCAAGCTGGGCTTCTGAACCCTTTGAGCCATGTTGAAGTGCTCTTGTCGCGTATGCACTCGATTGATATCGAAGTGAGGCTTGTTTTGTCGTTCAATTAGACTTGTCAACCAAGCATTTGATCGGCCAGACAAGCAAGCATGAAACCCATTTCACACTGTACGATATGGCAAGGAGGTATTCGCCTGGGACATTCAGTACCTAGCAATTAACATCACTCACGGTCTTGTCCTCTACTATTAACGCCGTCAATTTCTCGTCATTTGACATTGAACATTGTCTCGCTAAGCATGAGATTATACATACCTTACATTGTGGTGATTGCGTGCCGTCCATGGCACTCGAAGTTCTCTTGATACGCAGTTGCTTCAGCAGCCAATCGGAGCCCGCAGCCCACCAACTTCCACAGCCAATCACCAACTCCCCTCGACTTGCCGAGTATCTTGATTAGGTTGGGGACGAGAAAATGTCTCGATAGGTACCTTCTCTCCAAAGGATCGAATACATGACAGCACATATCAAAATGGAGGGAGGCATTTCATGTTGACATCAACCCTACTTCTTACCGAAGATGCATACACCAGCATACAACCGTCTCCTCATTCGTTGAGCTTTCTTCACCACTTTTTGCCGCTGCCGTATCGAGACGAGGAGGATGCAACCACGTAATAAAAGCACGCTCGATAACTCGCCAATAACGCACGAACCTCATGTCGCACAGAATGCACGCTCTATACTTTTTCGGCGCCGATGTATGGGCATCAACGCTCATGTAACACGAATCAGTCAACAAGTAATATCCGGGCAGAAAAGAATGAGCTGCTTTTTTTTTTTTTTTACTTCTTCTCCTTCTTTTGCCGTCAACGCCCGAAATGAAAACAGCCAGGCGAATCTCACATCGGGCATGGCCGAGTCCATCCTTTCTTCTACTTTTCGTTCTTCGACATCCATGCTATGTACATACAAAAAAAAGCCCACAAACCCCCCCGACCCTTGACCTTATGTAATGATGCCCAAGCCTCGCGAGCTCGCATGGGCTTTTTGTTGTCGTTATACTACTGTGTAATTATCGACTTTATGGCTACACTCCCTCGCATGGCATGTAATAAGCGGTTGGACACGCAATTTGGCCCCCCTCCCTCATCAAGAACTGGCACAGAGGCGTGTACTTTGCGAGCCCCGTTTCCAAGCATCGTCATGTGTGAGCGCTTGAACCGTTCGCACTGTGGTTCTAAACGACGCTGACGTTTTCCCGCATCAGCACGGCCGCTGGGAAACGGCTCCGTTTTTTTGGGGGGGGGGCACAGTTTAAGTCAGTGGATGTTGTTTGAACTGGATCCTGCTTGATCTCGCTCGCGGCTACTACTCGGAGGCTGCGGATCGGACTCGGCGGAGGGCAAAGCCGCAGAAGTACGAGTAGTATGCGCAATGGTTCCGACTCGGAGCTGATGTTGACGTGCATGGATGGATGCTTCTACGGAAGCCCGACTTCTGTAAGAGCCTCATAACTTTGAGTTGACGCCGAAGAACTAATGTGATGTAAGTGGTGTCTGTCCGTCTCTTCCGACGGGAGTAACAGAATTTGTAAGCTCTCAACGTTTATACAGGAAGAACTACCTAGAGGATACATGAGGGGCCTTAGGAATCATCTGGATCTGTTCACCACCGCCAGACGTGTGAGATAGAACGCACCCCAGATGTATGGTTTTGACAGCTCGCTTCATCGCAATGGGGCTTTGTAATAAAGGTGCTTGTCAAAGCTGTCAAGGAAGAACTAAAAGTACCCAATCTCCATCACTTTCCTTAAACCGCCAAAAAACCGTCACACGAGCGGCCTGCCAATCTCTTTTCCAACTCCATCCCAGCTACCAACTTAGGTTTGACCCTTATGCCAGGGCCAGGGACCAAGTTCAAGCCCCAAAAGAACCAACTGCTTCTAAATTTTCCGCATTCTCTCCCTAGGCACGAAAGGAGAAAAAAAAAATTCTCCTTCCGCGAAAGCTAGCATTTCTCTAGCTGTTTCGGAAGCATCGTTTCTATCACAACCCCCGTACGTCATCGCGACAGAGTCAGACCCACTCGAATTCTCGTGACGTCAGCGAAGCCATCGTTCTTAGCATCACGCCCTGGCAGCCTCTTTATGTCATTTTTCTCAACCTTTTTCTTCTAAACCAAGGAAAACGAGAACCCTGGTCGCTTTTTTCGATATTTGAGTGGGATTCTGGGACATTTTGTACGTAATTCCCAGGGGAACTTTCTCAAAAGGTACCGCATTCCGTTCCCATTTGACAGCGGGTAACCCTTCCATTGAGGCTCCATTCCAGTACTGCCTCGTACCTTTTCCCTTTCTTCCCTTCTCTTCTCGTGTCTCTTCTACACACCACACGCCCCCCCCCCCTTCCCTCCCTTTGCGGGCTTGTTCTTTTGTGAGATGCCTCAGGATCAAGATGCCCTGCGCAAAGTCGGCCGCGGCGGGGCAGGCAACTATGTGCCCTCGAAAGAAGCCGACGAGGCATTCAAAGTAAACAATCACTCATAGCCTCTGCTCTCCTCCCATCCCTGCTTTCGTCCACCCGTTTTTCTAATACAACGCATCGCCGGCATTGAATGTAGGACCTCGAAGCGCAGCAGCTAAAAGCCGCCGCCTCCGTGGCAGCCACCCCGTCGCAGCACCCGCACGGCCCCGCAAGGGTCGGCCGCGGGGGAGCAGGCAACTTCATCGACCCGAAGCACGCCGCGCAGGGAGAGGGCCTGCAAGACGACGAGACGGGCACGGCGGTGGCGTCGAGCCTGAGGGGCCATTCGCAGCCTCATCGCGCGGGCTGGTCGGGGAGGGGAGGCGCGGGCAACTTTCACGCGGATCTGGCTGCCGAGGAGGAGAGGGCGCGGGTGGAGGAGGATGGGAGGAGCAGGGCTGAGCTCGATAGGAAGATCAAGGAGGCGGTTGAAGGGGCGCTCAAGCTGCCGGACAAGGTTCATCACCATGTGCACAAGGAGGATGAGGAGGAGCAGGGGTGAAGGGAGGAATGTCTCCTTTACGCATGTTCTAAGAGTCAAGGTTGGATATCAGCTTGAGGGACTCACTCCAAAGCAGGACATTATACCATTATGAAACTTATCAGACCCCAGAAGCAGAGGAGAGGCCGGTGGAAGCATTACCGACAGCCGCTTACACTTCGGTACTACGAACTACACGATCCGGCTGGCTATGGGGGTGAAACTTAGAAGAATATCCCTTAGCTATTCAGCTTCACTCAAAGGGATCAATGTGATAGACCAAGCATATCAACACATCCATATGTTCTCCCCAAAGGTCAAGAGTATAAATAACATGAGCGCACTTGACCAATTCAGACCCGCCAACCAATCAATCAAACGCACTCCACCTGCCACCTCCCATGCGCATTTCCACCCGGAAAAACTATACCCCGCGTCTAGAAGTCGCCCGAACCCTTGCAAAACTTCAATCTTCAACGCCACCTCCAAGATACCTTTCAAATGCGCCAAACCTCGAACCAAACATCCTCTATCGACACAACAACAACCTCTCTCAACAACAAAACGATAACAACAAATCGAACACCCTCAACTACACCCTTCAATAAAAAATGGCTTCAGTAATGGCTTGGGGCGCCGGCGTCGCCGTCGCAGCCTTCCTCGTACGTTGATCCCCTCAAATCTTCCAAAACTCTTCGACGAACCATATAAGCGAACAACTTTCGAACATCCTTCCCATCCAACACATCACGACACACACACGCACACCACACACACATACACAACGGCCAACTCTCATATCAAATCCAAGACGACACTTCAATTACGCAGAATATACGTTTGGAACAGAAGCGCTAACTGTTGGCATCTGCACAGGGCCGAGCCGGTCTTGTCGCCCTCCGTCGCTCCCGCGGCGGCGTAGGCCCCATGGGCAAGGCCTTCTACAAGGGCGGCTTCGAGCCGCGCATGACCAAGAAGGAGGCCTCGCTTATTCTTTCGCTAAAGTACGACAACTCCGTCTCTCGAATATCAAAAGTTGGAAAGAAACCATTTAGACTAACCGGATGACAGCGAGCGATCCATCACAAAAGACAAAGTCCGCAAGGCCCACCGAACCCTCATGCTCCTGAACCACCCCGACCGAGGCGGCAGCCCCTACCTGGCGACAAAGGTCAACGAGGCCAAAGAACTACTCGATAAAACCGTCTGAAGCAAGAACCCCAACGAATAAAGACCCTGCAAACGAGCGGAACGAGCGATCTTGTGTGTTTGGTAATAGAAGGTCGAAAGAGCCATGCGTGGCCGTGTATATTTGTCTTGTACGATATTCGTTTTCCATAGCGATGGCGTTGGGTTGGTTGGTTGGTTGGCGGGCTGAATTTGATGACCCCATAAGCGACCACATAGTGGCTCAGGTGTTTGGAAACATCTTCGGAAGACAAGAGGAAGAGCGGCTAGCTACTTGTATGAAACATCTCGCGGCTTGCCGGCAATTACCAAGGACGGCAAGGAATACCAAAGTCTCAACTCAAGGCTATCAATTCATGAACTGTTCACCAACCACTGTTTACATCTTCAACCTCAGTCTCCTGCTTCACGTCAAACAGGGCCGGCCTGTACTCTTCCCCGTTTGCCTTGGCACTCTTCTCCCGAATCTGCTCAATGGCAACCCCTAGGAGCGCACGGAGAGTGTAGACAGCATCATTGCCGGCGTTGTGGAGGTGCTTGCTGTGGATGCAAAGGTCGTTGAGGACGCTCGCCAGGCTCTTGCCTTGGTCAGACTCTTTCCAGGCCAGGTGTATCTCCTTTGTATCCAACTCCTCAACGAGGCCTGGGAGTCCCAGGACATCAAACCCAATGCTTGCGAGATACTTGATGTCTGAGCCAGTGTCATGCGCGACAAACACCACGTGGCGATTTTGGCTTATATAGGGCTCCAGAATGGCCATGATGGCCTCGGAGAGCTCATACTCTTGCGGAAACGTGCTGGTACTGTGGGATATCTTAGCAGAACTGCGCGGTGATAAGTATACAGCTTGGGCTACTCACCCAAAGTCGAAGTAGTCAGGGCACCCACGGACGAAGCGGTGGTTCACCAGACCTGAATACTCCTTGGTTCGTAGGTGATGCGCCTGGATCAACTGCCACCAGTTCTGGCCACCGGGGCCCGCCTCCACGCCATTGAGGTCCTTGACGTCCAGCATCGCAATCCCGACTTCAGATACGGGATTCGGTGGCATCTCGATGGCTTCGACATCCATGCAAACCAGAACCACGTCAGCCCCTTTGCCCTTACCTGCCAAATGAAGAAATTCCTGCGTATTGTGAAGCATTCGCTCTCGCTCGAGCCTTCTCTTGGCTGCTCTTTTGTCTGCATTTTTCTTCTTGTCGAAACTCGGCCGAGGTACCAGCATCTGCCAGTTCTTCAACCAGTCCTCCTGGATGGCGCCATGCGCGTTCCTAAAGCTGTCGTAGTCCGCCTGTTGAAAATCGGGGAACGTTTCAATCTTTAGGGATTTCTGGTCTCTCGACCTCTGTAGATATCGAGGCCTTGGGGTGTCTCCCTGGCCGAACCTCAGATAAAAACGGTCCTGGTTTGCCCCTCCTGGAATGGTGAGAGAAGTACCGAGCGCTCTGTTGATGCTTTTGAGAAAGCCTTCGAGCTGAACAGTGGGCACCAGCACGCGAGGCTTCTCTGAAGGCTTCTCGGGGTTGTAGAGATAGAAGCTACAATGATATTAGCAGGCATGTCGCCATATGCACATCAATCAAGATCCTCACAAATCCCAGACTCTGTCTTCCAAAATCTTGTCAAAGTACGGCTTGGCCTGCAAGTTGTCAGTTATCTTCTACCATACTCTCTTGAGATTCCCATAATGCAGAGAAAGCAATCGCTACATACACGAGGCCTGTTTGCCTTGCCGATAAACTGGTCAGGATAAGCCTCGACGACCTTCCACGAGCAAAAGCTGATGGATTCGTCCGCAGGCTCTCCAACGACAAACTTGGAGTAGTCCAGCGGCATCACGATAGACGAGTCGTCCATCTCCTGGGGCTTCTGCTGTTCTTGCGCCGAAGTCGAGATGTGGGCAGCCGCGTCCCAAGCATCGTGGCCAGCGTCGTGTTCAGAGGCGTGCTGTTCTGCCTTGGGCGGCACAACGGCGGGGAACTCTTCTTCTTCTTCGAATGCCATCGCTGCTTCGTTGCTGGCTGCTTCTTTCGCTACATGCTCGCCGTATTGGACGGTGATTCCAATTTCTTTGAGCATCTCCAGGCGGACGGTGAGGTTGAAGGTAGCCATGCTGAGGATCGATCACGGCTTTGCTTGTTTTGCTGGCCGCAGTCGAGATGAGGATGCGAGACGACGACGGGAGGGCTTGTAGTGGAGCGGATGAGGTGAAGTTGAGCTTGAGAAGGGAGACGAGAGAGAGAAGAATGCGCAGAGCAGAGGAAAAAGAATTGTGTGCAGATAAAGGATGAAGGGCAGCTGCAAGGTCAAACGAAACTGAAGGGCAGCTGATTGGGCAGATTGCGGTGCAGCCTAGGCAGGCGCTGGCAGACGGCCGCCTGCTTGGCCGGAATTACACAACCTCGAAATGATTACATTTGACAGACTCAGAAGCTGAATACAAGAATCAAGAAGGTTACAGAGCTTCTGCTAAATGATAGGTTAATAGTAGGTTGTTCTTCAGGGATGTTACGTCGCAAGGTCAACAAAATCAGCAGCCATGCTGTGCGAGAATCCAGGTCTGGTCAATCGGTCGTGATGGCATCAATCCCCTACCCCCTTTTGTCCGGTTCATCAATAATCATATCATACAATGCTCAAAGCACAGGATTCTGTTGTTACACCGCTCATATACATGGTCCCATTCTTGGTCAACGTAGATACCTCACCTCGACTTGTAAAACTATCCCACAAGTTAGCAAACAACGTCCGTATAATCCGACAGCATGCTGCACCACTCACCTCGTCCGCCTCCTCAAGAGTGACCGAAGACACCTCCGACTGTTTCTTGTCAATCAGGCCCAGCTTCGCCCACCTCATCTTGAACCAGAAATCTCGCCTGTCACCACCCAAGGCTCCAGATAGCAAACTTTTCTTCAAGTCGCGCACAAAGTCGTTGTACAGGCCAGGCTCTTCCAGGTTGATCAGCTCCTCACGCATCGCACCAATGCCTTCCATTGCCTGGGCATATTTGCTATCCCCGAAGCTGTCCGTAATGAGAGACCGCACAATGGCCCCCATTTGTTTTGTGGCGTCGGCAATCTGCTCGACTTCTTCGGACGAGTTGAGGGCTCGTTTGAAGTCCGGAATGGCATTCTCCGGACTAATGGAACCTTTCTGCTCTTCTCCCAGAAGGGCATCCACATCCAGTCCCGAGATGGGTTTAACTGTTTCTCTTTGGCGCTTGCCCTTGGCCTTGGGCGGCACTAAGGGGGGCGTTAGCACAAATCAAACATCAGTGTGCAGAGAAGCATATGTAATGGAATCAGTACCTTTCTTCACGTCTGCAGCGTGAATCAGTGCATCGATATGAGGCTGCACAGTCTCGACGAGTTCTGTCGGGGGTGCTGCGAATCTAAGCAAGACTGGGGGGATCTCGGGCACGGGTTTCTCTGGGTGGATCGCTCGTTGTTTGATCGCATGGCCTATGCGATGTATCGCAGGGTTGTATAACTCATCGATGGTGGCATATTCAGCCGGTTGCCTAGATCAGAAGCAATGCTTAGAAGTGAAAGATTTGAACAATCATCTTCTATACTCACCCATCTTCATCGATACCATAACTTGAAATGTCCATGGCATCTACGTAGTCGCTCATCGCTTGGTTGAGCTCGTCGGATGGCAATAGGCGATGGTTGGTGAGCGTTTGGCCACTGACGGTAACGACTCTGTCCAAGGGAGGAAACTGGTACGTCCTGATGTCCTCTGCGAAAGGCAGAGGCACATCATAGAGACAAACATAATCAGGCTCCATATACGGCATCAGTAACACCAGCATGGGGTCCTTTTGGTCCTTAGTTACTAGGCGGGCCACGGCGTAGGCGTCGAGCTCCGAGAGCGCCCACACCAGAGAGCTAAAAGCCAGCTCAGACTTTTCATCGTACTTGGATGCAACGGTAACGCAGGTTTCGCCAAGATTAAGGAGCATTTCATACTAAACAAGGGTTAGCCAAGAGCAACGGGTCAAATGCTGAGAGCCAAGCCAATACCTTTTCTTTCTGGACGAAGCCGATGATCTTGAAGCTCTTTTCTGTCGCGAGCTTGGTGACGTTTTGATCAGACTCGCTGATGTGGACTGCCGTCCTGCCGTACTCGTACCCTTTGGCCAGAGACTCAAACTCAACGTCACGCTTACCGCCAGGGGCATCTGGATCATTGACCTTGTATGTCCTGGCCTGCCTCACAGCTGTAAGTTCCGCTCCGTCCATCTGTTCGTCCTCGTCTGCCTGAGACGGCCCAGCTTGCTCCTCCTTGACCACCACGGTGCTGGCGGCAGGTGGCCTGGCTAGATGGGTCTTGAAGTATCTCTCGACGCGGATTTCCACCACTGCGGGAGCGTTTTTCGGATCTCCCAAGGTCAAGAGACCTTCGTACGTTTTGTAAGGCTTGACCGACTTTGCTCGTGGCTCATTCAAGTCGTCAATGGCCTCGACCATGGAGGCGAACCTTGAGTCGTCGCCACAGCCATCCACGAGCTTTTTTAGGGTCTCTTCGTTTTGCTTCTAACGAAGAGGTTAATGAAAGCTTCAAAAGAAAAGAAAATAAAGAAGAAAAAGAAAAGAAGTGAACATATGGAGTACCTTGACTGAAGGTTTGTCCTCCTCTTTGAAGCCGTAATCGGGAGCATCAAAGTCGACGCCCCTTGCATCACCGTCAGCACCATTACCGTCCGCCAAACGGTCTCGCCAACTCACAAGACTGTCAATTCAATATTCGAGTCGCGCATCTTTCTAGCAATGTCGCCAATATCATCTGGATCAATCTCGCCTTGGCCGTCGGTAATGAGAACAATCTGCCGCTTCCATTTGTTCTTCTTCGTGTACTTGTCAATCATGTCGACGGCAATGACAATCGCCGAGATGGCATCGCCTTCCACCGTCCTGCTCGGCTTCACCTTGGGCTGAAGAGCCTTGAGGCTGGACATGCTCATCGGCCCCAGGGGCTGCAATATGGAGATGTTCTCGTACCCATCCTCGCTCAGCGTGTGGTTTGTCTCGTCGGTTCTGAACCCCACGACGCCAACGCACAGCGTCTTGCGATTCGAGGCCACGACGTTGCTGATCTTGTCCCAGACGTAGCTCATGCTCCAATCAAGGTCGGATTCTTCTCGACCCCCATTGACAGCTGCCATGGACGCGCCGAGGTCGATGATGAAGACGGTTGCTTCCTTGTCCGCCATCTCGACTTGCAATTGAGAAGATGGTTAGGATTCGATCAATTTGGGAAGGAAAAAAAAAAGAGAAGAAGTCATAGAAATTAGAGAGACCGTCAATTCTTTGTTATTCCATCAGAAGCAGCCTTCAGCCCCCATTTATAGCGAGCACCGCACCCTCGTCCAGATTTAGGCAGACAAGACGCCAGCTTCGGTTGCTTGAGCGAGACAAGCTCCAGTTACAAACGCGCCTGTATCGCGACATCACGTGACCGTCTATGAGCTCATGTTTCATCAACCTCAAGCTTCAATCCTAGACCTTCGGAGAGATCAGCCCATACTGATCCGACATCATCAGTTTGATCCGATAGCTTCTGCTTCTTCCATCTGCTTTTCCTTGTGTTCAATTCGATAGCAAACCAATCTTGTTCATATCAGTTTAAGCGCAAATACACAGTCATGGCCGGCTCGATATTCGCTTCCGCGGCGCCGTACCACGTCATATCGTGAGCACCCTCCATTCGATCTAAGCTTGCCTATCGTGGCCGGTGAACTAATGTCGGGCTTCCTCGCTCGTCTCGATGCAGCTACGGAACTCTCCTGGGAACGACATTCTTCCACGTATGTCCATGAGGGAACTCGTCTCACCCCATGCTCTTACGTTTCCCATCCTCAACACCATGGAACCGGCCAGCTGCTTACCATCACACTACGCTACTGCAGTCCTTCGTCAACGGCATCGTCATGTTCCGCACCGTCAGCCGGCCCTCCTTCTCCGCCATCCAGAGCAAGCTGTTCCCCATCTACTTTGGCATGCAGACGGCCATCCCCGCGCTGCTCGCCCTCACGTTCCCCGGAAACGCCCTCTTGGGCATCAAGGGCGGCATCGGCGGCCTCGTCGACGCTCCCAACAAGTGGAGCTCCTTGGTGCCCATCGCAACCATGTTCGTCAGCGGCCTCGTCAACCTCGCCGTGCTGCTTCCCGCCACTGTCAAGACCATGAAGGACCGCCATGGACAAGGTTAGCCTCAAGCCCGACTCCGCATGCACGCCATTGATTTGAGACCCCGGATGGCTGACGATGGATTTGTTGAACCCTCCCACCAGCCAAGCGAGACGGAAAGGAGTGGTATGACAAGGATGCACAGTCGGATGAGATGCGTGCCCTCAACAAGAAGTTTGGCATGCTGCACGGCATCTCCTCCCTCGTCAACCTTGTCGAGTTCGTCGCCCTGGTGGCGTACGGCTTCACGCTGGCATCTCGCATCCAGTAGACTCGGACAAAATGAAGTCGTTCAGAAACGTTGCTGTATGCCCATCACTCTTGGTCGGTATACACGGACCCCGCTTGCAACCAACCCTTCTCTGCGGTCTAGTGGCACAAAGTAAAAGCATTCCTCCCTACTACCAGTCACGCAATGGGAATCAACACCAGAGTGAACAAGTTCCTTGTAGTGAAAAGTCAATTCCATTCCCCTGGCCAACCATCTCTATCCTGCTAATGACGCTCTAAATCCCAGAAGCCACTCGGACACTCTCCGTGGGTATATCCTCCCAACCAATGCGCCGTACATGTAGGACCAAACAAAAAGCAACAACAATATGGCAAAGCGTACGTGAACTCGTCATTGCGATCAAGCTCATTATCTTGCGCCGGAAGGCTTCCGCAGGGCGCTGTGGTGATACGCCAGTAGCTCGCGCTTGGCCTCCTCAAAGGCTCTCGCCTTGCCCTCCTTGTCGTCGAGCCGGAGTGCGGCGCTCTGGGCTCTCATGTTGTTGGCCTTGATCTGGCCCTGGAGGCTCCATCTGCCGGGCTGGCGCTCGAGGGCCTCCTTGACGTCGACCTCGTTTGTAGGCTTTGGGAAGTCTCGCGAGAGAGCCGGTAGCAGGTTGGCCGAGAGCTTGTGGGGGAAGCCGCCGATGAACTCGTGTGCCTCGAGTGTGGGTGTTGAGGCGGCCGAGACAGAAGGGGTGGACTGAGCGCTGTCGCCGAGGCTGAGTGACTCTGTGGTCAGGCGAGGGTTGGTAGCCTTGGTATCCATTGATGATGATGGTTGGAATGTGAGCTTTTTGCAGTCTGAGCACTGGTAGAACACAAGAGTGTCGGTATGTTGTTGGTATGTTGTTGGTTACGGTTGTATGTCGGTGTTGCGTTGGGTGATAGGTAATATCTAGCAATGCTTGCGATAGGTTCTCTGGTGAAGCAAATGAAAGCAAAGCTTGGTCAAGCAGAGACGTGGTGTGCAGAGTGAGGAGGAGGAGTCGAGGAGGTGGGAAGAGGATGGGAGAGGGTAAGGTAGGTATTTGTAGGTCGAAGCCGTAGGAGGTCGATGAAGGAAAATATTGGCTTGGGCTACGTGGGAAGGTTTCGTCTTTCTATTTTGAGGATGAGTCTATTTAATTATTTCGTTTAATTCTTTTTTTAACTGCAAAATTTAATTTTTTTCCCCTCCCCTTTCTGCCTTACACGTAATCGGAGCCTCCAAAGGTCCCACGAGTCAAACACAGATATGTACCTTAATGGGGAGTCATTCAACCGCCATGCAAGTGACGCGCCCCCATCGGGCTTGACAAGTGCTGCCGGGCCGTGGACCCTCGCTCGAGCTAGGCGAAAATGCGAAATCAGAGATCCTAGGCACCAAAAGCATGTGCTGAGCCATCACGCCCGATGATGCTTCCATCTTCTTCTCTTGTTTACTCTGCTTCTTTGGTTGCTTTGGTCCCGGAGCAAACTCGTCATCATGCCCCGGCTCCGGCCCGTGGCCCTATCCTCTCGCCGACAGTATCATCTATGAGCCGCCCTCTTCTTTTCTCTGACGTCTACCGACTTAGACGCCGTCCTTATCTCCTGTCGAGCAAGGGTGCTGTTACTGAATCTTTCCCTCTTTGAACTTCGGTTCGGCCGGGCTGGCGCCACAGGGTCCATTGTTCTGGTTGACGCCACATGGGCACCATGCCTCTTTGATAACGAGCCGCCCATCAAGGGTCCTGCGATGGGGCAAATCAAAATTGTAGGATCAGCCATTACGGGAGATCGAGCCAGATTACAGTACGAGTAACAGGTAGGGGATTCGCCGATAAGAGCACGGCGGCGGCGGTCCGGAATCGAGAAACCCCGTGCATGTTTTACCGATGGACAACGTGCCACAGACTGGATAATACCTTATGCTCGTCTTACACGGATCCTGTTGCTCCGATTTGCTTGTCCTTGCTTGAAACACACGAGTCTGGAGTGGTATTCTGGCCTTGAGGTGTTCATGAGACGTCGGACTTGTGAAACGCCTTCGATTCGCCTCGGCTGAGGCGTTTCCCAGAACGTTACGCCACTGGTAGTTTCTGGCACAAGCTCGGTGCAACAACGTGGCTACTAGAAGAAAAGATTAAAGTTGAGGTTATCGCAGCTGATACCGATTCAACTCTGAGCAAACCCAATTCCTCTTTGTTAACCCAGCAACGATGCAAACCGTAAAGCTCAAGTGCACAAGTAAACAACGCAAATTGTAGAGATGTGGTCGTTTGGTCGTCATCGTCTAAATGGCATCGGAAGCTGCCTCCCATCCCGTGACAAAAGACCCATGTTATCCGGCTGTCACTGCAGCATGTACGAGTTGTCAGTAGGGCAGCAACACATTCGTTAAACTCCATCAGATTTGTTGAAGAAACCAATATCTGTTACACAGCAGTAACCCCCACGATGGAGCCGATTGGTACGAGCTGTCGTGAGAGCTCCAGACACACCCGCTCGCTGACTGCCTAAAGGAACGAAGAGCATACAGAGTGCATAATACGGCATGTTTGGGCTTCAAGCCATAGCTGCATGCATAGTAGCTACCAGCAGCATGCAGAACGGGAAAACAGTCGTATACTCACGCCTCATGACCAAAAGGTAGCTGCGGATTGCGAGCGTATGGAGAGAAGAGACAAGCGAGGAATGATATAGAAGATAGAAAAGCTTCTGCTACAGATGCACATCTGCTTACAAAGGGCATGTCCATTGGTCTGAATGACGTATGCATCTCAGCACCAGCCAGCGACATCGCAGCCCCTTCACTTACCCTATACATTTGCCACCAACAGCTGGGCAAATTTTTTCCTCCCGAGGAAGCGCAATTCGATCCTACCTGAGCATCTGACATGTTAGCTAGATAATCCTCAAATATGGGATGGGATTAACGACTTCATCATTACTCACCGTACACTGGATGTAGGTCTTATACAGCAGGTGCAAGATCTTCAGCCGTAGAAGACGTGACTAAGCGTCATATACACTGACTCATTTAGTACATTACCCAGTAGTTGGCGAAACCCCAATCAACACTCACCTCAAGACCGTGTGTCCATTGAACCAGTTATCCTTTTTCAATTTCCATCTTTCTAGGTCGTGATTACAATGGGCTCAAAAATGACAGCAACACCAAAGTATCTCACCGGCGACGCTGCCGGTATCAAAGACTTCATTGACAAGTTTGACGTGAGTGATTTTAGCCCTTGAGCTTAGACTCACCTCTCAGGACAGGTCACTGATATGAAGATGACAGACATTCTTGTTCGACTGTGATGGTACGTGTGATCCCTTCAATCGAACTGGCTGGTGAATCTCACATTGCTTCAGGCGTACTCTGGAACGGAGACCACGTATATGAGGGCGTTCCCGACACAATCGCCCTCCTCAAATCAAAAGGTAAGCCCCCCCTAAAGCTGATAGAGACATGATCCCCAAGACTCACCACTTCCACCCCCAATCTCTCAGGCAAAAAAGTCGTCTTCGTGACAAACAACTCCACAAAGTCACGGCAAGACTACGTCAAAAAGCTCGAAAAGCTCGGCATCCCCAGCGACACCGAAGACGTCTTCGGCTCCTCCTACTCAGCCGCCATCTACATCAACCGCATCCTCAAGCTGCCCCCCGGCAAGAACAAGGTCTTTGTCATCGGCGAAGCCGGCATCGAGACGGAGCTGGCCTCCGAGGGGATCCCCTTCATCGGCGGCACGGACCCCGGCTTCAGGAGGGAAATCACGCCAGCCGACTTTGAGGGCATCGCAAACGGCTCGCTGCTGGACCCGGAAGTCGGCGTCGTGCTGTGCGGCCTCGACTTTCACGTCAACTACTTGAAGCTTGCGCACGGCTTCCACTACGTCCGGCGAGGAGCCATCTTCCTGGCGACCAATGCGGACTCCACGCTGCCCATGCACCATACCTTCTTCCTCGGCGCAGGCTCCGTTATGATACCCCTCGCAAACGCCCTCGGCCAGCAGCCTACCGTCCTCGGCAAGCCAAGCCAGGCCATGATGGACGCTGTCGAGGGAAAGTTTCAGCTCGACCGCGCAAGGACGTGCATGGTCGGCGACAGGCTCAATACTGACATCAAGTTCGGTGTCGAGGGCAACCTGGGCGGCACGCTGCATGTCTTGACGGGCGTCAACCAAAAGGCCGACTGGGACCGCGAGGACGCCATCGCGGTGCCGGCGTACTATGCGGATAAGCTGAGTGATCTCCTTCAAGGTGCATAGACTCGGGATGATTAGACATTATGGTAGATGCGTTTATTTCTTTCTCTTAGATGCGGATATTATACTATAGACAGGACCATCTTTTTCCACGAAGAAAATTTTTCCAAACCTTGTACTTACCTCCTGGACGCGAATATTGTCGTGACAGACTACACCGAGGTGCTATACATGAAAGTTATTGACATGGATTATATGTAATCCTTCTGTCCATCTCAGCCCGACTTCCTCTTGTGCTTCTGCTTCTGCTCAGAGCGCTTCACCAGCTCGCTTGACCTGATGATTTTTGGGCCGGGAGTTGTATATGGGGTCAGAGTCTTCGGAATGAACATGCCAACATGCTCTTGATAAGCCTTGTACTCTGGGTATTTGCTAGACGTGATGCTCTCCGTAAGATTGGTGGAACCCTGGAAGAGCAAGACTAGAAGGACGGCACCGATGCCAGCCCAGCTATACGGGGTGTTGGTGGCGAAACAGCTCCATTGGTAGAGCATGAACCAGAAGGTCTGCTCGGCAAAGAAGTTGGGGTGTCGGCTGTATGCCCAAAGGCCCCTCGTGGCAAAGCCCCTTTCCAGCTCAACAGCTGTATATCCAGGGGTTAATTTGCCAGTATCTCTGTACTTGTACTTGGCGGTTTGGAAGGCTAATGGTATGTTAGTGAGGCTGATGAGACGCTGGGTTGATAGTAGCAGGATCAGTCAGTCAACATACCCCATTGCTGACCGTCACTAATCCATTCGCTGATGACGAGAAGAATCTCGACACCGGCAAAGACGAGATCAACTGGCTGAATCCCCGTCTCGAATTGAGATGACAGCAAAATGACGTACGCCGGGACACAGGAGAAGAGGTAAAGGAGAATGCTCTGGAAGAAGGAAATGAAGGTGACGTTGAAGATGAACCAGACGACTGAATTGAGCTGCCCCTTGACGATCATCCTGCTGAACATTAGCTGGTGCAAGTAATGGGGCAACGACATAAAGATGCCCTTTACCATCTGTAGTCTTCTGAGCCAACCTTGTAGCCACCGCGCCTCCAGTAGTTATACGTCAGTCGAATCTGCGGTATGCCAACCATTAGCCTCTTCTGAAACCAGATTATACACATGTAACTGCACGGTATTTACGTACACTCCAGAGAGTCGTGCAGACAGCAATCAGGTCCACTCGAGTATGCGGCAGCCCAGCCACACGTGCCCAGAGGGCAATGTGGACAACGTAGAGGTTCGGCACGATGCTCCACAGCCGGTCAATCTGCGAATAGTTGCGGTTGATCTCGGACACGATCAAGGCGAGCAGCCCAACGACAAGAGACACGGCAAAGCCCGAGACCAACGGGTTCGTCGTGACGTAGACCTGCCTCAGGGCATCGAGGCTGCCGAGGCTCTGCCAGATCTGGTGGGGTAGCTGGTAGAGCTGGGGGATGAAGGGCTCGACGACCTTTGCGTAGTCGACGCATTCCTGCAGGGACTTGATCTGGGGGAGCGCCATTGCGGGAGTTCGCCAGATGCCGAAGGAGTTGAGGGTAGAGACGAACGAGCCGAGGGACGGCAAGCGCTCGACGCCCGCCATGGACTTTATGTAGTCGAGGGCGGCCATGGCGTTCTGGATGGGTCGAGCAGAGTTCTGTCTCAGTCAAGGCAGGGTTCGATCAATATGACGGAGCAGAGGCTCAACTTCAGGTGGTGGCGGACCAATAAATGCGGACGACGGCGCGGCTGGTGTTGGTTCTGGCTGATCCCGAAGCTGGGCCAGCGATGCCCTCCAGCATCTGCCGTTCCGCTGATCGAGGCGCTGGCTAGCGGCTGGCTGGGGGGGTGCCACAGCCTGGAGCCTCCCGCTGATTGAGAGCATCACAGCGCTGAAGCTTCAGGCGGGGGACCCTTCCAAGTTGTGCTGTCGGGTGCTCTCAAGCTCACCTAGTAGGTACATGCACCTGCTAAGGCTGTTTGGCGTCAGGGATTAATCGGATGGCGGATCCGAAGTACCGAAAGCGCTTGCACCTTTAACAGCTCTGGTGGGGCCTGCTCCAGTAAATTCTTCTGGCTTCAGATGCTCTATCCAATCTGATACCACTCTCGACTTCAACCTCCGCAACGACGAACAGCTTGTCCGTTCCCACAGCTTCAACAGCAACTTGCACAGAATGGCAGCTGAGCGAACCACCACTCGCCGGTGACCCAGAAACTACAGGTGGAGGTCGATGCGCAACTGCTTCCTGACGATGAAATCGAGCCACAAGATCCGCGGAACCAGAGCTCGATGAGATTCACGCAGCTTCGGTTACTCGCCGTCAAGCCTCGAGATATGAGGGTCCTCTGCGTGGCTGAAAAGCCATCCATCTCCAAGGCGGTGGCTGGCCATCTCTCCGGAGGCTCCTTTACAACAGTGCGTGCGCGTAGCTTCACGGGAAAAGCCACACAATGGCACCCCTGCAGTAACATGGATTTACTGACGTGAATCCCGTGGATAGCACAACACCCGCAACAAATACATCAAGAACTACTCCTTTGACTTTGACTTTGGCCAGCAATGGGGATCCTCGTCCGTCACCATGACCGCCGTGACTGGCCATCTGACCAATGTCGAGTTCACCAGCGAGTACAAGAACTGGAGCCATCCTCCACCAGAGTCGCTCTTTGCCGCGCCGATAGTGACCAACGTCCATGATGTGGGTGATAATGATCTACTTGGGCAAGATGCCGTTGCTGACTACTTGACAGGACAAGAAAGACATTGCCAAGAACATAGCAGATCAAGCCAAATATGCGCGGCTGCTGGTGATATGGACCGATTGTGATCGAGAAGGGGAGCACATTGGCCAAGAGATTGTCGACGCAGCCAAAAAGGGCAATGCCTCTATCCAAGTGAAACGTGCCAGATTCAGCAACGTCGAGCGAGCGTACGGAGCTTACAATAACTTATCTTTTATCTCCCCTGAAGCTGACAATTCGCTTCTAGGCACGTGCTGTCGGCTGCCAGACGTCTTGTTGAGCTGGACGAGAAGCAGGTCAACGCTGTCGCGGCAAGAATCGAACTGGATCTCCGTATCGGGTACGCTTTTACGCGCTTCCTTACGAACAATCTCAAGCAACTAGGTGGACCACTGGCAGATTTGGTTCTGAGTTACGGTAAAACATTACGACCTCCCCAATGCTCGCCAAACCCTTGGATCTCGTACTAAGCAGAACATGCAGGGTCCTGCCAGTTCCCAACGCTGGGCTTCGTTGTGGACCGGTACTTTCGTGTCAAGAATTTCGTGCCCGAGCCTTTCTGGGGCATTTCATTGACGCACAACAAAGATGGCAAGCAGGTTCGATTTTCTTGGGCTCGGAATCGTCTCTTTGACCGCATGACAGTTGTGATTTTGTATGAGAGGTGCCTTGCTGCCAAAAAGGCAAAAGTCACAAAGGTGCAAGAGAAACCAACCCGAAAGTTCAAGCCACTACCTCTCACCACCGTCGAGCTCCAAAAAGCGGCAACTCGCTTGCTGCGAATGTCTGGCCAGCAGGCCATGACGATTGCCGAAGGCCTATACAACAAAGGATTCATCAGCTATCCGAGGACAGAAACCGACCGCTTCGATAAAGGCATGAACCTGAGGGCTCTTGTCCAGAAACAGGCGACGGATCAGCGCTGGGGCACGTATGCTCAGGGTCTCGTCAACGGGGGCTTTCGACAACCGAGAGAGGGAAAACATGACGACAAAGCTCACCCTCCGATCCATCCCATCGCGCATGTGGCACCAAGCGCGTTATCCTATGATGAGGGACGGCTCTATGAGTATGTGGTGCGCCGCTTCTTGGCATGCTGTTCGGAAGACGCTCAAGGAATGGCGACGGATATTGACGTCCAGTTCGGGGACGAACGGTTCAGTACACGAGGGGTTATTGTGCTCGAAAGAAACTACTTGGATGTCTACATCTACGAAAACTGGACCAATACCACAGAGCTGCCGCGATTCACCGTCGGTGAGCAGTTCGAGCCCACCGAAGCAATGATGACGGAAGGCAAAACATCACCGCCAAACTATCTCACAGAGGCGGATCTGATTGCTCTCATGGATGCCAACGGCATTGGGACGGATGCCACAATGGCTGAGCACATCCAAAAGATTCAAGATCGAGAATACGTGGCAACTACAACGAGAGGAGGCACGACGGCCGCAGATGGTGACGATGAAGAGCATGACGAGGCACCGGCTGCTCGAGGCGGACGTGGACGTGGACGTGGAAGAGGTGGCCGAGGTCGAGGAGGCGGCGGCTCAACGAGAGGGGGCAGTGGCAGCGGCATCAAGGTCTTCGTCCCAACTCAACTTGGAGTGGCCCTTATTCTGGGCTTCGACCGGATGAGCTTCGAAACGAGCCTTGGAAAGCCCTTTTTGCGCAAAGAAATGGAGCTTCAGATGAAGGCCATTTGCCAAGGCAGCACCACACGCCGGGAGGTTCTTGACCGAAGCATAGCGCAGTACAAACAGGTGTTTCTGCAGTCCCAAGAACAAGTAGGAGTCCTTAAGCAGGTGAGTGCTTTCTCAACCGAACGGACAGAGGCCACTTCAGTAACATGCGTCTACATCACAGGCCTGCCGCGAGTTTATCTTTGGCCAAGGGCCGAGAGCATAGCCCAATCCAAAGCGTGTCAACTTCATGCCGTGTTCTAGATATACCAAGAAACGCGTCTTCTTGTTCTCAGCTGCAGGATACCAGCGCATCGACCTTGATCTAATCATCAACGATTGCGCACCACAAACCCGATCTTACTGATTAGGGGTAACCAAACCCTATTCTCCGATGCCATCACCACACAAAAACGAATATTCCAATTTCACTTCCTCGATCCGACATGAGCGCGTCATCCAACCCCTCGATACTAGCCTATAAATAACAGCTTCAAGTTCCCAAGATACCGCGGACTAATAATACACGAGACCCATTTAAGGGGGCGTGCAGGATACAAGCGTCGCCGTCGATCACCGAAAGGAGGTATACAGTAGTAGAGGTACCTGATCATCCATACGTCACTAAAGGAAGCAATAAAGACGAAACCCCACAGAAGAAGCTCCCGCGGTCGTCTGGAAACGGGGCTTCAGCCCTTAAACCACCATCCGAAGCCACTTGCTCATGCTGAAATGCGAAAATCAATATTCACCTGCATCGAAAAGGAAAAGGCGGGATGGGCAAGAGTCGAACGAAACGACTCTTGTCGCTAATTTGAACCATTATGAGAATCGGGTCCATCTTCGGCGAGGCTGGCACACGCGCAGATACACGCCTGGCCAGCCTAACAACCACTTACACGCTCCTTGACGCACACCCTGGGCCGAGAAATGGGGGGGTCACATGGAGGCGTGAAGTGGACGGTTACCAATCAGCTTATCTTTCGAACAACGTGACGGTCGCACAACGTTCAATCGTCTTCGGAGGGGACGCTGAAGAGAAGAGGGCACCAACAGCCGCTGCTGAAAGAATCACACAGTAGTAGTATCAGAAGTTGACGAGGCCCACGGACCGTTTTGACAAGATGCAAGTACACAGTAAGTAGCCGCTCAACGTTGCGCAACCGTTTGGCCACCGGTTCTTTCTCGTACGGTCATTCTGGCTACGTGCTACAAGAAAGAAATGTACTGTTGGCGGCGTGCATATTCATCCCAAGAGATCCGAGCGCGGAGGTACGGCGATGCACATGTGTGCAATGAGGCTGCTGGCGCAGGAGTCCGACGGAGTCGATGGCTTTCGCTCGCGCTTGGACTGGTCACTCGGGTCTAGGTCGATGAAGATCATCAACAATGTCGAAAAGCCGCTTCTTGCGGATAGTTTCAAGATCCGGATCGCCTGATTGCCCTCCCACAGGCGTTCGTCAGTTCGATCAGCTGCGCCGTCGGGCTGCCCCGATTGGCTGACAACTTGACGCTCGATTCTTCAACACTCCGTTCACTCTCATAGGCGGCGGCCAGCGATCAAACCACCAGCGGAGGCGCGCTCTGACGTCGGATGCTCTTCCTCAGCGCGTCACATACGAAGCAGTAGCGTGGTTGCAAATCATAAACTTGGTCCGCGCCAAAGGGCTCAGACTCAGCCGGCGGTCGTCCAAGCCAGAGCCGGCGGGGAAAGCTAGGTGTTTCGGCTCTCTGTGTTGCCCAGTCGGACTATCGGGGCTGCCCACGGCTCTCTATGGCCTTGAGGTTCGTGACAGACGCAGGTGGGCTCGATCTCCATGTTGCTCCGTACTGGACGGTTTATTCAGCGCGGCCGAGGAGACCGTCTCATCGCCCTACTAGCCGGATAGCTAACGGCACACCCCGCTCTGCACAGAGACCTGTTGGCCGCGATGCCGCAGCGATAGTAATACCAAGGCGGCGCACCAACGTCGACTTCCCGCCATGGGTCTTTGATGCTTATCGCGATGGGAAAATTGGCGCAAGGTCCCTTCTCGCCTACGCACGCTGCCCCGCGAACAAAAGCCCTAATATCAGGGCTTGGTGGTTTTATCTGTGCACGAGGCGAAAGTGTCAAGATGCCATCATGGAGAGACCCAGCTACCATGACGTTGGTTGCTGACATCCGAGGTGGTATTTGCTATGGGGATCTGTCAGTACCTATGGATTACTACTATCAATCACCTTCCTCGAATACATCCTGCAAAGAGTTATCCGCGGGCAAGCGACAACATTGTCCACAGCATGAGGCGGGGTAATTCTCTAAGAGATGTTACGACTCGTGATGCGCCAATGGTGCTATTACTGGGAGTATGAAGTATAAGACTCGGGAATTTCAGGCAGAGCTACCTGTGATGTTGATGGCATTACTCGTCGACGCTGGGTCGTACCCATACCTGCTTGTACAGGCCAGTACGGCTTTGCTACATCTCGTGGAGATCGCCTTTCTTTTTACACCGTCGTTTGCGACCCCCTTTGAGCCGGCCAGGCCTGATATTGAGCCAAAAACCGGCTCAGTCACCCCTTTCCGAGGCATACTATACGAGTACTATCACTCCATGTGCTCCATAGGACGGAACGCTCGCGGTTGTCGGAACCCGGTGTCTGTACGAGGGCGACGTCGTCTTGTCGTCTTGTCGGCTTGCCGTCGAATAAGAGCCAGCGCGCGATGAATGTGCGCGCTAGCAGGTTCCCCAGACTCCGGGGCCAAAGGGAATGGGGAGGGTATGGAAGCCGTCGACGAAGCGGCCTCTGCTTTTTGCACGTTGTCGAGCCCGTTGGCCCCGAAAAGCTCCGACGAAACGCGCAGAATCCCCGCAGTCGACCCAACCTGTTTGCCAGAGCAGGCAGCGACCGACTTGAGGTTACTACGATACTAGGAAACAGGAAGCTTGGCAATGTCAATAATTTTTGTGCGCTCTTCCAAATTACTACATGAGATATGATGTCGGTTCCTTACTCGCTGCCCGCACGCACACAGACTTACGTTAGTCGAGCTGGCAATGGCGTGTCGTGATGAATCGCATGGCGTCGCATCGCATGTAAGAAATGCATACCGACGTTTACATGAACTCCGGCGAGGAGCCCCATGCCGACGCTTTAGCGATGCAGGAGAGACAGGCATACGTGTAAGGTCAGGTACCTTTGATCTCTTTCTTTTGGTTGCTTTTGCTCGTATGCATCACACATACATACAGTCAGCTCAACAGGGTACATTTGCAGCATCGCAGGTCCGTGTAAGTCAGCGGGCATACGTACTACCAGCATCTCGGAAAGTACCTATGTATGAGCCGGGGGGGAGTTGTCATGCTCCGGTTTCGCTAGGTTAGTATTATTACGACGGCGTTTGCTTATATATCACGAGGAACACTACCTACTAATAATAGGTAATATCAAGATACTAACAAAATACGGTGTTTGTTGTCCTTGTAAGTTGATCAAGTAAAAGCATGCGGAAAGAGGCATTGCATACACACAAGTACCTACGATGTTCTCACGACACCGTACCTAGAGCCAGTGACACAACACAGTATCAAAAATCTTCACCAGTTGGGCTCCTACTGATGGTGCAAACAGATTGCCCTCCTCCAGCCAGACAAAGGGACAAACCAGAGATTCCTTGTTTCCGGGCCCTTTCTCGCTTGTTGGCCACGCAAAGCAGCTCCTCCTGCCCCTTTGCAGGAATCCGACGCCAACAAACGAATGAATCCATCGCCTTGCCTTAGCAGGTGGTCGCATTGGGCTCCGGGGCGCCGTGCCGCGGAAGCAGGTATCAGCATTTGGAGACCGGGGGCTTGGGTTGCCCCATGTACTCGTACTGTAAGAGACACTGTACATGTAAGAGTACTTGAGCAGGTACGTGCCCCCTAGATGTACATGTATTCTTACTGCCAGCAGGTTGTTTTGAATGTTTCTATTTGATTGCATGGTGTCCAGTCTGTTTCCATCATGCTTGCGTCAAACCAGGCATCCGGGTTTCGACGTTTCAGCGGCATTGGCTGCTGCCAGTCGTCTCAAGTCGAGTATACATAGTACTTCATGCTGTCTGTCAGTTGACCAATCCCCCGGCCAGCTGTGCCCAGCCACAAAGGGGCGATCCCAAGAAATGTGAGTGTCTTGCCATGGGAGTCATGGGAACGGAAATGGCGTCTTGGATGGGAGTGGAGGGTACAAAGGAGTGACGGCCGGGTACCTGCGAATGCGATTTGGAGGGAACGCTGCCCGGATTGAGCCCTCAGAGCAGCCACAGGGCAGGCAAGAAGGACGCGCTGTATCTCAGGCGGGCTCCGTTTGGGCTAGGCGGGCTATTAGGCGGGTTAGGTACACGAATGTCCTTGGAGCCACGCCCCCTCCCGCTAAGTCGCAGCAACCAGCACCAGCGCACAGTGGGCCCCTCCAGCCGGTTTGTCTCCCCTAGGGGCGCCCCGGCTTGGGCTCTAGCGGCCGGCTGCACGCGGTCACCGGGGGCGTGGCTGTAGCGACTTCATCACAATCAAAAGTCGCGCCTCGTCGCTGCTGCATCTTGTGCCTGCAGGCGCCGGAGAGAGAACTCGTCTTGGGCGTGCTGAGGTACCTCAGCGCCTGTGCTGCGCCGGCCAGGTACTTGGTCCCTCCTTCGCACACAAACACGCAGTACCTGTACGGCCAGAAGCAGGCGGCCATTCATAATCGCATCAAGTCGCACCCGTTCGCCTCGTCGCCCTTCTCTTCCCTCCTCCCTCCCGCAAAGCATCTTCGCAACACCGCAAACTCGTGCAAACGACCATCTGTCGCAGTCTCGAACTGTCGCGCCAGCTTCCCGCCGCCAGAAGCCTCCCCCCTCCCCGTCTTCTTCTCTCTCTTTCTGTGCCTCTGCCAGTCTCGGCCAGTCGCAAACGGCTCAGTATATTGCCCCCCAGCAAGGACCGCTGTCTGCCTGTCTGTCACTGCTGCTGCTACTGTGCTGTCGCTGTCAACTGCCCTGGTTTTGCTCCTTTTGGTACGTACATACATACCTACTCCGCAGAGCACACAGCGCGACCCCTGGCAGTGACTCAACCCCCTTTGCCAGCAAACCGTGCATTGCCGCTGGTCGAAATCATCACCGCCTCTTGCGGCTGCGTTTTGCCTTGCCCTGCTTGTTCTTCTTTTTCTTCTTTCTGCTTCTTTTCTGTTTTCGTCTGTGCTGTGTACTTCTTGCGCCACTGCCCGACACAAAGAAGAGGGGACCGAGGAGAGAGAGAACACAACACGCACAAAGAAAGCCACAACGAATACATACATATACTGACCGCGTCCCGCCTCCCTTGCCGCAGACATCTCGCTTATCAAAGAGCACCTTGCAACTCCGGCACACCAGCAAAAGAGAAAAGAAAACAATGGCTTCTTTGGCGACTGCTGCCCGTGATATCCCCCAGGCCTCCTCCTTGAGCCGAGACAACTTAACTGCTGTAGCGGCTCGGAGTGATCCTGCGATGACTGTGACACGATCTCGGGACCTCCCGACCCCTCCCAACTCCATCTCGCCCTCCTTGCCGGCCCACGGCCTCAAGGCCCAGCTGCAAAAGGCCAGGCTCGACCCCATCGACTCCGACTTGGACCTCCACGACAACGCCAGCGGCCACGAGAGGTCGCTGTCCCCGGCCCTCGAGTCCGCCGGCGCCATCACCAGCTCCATGCTGGCCAAGTGCCACCTGCCTGACATCCTGCTCAACCACGGCCCGCTGGCCATCCGCCACATCATGGGATACCTCACCACGTCGGTTCCTGGCTTCTCGGGCATCCCGCCGACAAAGGCGCGCAGGGTCGTGGTTGCCGCGCTGGAAGGCCGCGGAGGCGAAGGCCGCGGCGCCGACGGTGACATCGTCTTCGAGAAGGTGGGCTGGGGGCGATGGGATGCGCGCCGACGGGGACAGGCTGCCCGACACCGTCAGGCAACTCCGCCCAGCGGCCCATCCTCGTACACTGCTGGCATCCCCATCTCCAGGGCCGGCGGCCGGGGCCTGGGCTTGAGCAGGGCGAGGCTGAACATGGCCCTGTCCAGCGGCGGCGACTCGGTGCACTTCTCCCATGACGATCGCTACGACGTCTCCATGATGGAGCACGAGGCCGACAAGATGTCCATGGACGATTCTGCGTCGGCCTCCTGCTCCGAGGCCCCCGACGATGATGTCGCCATGAACGACGACCCGGAGGATGTGACGGACGACGAGGACTGGGCTGCCGTCGGCGCCGCTGCCCTGCGGGCCGAGTCATACCCCAACATGGCCGCAGCCTTCGAGTCTGGCCTCTCCTCCAACACCTACGCTGGCGGGATGCGAACGCTGCCCTCTGCCTTTGGGGGCGCGGCGCAACCATCACGCGCCAGGTTTGATTATTCTGCGTTCCCCGGCCCTTCGGACGCTCAGGAACGCGAGGCTGTCGAAGCCCTCCTTCGACTTGGCTCTGTATAATACCACCTGCATGCATGGCGTTTGCTTACTTCTATTTCCTTGGCATTTTCTCTATAATCGGGTGGGCGTCGCTTGTTTATACCTCGGGTTCCCACGGTGGGAGGGTTTACACACAATACTCGGATCTTGGCGGGCTGGACCTTGGAATACGTGTCACACATTGGCCGGGGCGGCGTCCCGGATCGAAGCCTTTTATGCTGATGATGACACGGTTGTTCTGCATGCATTGCTGCTAATTTTTGGGCCCCTTTGATCATCTTTGATACTCCGCACGCGGCATGTTTCTTACTTTGCGTTTTGGCTTTTTGACCTTGCCTCCCTGGAGCGGGGAAATTACCATTCTTTCCCGTCTTTCGAGATGGATGAAATGGACGAAATAGGACGCCTCGCATTGGACCTCATTGCGACCTCTTTCCGGTACTGCCCTTGGATGGGATATACTGCCAAGAGGAGAGAACTGGACACGCGGACCCGAGCCACTCTATCAGTGCTCACCATGGGGACTGTTCTGCGCGGCTTCTGACGGCTTGATGTGCTGCTATGCACGTCAAACAAACAGCTGTCTTGCTGCGTGCGGAGAACTCTTATACCCCCCGTCTCACGACGAAACTCTCCACGGCTGTCCTCCTGCTGGGATGGCTTGCCCCTTTTGCATTTCTTTTTCCCTTGAAGACGGCCTATCTTCTTGCACATACACGTTTTCTCATTTTCTTCTTTCTTTTCTGAAATCAAGAAAATTCTAATCATGAGGCGCTTCTCGAAAGCGCTTGGCTCTTCAACACCACTCGCGGAGGAACTTTCAACATGCCATGGCTGCCCAAAGGCGGCACTTCAGGCACGATCTGCAACCATTCTCCACTTCAGCTGCTATGGTATTTCTTTTCTTTCTTGCTTATTTTTTTCTTGCCTTTTATTTTTTAACTTACTACACTCCCTTGCTCGATGCTACACAAGTGGAGAGGGGACTGGTTGGCTTTATAGATTTGGGAACGGTATCACGAATGACTGGCAAGTCTCGGCTGTTGGATGGGTATGCATGGGGAAAGAAGATACACACAACGCGCAAAGCGAAAACACCAAAAACAGAGGAAGTGGGTGACGATGGCCATGCTGCGGGAATGGCTGCTGAATGCTGGCCTATATTTGGAGGGGGGCTCTCTTCAAGGAGGAACTGGCATGTTTTGGTAAGGGAGAGGGCGTGGAAGAAGGGAATCAAACACAAAAAAAAGGCAGAATTAATGGAGGACTGGCAGTGCCAGATTAGCTTGCCTGGTCCCGTCCTGGGACTCGGGTACATAGAATGGAAGTATCGACCATTTCCCTCCTCACAAGTCGGGTCTCTTGTCATTTGTGATGTGCTCGGGTCTCGATGCTTCGATTCCTTTCCAAACTGATGTGCTGTTCCTTCAGGGCTTGAACCATGCATGCGGTCAATCCTAGGACAGTATGCACCCCATCTTACACGTCGTTGCGTACCTTGGGTCCTGCTAGGTATGTGGCCTACCTAAGCTGATATGCATGCAGCAGCACGCCAACGCCGGCTACAAGAGGCACAGGCACCGCTTTTCCTTCTGCTGCAAGGGAGCATTGTATGAATAATATAAATGCTGGTAGAAGTACTGATTCTGGAAAAAAGGACTAATGGGCTCGTTGTTGCTGCTGCTGCTGCTGCTGCTGCTGCTGCTGAGTTGTCTGTGCAGATGCGGTTACGATTTGCATACGCATGTTGACCATGTTGGAGGGAGGGGTGCAGATGGAGATGAAAAGGTGGATATGAAGGCGGGGGAAGAAGAAGAGGAAGAGGAGGAGGGGGGAAAAGGCCCATTGACATTCTGTAGAGAAGAGAATGAGAATTGATCGGGCACGTACCGAGACTTAGTAGTAGGTGGGCATATGTTTGTTACGGTGTGATAGTGAAGCAATCTCGAAAAGAGCGGGCATGTATACATGTGCTTCGTTGCGGAAATTGATTTGTTGTGGCACTGGGGTCTGCCATGTAGTGAGAGTGGGCGATGCGGTAAAGGTGATAGATGTCGGTTCGACATTTGTATATCTTCCAAGGTGCATCCATGGAGTTGTTCCTTTGAAACAAGATGTTCAATGCCACACACGTTCACGTCTCAAACGCCGTCTCCAGTAGCTGATTGACTGAAGATGGGCGGAAGGACAAAGGCTCATATGGCGGTGGATGACAGCTCGCAGTTTGCAAGTCGAGCAACGGCGCTTCTAGAGTCCAAGTGCATACGTGTAGGCTCGAAGAGAAAGCAACAAGCAAACAGATGCCACTCCATCACTATATGCGGCTCGAAAAGAGGCGAGATGAGCAACGACCAGATACTAGACATTGCGGGCTTTGCAACCTGTACATGTCCCGGCTGTCATGTATGAAGATTATAATGCCATTATAGACTTCAGCTCGCTCAGCGCAGAAATCGCCACATTACACTGTGTTGGGGGGAGCCGCGGAAGTTGGGTAGATCTCAAGTGAGCAGGGCGATTCTCGGGCTTGTCCATGGATACGTTGTAGCGAGTTGTATCATCCCGAAGAGACAAGTCCTGTCCGGTAGACTCTAGGTATTGCAGAACTCCATGGTACCTAAACACGTGAAACAACTTCGAAAGGAGAGCGAGTGTCTGTCGACCAGAGTGATGTACCTACTCATCTAAGGGGACACGAGCTCGGAATTGCTGGAGTTTCTGTCTGCCCTTGTTTTCAGATAGCTTCTGGTCGCGACTAGAGATGTAATGATAATGGTGACGCAAAGGGGTCGCTTCCTCCTCTCATCTCGATTCGATGCACTGCCGCCTCGAGGGCAAATCGTGTCTTGTACCGGCTCCTTGGCAAAGTGGCAATGAGGCTTGGAGGTGGGTTGCGAGATGTCTTGGCAAAAGGGGGAAACATGTGCTGAGTCTCTGGTGTTGCAGGGAGTTTGGAGCCTCTGTTCATTTCAGTGGTATCAGCAATTAGACAAATGATGCGAGCAGCTGGGCAGCCAACTCGTATGAGCCTGTAGTAGCTTGAGTGACCTTGAATTGCGCAGTTACCTGACTTTGGCGGCCTTGTAGATGGGGAGAATATTCGATCACAGTCGCAACTGATGAAGAGTAGCACCTGTTGACGAGTCCGGGCTGCTCCTCTCCATAACAGTGGCCACTCATCGCAAGAAAGGTGTTGCAGCCCATTGGGTTATGCCAATCTGAGGATATCCAGGGCTAGTATCCAGTGTTGTCCTGTCTCCCATTGCCGGCTCATTGTTTACCATCTCAGTAGGTACCCAGAGGTCAGACTCAGAGAGCCGCCTCCTGCTGTTGAGATCCGTCGGGGCTTGCAGGATCCCGATGAAGGAGCTGGCCGCGTTTGCACGACTGCAACCGACTCCAACTGCCAACGAACGAGGCCCGGCCTAAGTATGTGGTTAAGCCAGGACCGCAGTTTGATGCTGCCTCTCACACCCCCGGTTATGTACTCCAGTCCACCTCACCAGCCTTTGGTTTGCACCCATCGTGACACTGCCGTATGAAGGGAATGATGGTGAGATTACTCCATGGAAAGCATCTCGTCCACGTACTGCTGTCGTGAACGAGTAGGTAGTTGAAGAGTCAGTGACCTTGTCACCACATCCTTTCAAGAAAATGATGAGACTCAATCAATTGCACCTTCTGGACAGGTCCCTCCAGTTTGGAGGCCGCCCAAGCTCAATCAGGACCCGAGATTAAGCCACCAGCTGGCCCGCCATCAACACGCCCAGCTAGGTATGTAATATGTAATATCGTGCGTGCCTTCAACTGTTGCGTGTAAACGTGCGTGTATATTGGCTGCAACAGGCTAGCGGCATTCGTCGGCTGTCCTCCTTTCTGCAGAGTCCCTTTTGCCTCATCTGCACGCGCCCCGGCGGAAGGGAGAGGCGCTGACGCGGGATTCAAGACGCCCCAGACGAGGCGCCAGGGTTTGATTTGCCCACAGCTAGTCCGAGGTGTCTGTCTCGGCGCACTTGGCTTCGTCCCTAATGCGGCGGAAAGCTTGATTCGGCTGCTGGAGATATGCATAACGCTGCTCCGACTTGGCGGGCTCAACATGGCCGGGGAGGTTCAGATATGGTCGTCCATATCCTGCAGTAGGCAATCTGCAATCTGGAGACTCCATATCATCCCACCCGTGGGCCGGTATGGGCTCGAAAGAAACGCCGAGGCATGTGAGCGACGCCGCAAAGATGGAGGGCAACCTGCCGGGCAGCATTTGGCCACTGAGGAGGAAGAACTAGAAGACGGAGCAGAATATGGAGGTGGCCGGCCAGCTGGATGCTACAGTAAAGGGGTCGAGGCAGACCAGACCCAAAGCGATAGGCGATTCCGTCTGAAGTATGTACTATATCGTACAAGACGCGTATAAGCCACGAAAGTCCCGACATGCTGGGTACTTTTAGCTGGTGCGAATTACCCCGGACAAGCATCCAGCACAGGCGCTGTTTGTGGCTTCATCAGGACAAGGCCGTGTGACCGCTGGAGAGTGTATGTACCTAATGAGAAGGTTTGCAGGTGTTGCTGCTAGGTATTGCGATCCGCTGCCGTTTGCTGTACCGGAGGATCTGCTCTCAACCTCGTAATAATAGTACTTACTATCCGGTTGGACAAGACGAGGTTCGTCCAGTCAATCTCAACCTCGATCCCGTGTTCCTGCGCTGATCGTCTGCCCAGAGCTGCATCTCTCAGACGATAAGAGCTCCTTATACGCTGTGTGCCGTCATGCCATGTCCATGCACCGTATGGAGAAGCAGAAGCAGGAGCTCCTGTATCACGCATGGCGGCATGGCGGCACCGAAGCAGAGTGGCGCCCTTCTGCTGCTGCAGCAGCAGCGCGAGAAGAGCGAGACGAAGCCGTTCGGCAATGGGAAACGGGGAGGAGAGGAACAAGATCATCCTCCTCCTCCTCCATCATATTGAAATTCGGCCACTTCGAGGGGAATCAACTGGTCACAAACATGTGCTATTTAGTAGTGTTACTGGCAGTATCACTGGTAGTAGGTAGGCTGATGATGGTGCGAAGAATCGACTCGAGGTAACACGCCAGAAGTCGCGGAGTCGGCGGCCAGAGCGAGCGACTGCGACAGGAGCGACCAGAGCGAGGGCCCACGAGACCAATCGCAGAGCGCCGGGTGGGCACCGCGCCAAGGATGCCAAGGCTTGGCACGGCTTGGCACCGTATGCGCTGCGGTGCTGCGGCGAGTTGATCTGTTAGGGAGGACCTGGAGTGACCTAGAGATAACGGTTAAACTCAGCCTGAGGGCAGGTCCTCCTACAGTCTTCCTCATCGCACCCACCGGCCAAGCGGTGCCAAGACAATGCCAAGACCGCCAAGACCTTCCGCTTGGCCCTCTCGCGCCTGCCCAGGCCTTTGTGTCGATGTAAAGGGAGCCTCTGCCCCCAAGCGGCTCGCCCAGAGGCGCGAGTCTTTTCCCCCGGAACTTGAACCTGTGTCCATCGCAATCCCAGGCCTGATCCATATCGCATATCAGGGCCCGTGTCCCCCAGATCCGGCGCTTTGAAATACAAAATCGTCGGCTGCTGCGTGTCGAGGCTGCGTTTGCGCTTCTGCTTCTGCATCAACCTCGTGCCCTGTCTTGTCCCGAACGTTTTTTTTCTGCGCCAAAGCGCCTCTGGCTTCAGGCCCCTCCCCCGAAACAGAATCGCTCTCTCCTCCTGGCTGCCCTTTTTCGCTGCCGCCCCACCGGATCAGGCCTATCAAAAGGACCCCGACAATGTCGGCCCAAGTCCCCGACCAGGCTTCGGCTCTGTCTCCAGGCCATGACAACAGCAACAACTTGAAGTCGGCCTCGTCCACCGATGCCTCGTCGACCACGAGCCCCAACGGCAGCTCCAGCACCGGCCTCAACGTCGGCAGCGCCTCATCCAGCTCGCAGGTGTCGCCGCCGGTCGGCGATGCCCTGGATGCGCCCCGGCCGCTCGTCTGCCGCTGGAACCAGTGCGGCCAGAAGTTTAGCAACGCCGAGACGCTCTATGTAAGTGACGGGCATGGAGATGGAACCGCGAGGAGAGGCGACATGTCAACGTCGTCAACGTAGGACCGGTGACCCATGATCCGTGGTTACTGACCCGAGCCTTCTGCAGGAACACATCTGTGAGCGACATGTTGGTCGCAAAAGCACAAACAACCTGAGCCTCACTTGCCAGTGGAACTCTTGTCGCACCACTACCGTCAAGCGCGACCACATCACTTCCCACATCCGTGTTCACGTTCCCCTGAAGCCTCACAAGTGCGAGTTCTGTGGCAAGTCCTTCAAGCGACCCCAGGACCTGAAGAAGCACGTCAAGGTACTTATTTCATTATCTCCTCCTTGCGCTCTTGGATCAAATCGGCTCACTGCCGTCTTCTAGACTCATGCCGATGACTCGGTTCTCTCACGACCTGGGCCCGATAACCAACCAGGCATGAACTACAGACCTCAAGCGCCCAAACGTGAGTACCTGCTGGGCTTCATCCCACGTGCTTCCATTCTTCATCACCACTAACACGGAACCCCAGCCCCGAGCTATTATGATCACACTGGGCAGATGCGAAGCCCTGTCGCCGGCTTCCCTCAGCACCACCCTGGGGGCTATTACGCTCCTCAGCCCTCGACCAACTATGGTCTTTACTTTAACCAGCAGCATGTCAACACGGCACCTCGTTCCGAGCACATTGGCTACTCGGCCAGCTATGACCGCAAGCGCACTAATGCTCACGAGCTGGTGGACGACTTCTTTGCCAGCGCCAAGCGCCGCCAGATCGACCCTACCTCGTATGCCCAGATCGGACGCTCTCTGCTCCCTCTTCAGAATGCCTTGCAGATTCCCAGCGGGTCCATGGCCGCCACCGAATCGTACTTCCCTCAGTCAACCGGTCATGCTGTAGGGCATGCCGTCTCCCACGCTGCGCATGCGCCCGCGCCAAGTCAGAACCCTCTGGCGCAGCAATACTACCTGCCCATGCCCAACGCGAGGACTCAGAAGGATCTCGTCCAGCTCGAGCATATCCTAGGCCAGATGCAAGATACCGTGTACGAGACGGCTCCCCAAATCACCGCCGGACTGCACGCTCATGACGGCCAATTCGCCGCATACCGCGGCACATCGCCCACGACCCTTCACCGCGGTCCAGGCAGCATGCACATTGCCACCGATGGCTACCATCATCCCGTCTCAGCGGCAAGCATGGCGTCGCCTCTGACGGCCATTTCATCTACTGGCACTCCTGCAGTGACGCCTCCGTCCAGTGCACTGTCCTATACCTCGGGCCATTCTCCAAGCCCCTCTGCCTCTTCGGGATTCTCACCGCAGTCCCGACACAGCTCGACAGCTTCATCCATTCTGTATCCCAGCCTGCCCACTGGCTTGCCTGCCGTCAGCCAAGGATTCGGGCAGTCCACCACGGCAACTCTGGGCCCTAGTTTCGACACGGGTGAGCGCCGCCGCTACTCAGGCGGAATGCTTCAAAGGGCTCGCGGCGCACCACCGCGGTCTTCTGAGGAGCCCAGCGGTGCCGTCACGCCCAAGGCCAGCGAGTCCGCAGCATCGACTGGATCTCCATCTTCGGAGTCTGACACCAGCGAAGCCACTCGTGAGCGAGAGGAGCAGTACGAGATGTGGGTGGATAACATGCGGGTGATCGAGACCCTCCGCGACTACGTCCGAGGACGTCTCGAGCGCGGGGAGTACGAGGAGGAGTATCCCGGCCTCGCCAGAATCCGCAGGGATGTCGATGCCATGGACCTTGGCGGCAAGCCCAAGGGCCCGCTTGGCAACGAACGCCCCAAGTCTAAGGAGGGCAACTCTCTATACCCCGTCCTTCCTGTTCCTGGAACCTGAACCATGCTTGGATCATGATGCCTATGTCTAAAGAGACATGCTGGCGTTTCCATTTTCTATCATTCTATCTTCACAATTCACGTCGATGGCTGTCGGCGAGTCAAGATGACGCACTGCAATATCTTCGCATTTGGCGTATGTGTTACTAGGTCTATTTTCTGATTATTCCCAATCCACCTATGTACGATTCAGGCTGGCTGGAGGTTACCTCATGTTGATGTGTAAGGAAAAAAGTTGGCAATGAACATGCTATGCCTTTGATGACATTCCTTGCTAGCAAGGCGCAAGCTGAACGTGATGTGAATGAACATTCTTCAACATAACACCCACCGCAAAACATTGGCGCATTATTGCAATCTCTCGCTCGGCATAATCACTGCATTGTTGCAGTAGCCTAATTTTGGAGCAAAGTGATTCAGGCCAATCCTTGAAAGCGGACGGCAGCAGCATGTCTGGGAAGGCCGGGCTGTTCATTTCTCAAAGAGCTCTGTGTAACAGACGCAGAGCACAACTGACGCAAAGAGCAACGACCGAGACCACGACTGACTCTCAGTGACGTTTGATGACGCTCATGAGGTCAAGGATGCTGACAAGAGAAGGCAAGGTCCGAGCCGAAAAGAGAGACAAATGGGCAAAAGGGCCCGGCGTGGCTCCCGAGGTCCCCTTTTGGCGAAGCGGGCAGAGAAGCGACTCCTACCGATGGTGCGTTTCCCCCCGGCAAGTCTTATACGTGACCACATTTGTAGGTATGCAGTATGTATGCATACATAGAGCACATGTTATGTAAAGGTGGTCTCAGGAGGCAGGGAAAAAAAGGGAGAAGGAGCCGGTTGGGTGGAGAGACGGGAGCTGGAAGCCGTAGATCCAAATTTGGGATTGCCCTGGAATGGGGCTGTGAGAGGCTGGTTCGGGTCGGACAAAGGATGCACAGAGAGAAGGAGTACCTACCTGATGATGATATGAAGCCAAGAGAAGTACTAGGTAGGTGCTAGGTAATAGGTAGGTATACGAGCGGGCTGAGGGTGAGGTAGGCACTTCTGAGGTCATACTACCTACCTATCGACGAGGGATGGAGAGGAGCAGAAGGGCCGAGAATGTGTGAGGAATGAGGGTCTGGAATTGAACCCTTTGCTTAGCCAATATAGGCGAGGGAAGGAGGCATCAAGTGACGGAGGGTGAAAATAAGCAGGCAGGAGCTGAACACGATTGTTCCAGCAAGGGCAAGAGCGGGTGTACCTCGTGGCCCTGCAAAATTAGAAGGTGCCGTTGAGACATACTTACGTGCTTCACGCACAGCTTGATCCTGGCTTCTCCTTCTCCTTCTTCTCCTCCTTCGTCTTCTTCTTCTTCTTCCTCTTCTCCTCCTCCCATTTACTTCTACGAAAGCTCTCAACAGGTCCTCGCGATAGCCCGCTTCAAGTCTTCACCTACAGAGCTCTTCTCTTCGTTTCTCCGTTTACTTTTACCCTCCAGAACCCCTTCCTGCTCTGCAGACTCTCGGCCTTTTTCTTCTGTTTGCGTTCCCCTACAACAGTGCACACGCCTCCACAAAATCCAAAGAAAGAGAAACAGCAGTTCCGCCCGAGACAAGCAGACAAGTGTTCGTGACCCCCCAGCTTTGTCTTGGATTCTGAGACATTCACCCTCCCTGCGGATGCTGACGGTGGGAAATAAAAAGAAGACGAACCGCCCGCCCTACCTGGTGCAGGCAAAACAGAAGGAGACAAGCAAACCTGAAGACAAATTGTCATTTTTCCGGCTTCGAGAAAAGGGATTGCCTAGAAAAAAAAAGTCCAAACAGAAGAAGCAACCTCTACATCATGAAGACTGCTTCGTTTGCCCTCGTGTCGGCGCTGCTCCTGGGCGCCTCGGCCCTCACGCTACCACCGCAGCCCACGCCCAGCTCGGGGTGCTGCTGCTGCGACATCTCCAAGGGCCGAATCGACTGCGACCGGTCCATCCCGGCGTCGGAGTGCTTCTGCGCGCAGGTCATCTGCCCCGCCAACGCGCCGACCGTCTGGCACGGCACGCCGCCGCCCACTTCGCCGCCCACCTCGCCGCCCACCTCCGGCCCTACTCTGGCGGCAGCTCCGCCTCCTCATCTGCCGGGCCTGAAGCCGAAGCCGAAGCCTAAGCCCCTGCCGCAGCCGCAGCCGCAGCCGGGCCCGCCCAAGCAATGCTGCTGCTGCGATCCCAGCGTCATGAAGATCCGTTGCGAAATAAAGCCCGCCATTGACTGTATCTGCCTGGCCGTCATGTGTCCGTCGGGTGCCGAGACGATCTTTGTCAAGCCTTCGCCCACGTCTAAGCCTACTGCGGCGCCTTAGGGGGGTTCTGAGTATGGTGGTGGACAAGTGAGGAGGAGTTTGGCATGGGGCGCTTTTGGAGGAGGGATGGTGCACGATGGAATTTGATTAAACGGACAGCAAGTTGATGACGCATGTTTACGTTCAAGGCTGGTTTGTACACGAAGGCTATGATGGGTTTTACGAGAGGAGCCGTTACTTGGTAGCATGCTCCAGTATATTACCTACTAGCTACCTGACAAGGACGGTTACAATCATGGTGTCAAGGTTGAGGATGGGCGATATCATGAGACTGGCGTGCTCGGCTTGCGTTATTGGCACTGAATTTGTTCAAATATTAATTGGTCATTTATTACTGCATTGTCATGTCGAGAACCAACTTCGATTGTGGGAATCCCTTTGCTGCGCACTTGCATACCTACCTAGTATGTATGTAACATTACCCAGTTTTACAAGGCAACTGCCATGGGGTATGCAGTATTACTCATATTGGATTTCCCCCAGAATCTTCTCTCCTCCTTTAAACCATCCAAATTCCCAACTTGACCACAGCATCGTCACCGATATCAGCTCACTGCATCGTCAAGACGTTCCTGAACCGCGGCTTGCCAGCCTCCAGACTCTCAATGGCCTTTTGGACCTCGCTGAAGGGATACCTCTCAATCATGCACTTGACGCCGTGCGTCATGGCAAACTGAATGGCCTCCTCGCTGTCGAGGGCATGCCCGCTCGCCCAGCCCTGGACGCTGGCGCCCTTCATGATGAGGGTGACGGTGTTGACGTCGACGGAGCCGACGGGCGCGAGGCTGAGGATCTTGCCGTTGGGCGCGAGTCCGTCGGCCAGGGCCCCGACGACCTTTGGGTTGGGCGCGGTCTGGACGATGAGGGAGGCGCCGCCCATCTTGGCCAGCTCGGCGGCGGCATCGGCGGCGGAGGTGTCGATGAAGTGGTGGGCGCCGAGCTGGCGGGCAAAGGGCTCCTTGTCGGCGCCGTGGGAGAGGGCGGCGACCTCGTAGCCCATCTTGCCGGCGAACTGGATGGCGAGGTGGCCGAGGCCGCCGAGCCCCTGGACGGCGACGAGGCGGCCCTGCTCGACGCGCTGCTTGCGGATGCCGTTGAAGACGGTGACGCCGGCGCAGAGCAGGGGCGCGGCCTCGGCCGGGTCCATGTCGCGCGGGATGCGCACGACGGCCTCGACGCGCAGCACGACGTATTCTGCGAAGCCGCCGTCGCGCGAGACGCCGTTGATGGCCTCGTTCTGGCAGTACTGGAAGTCGCCGCGCTGGCACTCCCTGCAGACGCCGTCGTGCCCGCCGTGCCAGGGCCCGCCGACGCGCTGGCCGACGGACAGGTTCTTGACGTCCGGGCCGAGCTCGACAATGTCGCCTACGATTTCGTGGCCCGGGGTGCGCGGGTAGATGTTGCCAAAGTTGCCCTTTGCGGCCTCCATGTCGGACCAGCAGACGCCGCAGGCGAGGACCTTGACCAGGACCTGGCCGGCTTCCGGGTGCTTGAGGGGGACATCCTGGATGGCGAAGGGGGAGTTTGGCGCGGTGAGGACGACGGCTTTGTATGTCTTTGGGAGGTTGGGCGCCATTGTTTGTGATGTTGTGTTTCTTCTTATATGGGTGGTTTTGTTGTGGTGTCCTGTTTGGTAAGCTCTGGGATCAAGGTGCTGACACGGCCTGGTGAGGAACAAGACTGCTTATACTCCTGGTGACAGCTTCATCACAATATCAGCTCCAAAGGGTAAGGAAACTGCTTGTTATATATAGCTTTCTCATCCTCTGGCTTTTATGCTCGGGTTGCTTATCAGAGAGTGAGCTACCATGACGTTGACCAATGCTGGAACACTTCCCTCCCGCCTCTACCGAGACAACTATGAACCAATGACCGGGACAGTCGATTCAGCTTTGAAAGGCACAAACTAATCTTCAGGAGAGAGGGAAAAGTCCCATCAGATCCGGGCGACTTTGCTTAACGGGAAGGGGAGAAAAGAGGGTATGTTTAGTGCGGTGGCTGAAGTCAGTGTGACTTCACCAGCGGGGGATTCCTACCTAGTGAGTTGTCGTTGGCTAGTACGGCTGTTTAAACGCCGAGAGGGCGAGATTCCATCGGAGATGGGTAATGAGGAAAATAGTTCTTGTTCCGAAGATCTTATCTTGACGTTGGGGATAGGGGATAGAGCTGCTGCTAGGTAGGTAGCAAAGTAAGCAGTAGTAGTCTTCTGCGGACGGCATGTTCTCTTCTAGGTTTTAGATCTGTATAATGACAACTTACATGGATGAAAGTCAGGGCGATAGACACAACCAGCTATAATCTGCTTACGGATGATTCGCTGCTCTCATCTTTATCTTGCTTGATATGTACTTAAATAGAGTGTAAGATGAATCTGCTTGTAGTTGAGCTTTCCTGATTGCCATTGCCATCCATTGCTGTTTGGTTGTATGAGAACATGTTCGGCTGCTTTGCTTATCGATGACCGGCCGGACCTTGACGATGATCCGTTGACTTCCTCACTGCTCCCCCTGCTAGTGTCGTCAAGTTGGTGCGCAACAACCCAATACATAGAGCTATTGATATCGACACTGAATTCACTCCACTGTGTTGTTGATGGCTTCAACTTCACCTCCTCCAATTAAATTTATCCAAACTCAGACAATTCCTCGAAACGCAAGCAATCCTCCAGGGTAACTCACCTCTTACACGTCAAGTCCACGAACAGCGGGGCAAATCTCCCCCCCAGGCCACGGCTAATCCTCGCTCCCACCCCCCCGAATCTCCCTCCAACCAATCAGCGGCCCCGCAATTCCAAAGCGGCGAAATCGATCGAGTTTCGCCTCAATTGATCTCTCTAACTCTCCCCCGAAGCGCTCGTCAACAGCGAACCTCCCACCCCCCACCCAGCAGCCTTTCCCTCCCCCTACAAAGCCGCGGCTGAGCAATCCCTTTCACCTCCCTCTGTGAAAAGGATACGAAGCGTCCTAGGGATACCGGGAATCTTCCTGACCACACCAGAGCAATGCTGCCGGCAACGCGATCCGCGGCCTCAATGGCCCTCCGAGGTGCGTCAAATTTTCCCTTTTTCAGCCCAGCAAAAACAACCACCCGATCAGTTCCCAACGACGACGACGACGACAACGCCCAACCCACCACCTCTTTCGTCGACCCTTGGAAGAAAAAGAATTCAGTGGGCTAACCGTGCAAGATGCAGTCAAACCCGCTTCCGCGCTGATTCCCATCCGAGCCGCCTCCGCCGCCGCCTTCTCAACAACCTCGAGACAAGATGCCACCTCGCTGACTCCCTCCCCCCACTCCTCGACCTTTGGAAAGGCCCGCAAGGAAGTCGCCCTGCCCAGCGAGGAGGGCACCAAGGGCGTCATCCAATACGCGCTGTACGTCTGAACCTTCTATACACCCGACGCTCTTTGCATCGAAGTCGACGCCAGGGATCGAAGGATCACACACCTTATCTTGCTAACACGGGCTCGTCAAAAAAACAACAGCACCTCCCTCGACATCATCGCAAACTGGGCCCGCCAGTCCTCCCTCTGGCCCATGACCTTTGGCCTCGCCTGCTGCGCCGTCGAAATGATGCACCTCTCCACCCCGCGCTACGACCAGGACCGCCTGGGCATCATCTTCCGCGCCTCCCCGCGCCAGTCCGACGTCATGATCGTCGCCGGCACCCTCACCAACAAGATGGCGCCCGCCCTGCGCCAGGTCTACGACCAGATGCCCGACCCCCGCTGGGTCATCTCCATGGGCAGCTGCGCCAACGGCGGCGGCTACTACCACTACAGCTACAGCGTCGTCCGCGGCTGCGACCGCATCGTTCCCGTCGACATCTACGTCCCCGGCTGCCCGCCCACCAGCGAGGCCCTCATGTACGGCATCTTCCAGCTGCAGAGGAAGATGCGCAACACCAAGATTACGCGGATGTGGTACAGGCGGTAAAGAGGAGGTGGGGGTAACAGGGCAAAGGGGGGGAAAAGGCGAGGGACGAAGAGTGCAAGGGTTGGGGCTTTCTCTCTCTCTCTCCCTCTCTCTGTGTGTGTGTGAGTGAGTAGTATGATAGGGGATGTCCTTTCAACGGGCGCGGATACGCCAAGAGAAGGTGCTGTTGGTCCGTGGGAAATAAGAGAATTCGCCGGCAAACGGGATTCAAATGAGGGTTATTGGAATTCGAGGAAGAAGAACGGAAGGAAAGAGGGTCAACCACAAATGCAACGAGTCAAGCAACAAGCCAAAGTCAATGCTTGGTAGACTCAAGTCCCCTAATACCTGTCTCTTCAAGATGTAAGTTTCTGTTTACAAAAGTGTACATACACTCTCTGGGTTGCGGGAGGTTACGATTTGTAGAGTATCTCACAAAAGACTGTACCAATTCCAACAATATTCCAGCGCAATCAATAGCTAATCGTGAACATTAAATTCTACAACAGTCCGTATCAACATACGCAAAGAGATGAAAAAAGACACAACGTTTCCCACCTCCATTTCATGCTTGCCTTTTGACTTATATATGTGTGTATATATATCGCGAGTCCTCCGCTATTAATCAACATTGGCATCCCAATCCAACTTCGAAAGCCTACACAGCATGCAGCTCCCCATACTAAACCCCCTTCTCCCTTGCAAACACCACAGGGCAATAGTTCATCATGAAGCCTCCTTCGCTTTTCACTCCTGCCAATGACAACGATTCGCTCATTTCATCTTGTCTCGTCTGATAGCAATAAAACCAGCCAGCGCCAAACCAAGCATACCAAATTCTGTCCGCTGACTCTTCAGCCAAAACATATGTACCCAAAGAGAAACCCAAATACGAGCAATGAGGAAAGGATCCGTGCTGAAAGCAATGTCACTACTACAAGGACTCTTGTAGCAGGCCGGGGAAAGCGAGCCCTTTCGTCCGGGACACCAACAGCACCAGACCTGTGATTTATTCTTGGCCAAAGCCCATCGTCTCCTCCACGGCAATGGTGAGTTTCTGTTGCAGCGTCTCCAAAGTCTTGTATGCGGGAAGATCGATTCGGTTGAAGCTGCGATACTGTTAGCATTTTGCCCTTGTCATCTGCGGACTGAGGACACAACTTACCAGGTATGCGCCTTGGGAAGGTTAGACAAGTCACCGGCCTTTTCAATGGTGAATCTTCTCGGGCCATCGCTGCCCTGGAGGTCCTTGAATCCGTTGACCGGGATTCTAGAAGTACCCGTGGTGAACTGCAGCAGACGCGACTTCTGCTCGCCATCCCAGGACCTGACTGTTGCCCAGAAGTTCTGGATGACCTCATCCGACTCGGTGTAGCCTCGGTAATCCGTGTGCTTCTTCCAGTCGTCGACATCAATCTCGGCAATACCGCCAATGAGCAATTCGAGCTCGCGCTCGTCAAAGACGTTGATGAGATCTTGAGGAATCAGCTCTTGGAAGCCTTCCTTGAAGGCCTGGAACTGCTCCGCGATGCGCTTCTCAATACGCCACTTGACCATGAGCTCCACGTATTCCTTCTTGTTCTCATTCGTCACTTCGATGTCCCGACCGCCAGGAATCAAATCTTCAGTCGTCATGACTCCAAAGCGCTCGTCTTCCGTGGAGAAGGTCTGCTCGAGAATACCGCCAGAGATGTCGTTATCCAGCATCCACTGCAGCGAGCGATGGAAATCTGCATCCACACCCTCCATGTCCGCCAATGTGACTGGCTTGCCCAGGATCATCTTGTAAAGAGCTCCGATGAAGAACGCATCCAAGAATCGCCGATGGAAGATGGCCATGCCAACGACGCGCCCAATGAACTTGAAATAGTTGAGATGTTCGGGGTTGATGCCAGAGTGGGGGTTGATTTGGAGGGTATAGTTATCGTGCGCTGAATATTCGAACAAACAGTAGAAAGGGTTGAACATTTCGTGAGAAAGGAGGAAGAAGAACTCTCGCGACAGACCGCCGTAATCGAGGCCGTCCTCGCCATCAAACTTGATCATGAGGCGCTTCTTGAGATCCGTAGCCGACTGGCGAGTGATCTCGGCAAACGAGTCTTCGAAGATGTGAGAGCGTCGGACCTTGATGTGGCATTGCCCGCTGAGAATGCGCATGGCAGGCTGGGATCGGAAGTAGATGAGCTTTCGTCGGAAATCACGCTTGTACTGGGGCACATTCTGATCTAGTGAAGAAGGAAGACGCGGGTCGTCCCAGGTCGTAGTCTTTGTGTTGTGGTCCACGAAGTAGACTCGCGCGGTATTGGTAAGACGCATCTCCCAGCCGCTGGGCAAAGGTCCCAGCTGGGATACGGGCTGCTGCTGAATCTGACCGTTGGTGTTGTTCTGGCCATACATGCGGATGAACTGCTGTCGGCGCGGGTCGACCCAAGTCGTGGTGCGGGTGTTGTGATCGACAAAGTAGGGCCGTCCTTCGGGGGTCCAGCGCTGTTCCCATCCGGGGGGGAGCTCGCCGGAACCTGGACTGGTGGCCCCGGTATGCATCATGGCCGTGTGACTGCTGCCGGCGGCGGCAGCGGCGCCGCCAGGGCTGCCTGCGCCGGAGCCTTGCTGTTGCTGCTGGAGAGTGGGTGAGCTAGTGCCCGTCCGGTCTTCGGGGAGGGTTCGGTTCTGGTGTCTCTGGCGCTCGACCTGGGTAACGGCCTCTCGTTCGTTTCGGGTTTCGGCGGCGGTACCGCCCGCGGTCGGGCGGTTCCAGCTGGTGGTACGTGTGTTGTGGTCGACATAGTAGGTGCGGCCCAGATTATCCTCCCTTCGTTCCCAGCCTGCAGGCAGACGACCCTGCGAATCCTCGAACGGGCTCAGCTGGCTGGTGGGGCGTGACTGTGAGCCATTGACGCTTGATGAAGACGGCACGGCGTTGACGCTGGCGGGATGGTGGGAGAGGCTCGGCTGAGGAGCCAGCGCGTTGTTATTAACGCCGGACATGGCAGAGCTCGGCCGATCGCCGGCCGGAGCAGACAAGGTTGAGAGGTTCGAAGCGCTGGGCGCACCGAGCGTGGGTCGGCTGGATGAGGCTTGGCCTGCGCGGATGGGGGTACTAAGGTTGCATGACAGGTTGAGTATAAGTTTGCCGTGCACGACGAGGTTGTCGGTCGACTTCTTGAGATCTCTAGTAATCATTTGATCTGGCAAGCGCTAGATGTTAGCCAGCCAGCTGGATACTTTGAGAGCAGGTATCAAGAGATAAGGGGGCAGGGAGGGTCCGAGACATACCGTCGGCATCGGGTCCGATTTCTGGAATCAAGTCACCGATTCGGATGTTGATAACGCCAAGAAAACCCTGGTCCTTCTTTTTGAACTTTTTCTGATCAAACACCTGGACGGCCAGGATGCTTGATTCGTCAACCCGACTAGACAGCGTTCGTCGTTAGCCTCTCTCTCGACATTGCGGATTCACGATAGGGGCACAGGGCAGATGTCGGCGTACAAATCAAAGCTCTCGTTCCAATAGGGGTTGAGCGTCTTCTTGCTAACGGTGGTTGTCTTGGTTTGCTCTCCGTTGATGGTCGCTACGGCGAAGGGGTCGGGAAAGCCTATGAAAGAAGGATTGTCAGCTGAAGCTGGACTCCTCAAGAGGTAGGGCTGCGTGTGTCGACAACACGAGGGCAGAGAAGCAGGCCGGAGAACATACGGAAGACATCTCGCTTGTACAATCCATCGGCGGCGATGACTATGACGATACATCCGGGTCAGTAATGTATGGATCTCCTAGGCGGAAAGCGAGCTCTGGATCGAGGGACGCACTTGTAACGCGAAGATTGGGTTTCCTGTACGCCATGCGGGTTAGATGAGAGCTGCATCGATCAAGTAGGCTCTACGAGCCTATGGACAATAGACAGGACGTAAGAGGAGCAGGGGGCGGGGGTTGAGTCTTACCCATTGTCATTTCGATTCGCCATTTTGACGAGGTTCTCTTTGGTATATCACAGCGCTCCAGGCACGGCAGTACCAGCCTTGCGACAAAAGCACAGCAACGATAGGTAGGTAGGTAGGTAGGTAGATAGTCAGGGTCAGAAGGTCAGAGGGTCAGGGCAATGCGGCCGACTTTGGACTCCAGCACAGGCCCAGCGGTGATGAAATGGCGCCCGTTGGGTGGACGTCTGCTGCACGGTAAGGGGGACAGAACGAACGGCGGCGACGCTGCAAGTCAAAGTGACGCCGGGACGAGGCGAGGCGAGGCGAGGATATGCTAGGTAGGTGAGCAGGCAAGAAGTTGGGGCTGTGCAGTGCAGGCCAGACTCCCCGCTCTATGGCTGAGTTCGCGGGTCGGGGTGGCGGGCGCGATAAGGAGCACGTGACGCGATCTCGTGTGCCCGGGCGAGCACCTCGAGCAGTAGAAGCTGGAGATGAACCGGGAGTGCTCGACGTGTTTGGAGGAGCGGCAGCTGGTTGATGATGGGAGGAAGATCAGGATGGATGGAATCTAGGGATTGATTGCAGAGGCGGGCTGACAAGTGGAATCCCCTCCGGCCGTCCCCTCAACTCCCAGCGCTCTTCAGGCGCTTCGACGGGGCATGGGCCTGTTTGTCGCGGCCAGGGTGGGGGGGGGACTGGAGCTCAGAAGCGGCCTCCTTTGGCGTCTGGTGCCTCCTGGGACCAGGGCTGCCGTTGCCGCTCTACAGAGGCGTCCTCTAGGTGCAGTACATGTACTAAAAGGCATTACAGGATTCACGATGCCGTCTCTGGCCGTCACGCACATAATAGTACGTAGTCGCCATCTTTTTCCTCTGTTCGAAAATTCTATATCATTCAGATCAACCATCATTTGGGAGCACCCAAATCGATTCCCGCACTCTCTTCTTCCCCCACCGGAAACCGACTAGAAACGGATGGACGTTTTGGGTACATTGTCCAGGACGCCATCACGATCCACGGGGACTCGGCACAGAAACAGCCACAGGAAGCTTCCCTCTGCGCGCTGCTACTCCTACCTAGTCGCCGCTGCGTGGCGTTTGATTGGACGTTCTCATTTGGATGGTCCTGCTGGGAAATACGCAGCCCGTACCGATGCTTTATTTTCTTGTTTGTTACGATTTCACAGAATGGAATACAATTCTGTACGGGTACATGTCGGTGATGGCTGAGGGCCCGAGCATCGGTGACAAAACAAGCGCGCGAGACAACATAGTACATGTGTCGACATGGTCGTTACGCCCTACGTGACAGTCGAGCCAAATGCAAGGCGTCCGGCTTGGTAATCAGCAGCTCGCCTCTAATTACAGTAAAAGCACGACCGAGGCGAGAATTTCAACTTGACACTGGGCTGCCTCCATTCTGGGGTGGAGTTCCTTCACGCCGACCTTCTAGAATGCAGCGTATACCTACCTCTACTACTTAGTAGTAACCCGCAAAACTTTCAAGGTTCTCAGGCTCTCAAGGTGCTCAAAATACATCTTCCATATTCTTACGACGAGAATCTGCTAACCCCCTAGTAGATACACAGCCATCATTGACTACTGATGCTATCAAATCACGCTTTCATTGGTCTCCCGTCTGTCACTACTCAGTAAACTTGTCAAATCTTAGGCTGATGAAGGAAGCGCTCGTGAGCATTGATGACCAACAGTCACACTGCGCAACCAACCGTCCCTAGGGCGCAGTTTCGCTGGTTGGCATCCAAGTCATCAGTCTACTATTAGTACCTACAAGCTACCTAACGCTTAGAGCAGATCCTCCACCGTTGCGTGAGCAGCGCTACTCGTATTACTCAGGCATCTGTAATTCGTGGAGTATACTCTTTCAAATACTATGGCAATAGAAAAATGAAAGCATCAAGCAGTGATTGGGGGTGCAAGACGCTGTGCTAGTTATTGGGGAACTCAACTTTGACGATAGATCGCTTCCTTACCTTAGTTCGACACGCAGTCTACCGACCTGAAGGATCGTGCGGGGATCCCTGTGTAGACGAGTTGGTGCTTTCTTCCAAGATAGTAATAATGAACCAAAAATATCGAATTTGAAAGAGGAACTTGAATCAAGTATACCAAAAGAAAAAAGAGTTCGAGCTTCTAGGTGTCACGCAAAAAGACCAACCTATCTACGGAGTACGTGATCAAACATTGTACAGCATCCAACTTGAAGAAGAGATAATGGGACCGCCACCAGCAAAGTGCATTTTGCCATCGTATGATGGGTGATGTTTTCAATTAATTACTCGAATTCATTTGAAACTCTCCATGCCTGCGAGAGTAACTCGTACACAGTTCTTAGATGACATTCCATTGCGGGTATGGATCTGCTACACAACCTGTGTCTATGATGCCGGCATCGAGCAGACGCGTCGGTGATGGCGTCAATAATAGGGCGGAGATCCAATGAGGGGCGTGTTGCAACAGTACAGTACAGTACAGTACTGTATGCATGAGCGCATAAGGTAATGTATGAAGGGCGCTGCTGCGCGATATGTGATATTCGATCCGGTTGATACATCATGCACTCGTATCGCCACAAGCGGCGATGAATTTTCTAGAAAGGCTTGGCCAGAGACCGACCATTTGATGTACCTTACTGCACCATTGTGATTGAGCAGGTAGGCAAGGTAGGTAGCTGTTCACCCAAAGCCAACAAGAAGAGAAATCAATTTTACTTCCTCATCTAACCGGCTGATTACCTTAGCTTCTGGCGTCAATACCAAGGCCGAAAACTCCAGATCCTTTCCCTTATCAAAGTTCTGATACTATACACACAAGCTCGCACGTCGCCGAATCCCGTCCCGGCTGCCCTTTTCAACTTGAATCCAGCAACTGATAGACATGCAATTGTCCATCAAAGTAAAGCCATACTGGGCGCCCCCCCTCGTCCCTCCTACGCTCTCATTGTACCCTCTCGTGATCCTCCGTGTGCCCTCTCTCAGCCCTTCTCCTCAATTATGCCAACCTAGATGCTGGATATCTTTCGTCGTCTGCATAGAGAAAAAAAAAAGAAAAAAACAAACAATATCCGCCATGGTTCTCCAAAAGAAAGAAAAGGGAAATGTAGGTTACCGTTCTAGTGGCGGTGAATAATGAACCTTCCCTCAGACGAGGTACCTATGGAATCGTCGCACAAACCGTTACTTTCGGCAGGTGTCGTGCTTGAAGAATCACTTCCTTGCTCCTAGTAAGGGGCGTAGCCTCGTCCACGGCCCCGGTAACCACCACGGTAGCCGCCGCCACGAGGGAACCCACCGCGTCCGTGGAATCCTCGGCCGCCGCCGCGAAAGCCTCCTCTTCCACGACCGCGGCTCATGCCAGGAATGTTGGTGCGCTTCGGAGTGACCTTGATGTTGCGGCCCTTGAAGACGCTCTCATTCAAGACGAGGGCCTGGGCAACCAGGCTTGGTTCGGTGAACTCGACATAGGCGTAGCTGAGAGAGAGAGAGAGAAGCATCACCGTTAGTATAGGTCACGAATGAGGAACAGCGAGGCGATTTTGGAAGCACGAAGTAGAGGAGGAATTATGCAATGCCATGCTTACCCCTTGGGCTGTCCGGTGAACTTGTCCAGAAGGATGGTGACTCGGTTGATGGAACCGCAGCTCTGGAAGTGCGCCTGGACCTCCTCGGGCGAGGCCGAGTAGTCGACGTTGCCCACAAAGATGCTGCGCGCATCCACGGACTCCTTGTCGTCGGCGAGGTCCGCAGACTGCTGCTCCAGCGTCGCCTGCATCTCGCGGAGCTTCTTGGCCTCCTCCTCCATCTCCGCAACTCGGCGCTTCATCGCCTGAATCTCCTCCTATCGAGCGGGCGTGTCAGATTCCATCATGTAGCAAGCTCTCGCTTCGAAGCGCGCGCGTCGAAAGTAAACCCACCTCTTCACTGGCCGCAGTCTCGTGCTCCGGCTCACGCTCCCCCTCGGGGATTGCCTCAGGCTTGTCTGCGTCCGACATTGTGCTTTGACCGAATGAATCGACAGAGTCTCTGCTGGGATAACTGGATTGGTAACGATGCTATCAGCGATGAGTTTTTGCGGAGTGATGGAAAGAAAATAAGGTTCCGTCGAGATAGGGACAAAGAAACAGGGAAAAAAAAAAGAGGTGAGGATGCGCCCCCCGTGCCGATTGGGAATAACCTCTGGCTAGACCTGAAGCGCGGCGGCTTTCAATTCTACAGCCTAGGAGGTCTTAACCGGGTTGGAAAGATTGAGATGGCACTCACCTGGATTAACTGGCTGCAGCGATATCGGACGCGACAGCACGATTGTCTGCGACGAAAGGAACAGTACGAATGTGATCAGGCAGACGAAAGGAAAGAATCGAGATGGAGACAATCGTCACTTTGAGCCTCGTGTTGCCGCGACGCAGAGCCGAAGTTGTTCCGACGGTAAGGCTGCAACCGCAGTTAAGGCCCAAGGTACCAGACAGCTACAGCCTGGGGCCCAGTCAGTGTGGGGGAGTCAGATAGAGCTGGGCAGCCCGAGATCCAGCTGCTCAGCTTGCCTGGAAGTCATTCTCGTGTCACTCACTATCTATTACCCACTGGCTAAACTCACCCGGGCTTTTGAGGCTGCAGAGCATGATTCCGCCCCTCCTGGCTTCACATGGATGAATTGGATGGGGAGCGGCAGCTGATGGATGCTAAGGTCTTATTGAGACGAGCATTTTCCAGCTCAACCACTCAGATCACGAGCAGCAGGGCGATTTTTCTCGATGATACCCTGCTGGGCTAATGCATCTATCTGCTGCGAATGCCAGCTTCTGTTTCCCTCGTAGCGCCTTTTATGACACTGCTTCCTACACAACATCAATCGATTCCGACCTATTTGCGTCGTCAACACCCGTTCCCTGTGACTTTACTATTCCTCGCGCGATCTTACACAGAGGCTTGCTCTGCTTACCTATATGTTTTGACCTTTCAGATCCTAATACCAAGCTAACAACATCATGGCGCATCGCTCATCTGCCCCATTGCTCCGGCCTTACCATGACGACAGCGACGACAGCGACGACTCCCAAGCCTCGCAACTGTCTCCATCTTCAGCTCCGTCTTCCTCGCGATACTGGCGACAATATCGCAAGTCCAGCCGGCGCCTCCTCGAGTCTCGCACCAAGCACTTTGTTGTCATGAGCGTGGTCGCGCTGGACGTGGCCGCGCTGCCCGCAAATGTCTTCATTCAGCTGATTGCCTGCGAGATGCACCAGAACGACGAGCCTTGGGTGGAGCAGCTCACAGAGGGCCTGGAGATTGCCGGTCTGGTGTTTAGCAGCCTCTTTCTGCTTGAACTATTTGCGTGCTTGTTTGCTTTTGGGTTGAGGTAGGTCAGAGATCTTTGGTTTGCTTCTCATTTTAACCTGTGTTTCATTTTGACCCCTGTTTCGCTCTCTTTATTCTCTTCTACTTTCTTCTTTTTTCTTTCTTTCTTCCTTCCTTCTTAGTGTATAACAAGTGATCTTCCTCTTGGCAATTTTCCCCTTTGTCTATAAACTTCAAGTTGGAACACCCCTCGAACCATGTCTAATCCTTGAGCTCGAAGCTACCTTGCCTCCTGGTTTCATCTCTTCGATTCTGCCGTCATTATTGCGAGTTTCATCATAGACGTAACCTCAAGAGGTCTAACCGAGTCCATCGGATCCCTGATTGTCGTTCTCCGTCTCTGGAGGCTGGCCAAGATATCCGAAGAGGTGGTGCTGGGCGCTACAGAGAGAATGGAGGTTCTCGAGCAGCATTTGGAGGACCTCGAAGCAGAGAACAGCAGACTCAGAGCCCAGCTGGGCATCGAGTCATCAAACTACTCGGGCAACGAAGGGAACTGCTGAAAGAGGCGATATGGTTTCCTACCAAAGCGGTCTTGCTAATGTTGCCTTTTAATGTGCATTACGCTTTACATACATCGTTTATATGATCTACAGCACGAACAAATCACGAGACAGGAAATTGACAGTTTGTCTAGACAATGCAGGGCTGGCATGTGAGCTCTGATTCACAGTGTAAGTACTACATACAGGTAGATTGCTCCCATTCGTACCCTCTATTCGAAACAAGCTTGGTAATGTATGGCGGGAATCCTTCAACCTTCCGACACCGTCGATGCAGTTTCGTTTCCTCCAGAAAATAAAATAACGCCCCTGATATCTATGCTACCTCCCGCCCATGTCCCACATTTGCCCTATGTTCCCAACCGATGTGTACGAAATATGCGGCGTGCTAGTCTTTGACTGACATGGTGATCGCTGGTAGAAGTAAAAAATGAACAAGAAAAATATCGTGATGTTGAAGTCGCAAGCGCTCATGTATGTCGACTGCGCTTGCTTCCGTTGCCGATGGGGTCTTTGCCCCCTAGGCAGCCGCCGAAGAAGTCGTCAAAGTCCATCCTTCGTTTTGTCCCGGCCCCTCGACTGAGATGTGGTGAAGACCGAGGTCCGCTTCTGGAAGAGCTTCCTCCAAATTTTGAACTGAATGAGGGTGCAAAGGAGGATGGCTCCTGTGGTCGTTGGTCTGACAAGTCCAAGGTGGCAATGTTTGGATATGATGTATGGAATGTGAAGGCGTCCTGCGTGGGCACAACAAAGTGTGTTGGCTCTTCGTTCATGGGAGAGACATGGACGGGGACGGCGGCGGGGGGAGAGACGGTTCGTGTCTGGATCTGAATTGGTGACGAGGTGATTGGTTCAGTACTGGCTCTAGCAATCTCGGGAGACGCATTCCTCTCGCCCTTGTCAACCTCGTCCTCGCTCTCGGCGCTCTGCTGTCCCGCGTCCCGACCATCGAGCCTTTCCGTGGCCCATCTCCGAATCCTCCACCCCTCTCCGTCGTCCAGCCCGATGTTTTCCTTGTCGAGGAACATCAGCAGCTCGTCCAAGCACTCCTGGTATCCATCTGCGCGCGCGCGAGCTTCGGCCTTGGCGGAAGTCTTGTAGAGTTTGGTAACGGAGAGCGCTGCGGCCTTGAAGACGTCGAGGAGCTGCTCGGGTGAGTCATACTGGGCCGCCTGCTTCCCAACGGCGGTTCGAGCTCTCGACGAGTCCATCTTTTCCGAGTGCGTTGTTTGCTATAGCGAAGGTGCGCGACGGCGAGGGTGCGTGTGTGTAGCGATCTACAGTAGATGTCGAGTTTAGGGTGGCGTAACAGCAAGCAGGAGCTTTGTGTTCCTACCAGGGGGGTTATATAAAGAAGTCCGGGGGTGGGCAGGCTCAGCTCAGGGAGGGAAATTTCGCTGCGCTGACTGTGTTTTAGGGGGTCGCACGGCAGAGACGCGCCAGAATCTGACCCCAGAGCTGCAGCTCTCGAGGTAGAGCTTTCGGAGTTGCTAAAAAGAGAGAGCAAAGAGGCTGTTGAAGGTTCCTAAACCAGATCAAATGATGGAGGGGAAATCCTGCAAACTGCTTTTAGGGCGGCAAAGTTCGAGGTCAGCAGGTTCGAAAGGCGGGCGAAGGCGGTAGAACGGCACGTGGGGTTGATGGGTCGATACCTTACCCTGGCCATTTGCACGTGACTCTGATAAGTGCTGGGAGAGGTCCAGTAACCAGTACTATTTGCTGTGAGAAAGGCTACCGACAATGCTCGACTGGGAGAGGAGCATTTTACTTAAGAAGTGTTACTCGCTTTTTTTTTTATGACTTCTCAAGACTCTGCGTTGATGGTGAAATGATGGTGATACATGGACCGAGCAAGACACGTGCATTGGGAAGCTCAACGGTTTGCTGCTGCGATAGAGCCAAGGTCCCCTGTAATACGGTACTACCTTAGTAAGGTAATACCTTAAGTATAGGTATAATGTACTTACTCTAGTACTGTAAGTGCACGCTGCCCTGCCCACTTCCAGCTGCCATCCGCCCGCATGTTCTGCGAGAAGAGAAAAAAGAGCAGCCCCTGACACTGTTGACGTCGTTGGCCACGGATTATTCCCGGACTTATCTTGTTCCAGCCCAGTGTCGAAGAAAACGGGCCAATTAGAGCGCATTCGGCTGTCTTTGGCGCGGAGAGACAAGGGGGTGGGACCTGCACGCGCGCTAGGCCCAAAAGGCGACCACCTCTGGATGAGCACGTCGAGCCTCTTGCCAGGCGCAATCTCGAAAAAACATCTTCCTCCTTCGCCGCCAGCAGCACGGAGCAAACTCGAGGGCTTCAACCACCGCCCCAGACCATCTCCAGACGCCCGCGTGCCCGCCCGGATCATCGGAAATCCTCTCTGGCGACTCCCACCGCCGTAAACTGGCGCATCTGAAGCGCGTTTCGTGCACGCAAAGTCGCGTAAAGAGGCTCCCCTCCGACCCTTTGAGATTTAGGCGCAATGGCTCCGCGACCTCGAGCCAACGGCGTCGACACTGACGCGTCCATGTCTGACGCCCCGGAGCAGCCTCACGTCGAGGAAATGGTAAGTTGTTGTTTGTGTCATTGGGGGCGCTTGCCTCTTGATGGATGATATTGACCGAGCTCTACCCCAGGACGTCGATGAGACACCCGACTATACCGACTCCGACACCAACCCCAACACCACAGCCAGCAGCGTAGTTGGTGAGCCTCTCACAGACGGTAGGAAGCGACGCAGCGAGGCGAACCAATTGCGTCGGAGCATCTTCGGAAAGAAACATGACCGCCTTGGAGAGTCAAAGGTTTGCCAGCCCCCAGGGTGACCCAGCTATAAGACAGCATATACTTGAATTGGGAGCGGTACTAATGCATCACCATCTTTTTTTCCTTCCTCCTTAACAGGAAGATGATACCATTCGAAGATTCCGTTACCTGCTCGGTCTGACCGATCTGTTCCGGCACTTTATCGAGACGAATCCCGACCCCAAGATCCGCGAAATCATGGCCGAGATCGACAATCAGAACGCCGAAGCCGCGCGAGCCAAGAAGGGCGCCGGCAGAAAAGGAGGCGCTACGAGCGAAAGAAGGAGACGAACCGAAGCCGAAGAAGACGCGGAGCTCTTGAGCGATGAGAAGCACGGCGGATCCGCGGACACAGTCTTCAGAGAGTCGCCCTCCTTCATCCAGGGTACCATGAGGGACTACCAGGTGGCAGGTCTCAACTGGCTGATTTCGCTGCATGAAAACGGCATTTCAGGCATTTTGGCCGACGAAATGGGCCTGGGAAAGACACTGCAGACCATATCCTTCTTGGGCTATCTTCGCCACATCATGGGCATTACTGGTCCCCATCTTGTCACTGTGCCCAAGTCGACGCTCGATAACTGGAAGCGAGAGTTTGCGAAATGGACACCGGAGGTCAATGTCCTGGTGCTCCAGGGTGCAAAGGATGAGCGCCACGAGCTCATCAACGAGCGCTTGGTCGACGAGAAGTTCGATGTTTGCATTACGAGCTATGAAATGGTCCTGAGGGAGAAGGCCCATCTCAAGAAGTTCGCCTGGGAATACATCATCATCGACGAGGCTCATCGTATCAAGAACGAAGAGTCTTCCCTGTCGCAGGTCATTAGACTCTTCAACTCCCGCAACCGACTCCTTATCACAGGCACCCCTCTGCAGAACAACCTCCACGAACTCTGGGCTCTTCTCAACTTTCTTTTGCCCGACGTCTTTGGCGACGCCGACGCCTTTGATCAATGGTTTTCAGGACAAGATCAAGATCAGGACAAGGTTGTGCAGCAACTCCATCGAGTTCTGCGCCCATTCCTGCTCCGGCGTGTCAAGAGCGACGTGGAAAAGAGTCTTCTGCCAAAGAAGGAGATCAATGTGTACCTGGGCATGTCTGAGATGCAGGTCAAATGGTACCAGAAAATTCTGGAAAAGGATATCGATGCGGTCAACGGCGCTGGAGGCAAGAGAGAGTCCAAGACGAGACTCCTCAACATCGTGATGCAGCTGCGAAAGTGCTGTAATCACCCCTACCTCTTCGAAGGTGCCGAGCCGGGTCCTCCTTACACAACCGATGAGCACTTGATTTACAACGCTGGCAAGATGAAGGTCCTGGACAAGCTGCTTGCCCGACTGCAGAAGCAGGGCAGCAGAGTCCTCATCTTCTCTCAGATGAGCCGACTACTGGACATCCTGGAGGATTACTGCGTGTTCAGACAGTACAAGTACTGCCGTATTGATGGTGGCACCGCGCACGAGGATCGAATTGCGGCCATAGACGAATACAACAAACCTGGGTCAGACAAGTTCGTCTTTCTGTTGACCACAAGAGCTGGTGGTTTGGGCATCAACCTGACGACGGCCGACATCGTCATTCTCTACGATAGCGATTGGAACCCTCAGGCTGATTTGCAGGCCATGGATCGCGCGCATCGTATTGGACAGACGAAGCAGGTTGTGGTGTACAGGTTTGTGACTGACAACGCCATTGAAGAAAAGGTTCTCGAGCGAGCAGCCCAGAAGCTGCGACTCGACCAGGTCGTCATTCAGCAGGGTCGCGCTCAGGTTGCCGCCAAGGCCGCTGCAAACAAGGACGAGCTCTTGTCCATGATTCAGCATGGCGCTGAAAAGGTCTTCCAGTCCAAGGGCTCTACAGACGACGCGGCGAACAAGGATAAGGAGCTCGATGATGAGGACATTGATGAAATCCTGAGTCGAGGCGAGTCCCGTACCAAGGAGTTGAATGCCAGATACGAGAAACTTGGCATTGAGGATCTCCAGAAGTTCACATCGGAATCAGCCTATGAGTGGAATGGAGAGAATTTCGCACAGGCAAAGAAGAACATTGGCATGAACTGGATCAACCCCTCAAAGCGAGAGCGCAGAGAGCAGAGCTACTCTATGGACAAGTACTTCCGGCAGGCCATGTATCCCAACCCCAAGACCGAGGTCAAGCCCAAGGCTCCCCGAGCGCCTAAGCAAGTACCGATTCACGACTACCAATTCTATCCTCCCCGTCTGCAGGAGCTGCAGGACAGGGAGACTGCCTTCTACCGAAAGGAGATTGGCTACAAGGTGCCACTGGCAGATGGCGACGAGGATACTCTAGAGGAGCGCGAAGCTGAGAGGGCACGCGAACAGCAAGAGATTGATAATGCTACCGCGCTCACAGAGGAAGAACGAGCTGAAAAGGAAGAGCTATCCGCCCAAGGGTTTGGCAACTGGAACCGCCGTGATTTCCAGCAGTTCATCAACGGGTCTGGAAAATACGGTCGTACCGACTACCAAGGCATCTCCAACGAGATTGACAGCAAGACGACGGCGGAGATCCGGGCTTATGCCAAGGTGTTCTGGCAGCGGTACAAGGAAATTGCCGACTGGCCCAAGTACATCAAGATTATTGAGGACGGAGAAGAGCGCACCAGGCGCATCGACCACCAGGGCAAGCTTCTTCGCAAGAAGATGCAGCAGTATCGAGTGCCTCTCCAGCAGCTCAAGATCAACTACTCGGTGTCTACCACCAACAAGAAGGTCTATACCGAAGAAGAGGACAGGTTTCTGCTGGTCCTCCTGGATCGTTATGGCATCGACTCCGAGGGCTTGTATGAGAAGATGCGGGACGATATCCGCGAATCCCCGCTGTTCCGCTTCGATTGGTTCTTCCTCAGCCGCACGCCGATCGAGCTGTCGCGACGATGCAATACGCTGCTCACGACTATTGTGAAGGAGTTTGAGGACGGCCCCGCAGCTACTACCGGAAAGGCCTCCAATGGGGTCAATGGAAAGTCCAAGCGGGAGCCGGACGAGGACAATGACGAGGACAGCATTCTGAGCATGGCACCGGCGAAGAAGAAGTCCAAGAACGGCGTCAAGGTACGTGATGAATGTAACCGCGTCAAATCAACTGGAATACTGACATGTCTTGTCTCTTAGAATAAGACTCTTGATAACGTCAAGTCAAAGTCTAGCAAACCTAGCTCAGCTTCTCCATCCAGAGCCTCCAGCGTCGCTTCCAACACCAACTCCGTCGGCGGTGGCTCGTCCAAGAGCAAGAAGACCAAGACGCCGGTCAAGAAGAAGAAATGAAGCAACGAAGAAATATGAAACAAACAAAAGGGTGTCTAGGCACTGTGGGTATGATTTTTTTTTCTAGATGAGGGATCTCGTTTTGTACCTTGTTGTCGACGACAAAAGAAAAACATATTGGCGTTTGATGAAAACCCCCAAGGGAGGGGGGTTAATGCGGATTTGCATTCAGGTTTCGATGAAGGAAAGGGGTGGATGACAAAAATCTCCTGTTGGTACAGGACAGTGTTGCCTTTGTTTGGTCCCGGGCATTGAGTCGTGTAGGAACGGTACGGCATGGACAGTGCTGGGACTTTGATTGTGTGTTCGAAGGGGAGAAAACAAAAAGATGATTTGCTTTTGTAGGTGTACAGTAGTAATGCAGAGAAGCCACTCAAATTGAGAGTTAATAGTGCGTATTTCTACCGCATGACTGGTTTCATGGTTCACTTTCACCTTCCAGCAGTTTTGTTTATATTGTCTTCTCACGATATGACCGCATCTCATGAGCAGATGGCCGAGTTGGTCACCTTGTGACAGCGAAAAGGAGCCAGGACATCTCCCATGGCGTTCTTCTTCTCACTTCTTTCTCAATGTTTCAAAAGGGAAAAAAGCTAGGCTCAACCTGAAATGGCACAATGTTTCCTCTTCTTCCCGTGCTTTCTACTACAACCATAAGGGAATTACCTAGTATTGGATTACATAGCCTCCCTCCCTTTCTCCCCTTTCCTCCATTCTCTCAAGAAGAAGAACTTTGTTTGTTTCCCTTTCCGCCCTCCCATAACGCCGTACTATATATGTAACGCATGCAAGCAAGCAAGCAAGCAGTCCGCAATCATGAAAACACAGACTGGTCATTTTTTTTGTTTCCCTTTCCCCCGGACTTGCTCTATGTTCCTCCCCCTCCCCTAACATCCTTCTCCTCCCGTTTGTCGCTTTCTTTCGATTTCAAAACAAAATCTAGGCCAAAAGGAGAAATAAAGAGATGGAAAGCCCAAGAGATTCGTTCGTCTTCTTCCCAGCACTTTTACTGCGATCGGTTCAGTCGCTCCCTCTCCACCTCGTAGTTGAAGTCGAAGTAGCTCTTGTCGAAGTGGTGAACGCGGACGTAACCGTCCTCTCCTCCGCTGGCGTAGCTGCGGCCGGTGGGGTCGGCGGCGACGGTGTTGAGGGGACCGAAGTGGCCGCGGACACGGCCGATTTCGTCCTCGAAGATCTTGTGGTAGAAGCGGGCCTCGAATCGACCCTGGCGGCCGGAGGTGGTGGTGACTTCCATGGCGGCCTGACCACCTCCGAGGATGACGAAGTCCTTCTTGGGGCAGATTGTGGCGCTGTTGAGGGGAGTGTCGGCCACGTATGTCTTGAGGGTGGCGAGGTCGCGGGCAGAGATGAGCTGAATGAGAGGAGTCGGGTGTGAGCGACGAGATTTCTTCATGGCAAGGGAAGAGAGGAGATGTTATGGGGGGGGAGAAAAGGAAATAAGGGGCCGTACCTTGGCGGTCTTGTCTCGGCAAGCAGTGATGAAGTAGGTCCTGTCGGGTGACCACTGCAGGTCGACGATGGGCTTGTCGAGCTCGTGGATGGGGACGTTGTCGAGCAGCTCGCCGGTCTTGGCGTCGTACTGGCTGACGCTGCCGTCCTCGTGGCCGGCAATGATGTACTTGCTGGCCTGGCTCCAGCCGGCAACGGTGGCCTTGCTCTCGTCGCAGACAATGGTCAGGGACCTCTCGTCGGTCTGCTCGGCGGTGATGTCAGGGTTGATGTCGATGACGACGATGTTGCTGAGGTAGCCCATGCGCTTCTCGGTGACGCCCAGCAGCTTGGTGCCGTCCTCGTTGAACTCGACACGCTTGACGGCGGTGGGGAACTCCCAGGTCTTGAGGCACTTGCCCGTCTTGACCTCCCACATGCGGATGGTGTTGTCGGCCGAGCCGGAGGCGATGTAGGTGGAAGTCGGGTCGACGTCGACGGTCCAGATGGCGCCGACGTGGCCGTGGTAGGTGCCTAGGCGCTCGCCATTGTGGGAGAACCAGACGCAGATCTGCTGGTCCTTTGCGACGGAGAAGATGAGGTCGCCGTCGAGGTTGTATCTTGAGCGCAGCAAAATTTTGGTTAGCTGAAGCCTCTCATTGGCTGGGGGAGGGAAAGGCAGCGTCGCGAGGAAGAGAGGGGCTGGTCAGAGAGCAAACGGAAGAAGAAGAAGCTGTCGCCGAAGCTGCTGTTCCTCCTCGTCCTCCTCGACGTTCAGTTGACGCATCGTCGACATACTTGATCTGGGTGAGAGCACGCTCGTGCCCGGCAAGGAGGATGGGTCTCATTTTGGTCGGTGGTGCTGGTGCTGGAAGAGGCTGAGGGAGACGGTTTATCCAGGGACAGAGGGGGGGAGATATAATATGGGCCAGCACGAGGGACGCAGTTGGAGGTGGTGGTGCTTTGAAATTTTGGCGATAATTGTGCGTCTTGGTGGGGCTTCGAGTTGTGGCGCGGGGAGTCCATTGGTGGCGTGGCCCAAAGGGGGATTTGGTGGGTGACTAATTGGAAAGCATGTGTGGATTCTAGATGATTCGCACCACTCACATGCTGTCACAGTCATGCCTTCCTATGTACAACTCCTGCAGTCAACAGTCTCCTTGGAACATCTTCTGCAACACCATTCCCCTTCATCTAACGGCCATCACTATCTAGTAGCTTTCAAGAGATTATCATAGTGTGCATGCTCTGCAAATACTGGTTCAATCCATCATCTGGGGGAAGAATCATGCGTGAGTCACAAGGACTGCTGAGTCACTCGCATGATTAGGCAGAGGTCAGTCGAGTCAGCCATTAAGCCTATGGGTTGATGTTGATACTATTATATATCATACATATCATACCTACCTACCTCTTGGAGTAGGTTGTAGTGCAAGGTAGCTGATACCACGTATTAGCAACCGATCATCACTGTATGATTGAAAGGAAAGGAGTCGAGATGGGCATCTGAAGATCAATTTCATCCGCAATGAGCCTCTCCAGATCCCTTGAACAACCCATTGACGACGGCCATTAACCAATTGCTTGTCGATGACGTGGAGTAAGACGGCGTAGTAATCCCTACACTTGTATTATCCTCAGACAAACTGCCATCATACCACACAAGCATTCGTTGGCAAGCAAAGAGGAACGGTAGGTTAGGTATGTGCATATATCAAGGGTCAGTCTCACTCCTCCGTGACCGGGCATCATTGTACATGTCATATTCCTACTAAATTACCTAAGGTAGTAAGCTAGGTACCTACATTTCGACTGAAATATCATGTAGCTGATGCTACGGTCGTCTTTCTCACGTTTGTCTTGCAAACGATTGAGCCGAATTCACCCACGGCATGGAATTGAGTGCGTGCTTGACGCCAATGAAACCGTGACTGTCGAATGTTTCCCCCAAGCCGTGGACCAGACCGTGCAGTACAAGATGTCGACTGTTCTAATGGCCAAGCCGCTCTTGGCTGACGGACGGACAAGACCAGAGCATCATCTTATTACGAACCCGAAGCTGTCATCATAGCGGCGCTGATTGCTCTATCAACTCCGGACAAGCATCAAGCATGTTACAAGCTCCGCGTGCAATCGTGGTCCTGGCCGAGACAGATTCAGTCCAAGCAAGCCCTTTCCGCTGGTCGCAAATCCACACCCCACATGGCGGTTAATCGACCCTCTGGACAATAAAAATTCTATAAAGCCGTCCAGCTGCTCGCCACCAGCTCGGCGCAATAGGTCTGGGGAGGGCCAATTCTCTCGTCTGCTTCATCCTTTTCCCCTCACGCTCTCTCTTATTGTCTCGTCCAGACACTACAGACCGACCGCCCGTGCATCGTATTACACGCTGGCACACAATAGGGCCGTTGGTTCGGAGTGCAGACGCAGTTTGAGCCATTCGGCACCGTCAGACGCAGGGACCAACGACAAGCGAGCCGCCCACTAATAGCGTGCCGACGTCCCTCATTAGGCTTGCTGCTGGCCGGAAAAACAAGAGGCAGTGAGCGGGAAGAAAAGAAAATAAAGAGGACAGGCAAGGTCGAGCAAGAAGAGAGCCAGCCAGACTCGGTCAATTGCCCTTTTTTTCCTGTGCTGTGGTCGTCTTACATACCTACCTTCGGACGGATTCTTGCTTGCTGGCACCTCCGGTGTCCCTATCAAGAGCGAAAAGCGCCGACTTTTTTTTGGGACCTGGTTGACGAGCGATATCGCACCAACCAAACAGCCCGGCTCCTTCGTCCTCCCAGGCACAACCTGCAGCTGCAGTTGAACCCACCAGGTCACACAAGCACCCGACAGCACCAGACAGCGCTTGACGAGAACTGGTCAGATTCAGAATGGCGCCTCACCAACGCCTGCGCATGGCAGCGTCCCTCCGACCGCTGTCGCCCTGCAGCGCATCGCTGCGCCGCGTCTGCATCGCTGGACGCCCTCGGAGTTCAGTGGCAGTCGCCCGCCACTTGCCGCCTGTTTCCGGCAGCCACAGGGGTCTGGCCACGGCGGCTTGGGGCCCCTCAGCGGCTGCGCCAGGGCCTGTGTCCACTAACCCGAGCCCTGGCTCAGTCCGAGCCGGCCATATTTCTGCGGCATCAGCGTCCCGGTCGGTGACTATCCCGTCCTCCTTCTCCCCAATCCCACCATCCTCTCTTCTGTCCTCACCTCTGCTCTCCACCGGCAGACTGCCCTCGAATCTCCAGCAGCAGCAGCGCTCGTTCACGACGACAGCCGCCGCCATGGTCGCCACCAAGCTCGACGGCAATGCCATTGCCAAGGCCATTCGCGAACGGCTGGGCGCAGAAATTGCAGAGAAGCAGAAGAAGAACCCCCGCTACCGCCCCAGCTTGAGGATCATCCAAGGTACGACTTGACTCCCGCGAGACAACATTATCCGCATGAAGACGATGAGGGAAACTGGAAGAGAGCACGAAGTATAGGGAAGACGCAGACTCGTCTCTCTACCTCCATCACTCAATCTCCTCTGATATCGCGCGAAAAATTTGTCACTGACT